ATGTTTTTGTTGTTGTTGTTTTCGCCCTCACACAGAGGCCTGATACTGAAAGCAAATCCAAAGACACGTCCCCTCCTCCAACCCTCCTCCACACAGAGGCCGCCCCAGATGGGGACTTGGCTGAACTTCTGGACAGAGACACAAACACAAAGCAGAGACACAGACAAAATGACGTGAACTCTCGACAACAACGCCATCAGGAGGTGACGGCCAGCTTCCCCTCAGGTCGACTGGGCTCTTTACCTGACGTCCCCAGCAGCAGCAGCAGCAGCAGCAGCAGCAGCTCCGGGCTGTTGGGACTTCACAGGCCAGTTTCTGACCCAGGGCTTCAGGGGAAGTAGCGCCATTTGCACCCTTTTCTTCTGGCCTCTGGACACTGACTGAAGGTTTTCTTACAAGTTTGACTCAGGGTCTAAGAAAGAGACTGAATATGCAACGGAAAAACTCTCACCATTCTTCCATTTCTTCTGGTGACACTATCAAGCCCTGTCCTCCTTTTCCTGAAGGATGTGTTGCAAACATTTTTACAGAGTTATTTATACAACACACTTGTATCTTCCCTCATCTACTGTGTACATACTTCTTTTTTTCTTTTGGGATTTTTACTCTGTACATATCTGGAATAGGACACTGCCAGTAACACACAGCACCTGGTTTACTTCCTCAAGGGGAAATGCATGACTTTTTTTTCGGTCTCACTTTGGGTTGCATGTTCCTCTCGCACACATAAACTCATAAGCTGTGTCCCAATTCATGGTCTGTAGCCAACATAGGTTGCATTTGTCATTTGTCAATTTCATGACAATTTCATGTCAATTTTCCTCAAAGAAAGAAAACTCACTTTGCAGCGTTGGTCAGATTTAGTGATAGACAACAATAGGAATTTCATTTTATCTACAGCAGTGACATTTTACAAGGGATGTCCGATTATATTGGCCGACCGATATTATCACACCGATTTTAGCATAATTATTTCATATCTGTAAGAATCGTTATTGGTTTTTCCTCTGATAATGAAAACCCGATAATGCAATGGAGTGCTGGAACTCCTTGTAGAGTCCTGAGACGTTTACCACAGTTTTGGGGCCAAGGAGTGGCATACTGTATATCGCTATCGACTGATATCAGAATAGGACCAACGATGTCCACACTTTTTTGGCTTGGGAGCTACTTTTCAAATGACCGGGGTGGGGTGATCTACCTACATTAAAAACTATAAATATATATTTACTACTTTGATTAAATGGTTGTAGTTTTATGGCACAATACTGTCTGACTCAGTATTTCTATGGTCCTTACTTTAGCCCTAGTGATTAACATCTTAAAATAGAATTACATCTATCATTTTTCTTTCTTTTTTTTTTTTTTGTTTTTTTTTTTTGTTTGTTTCTTTAAATGTAATTGCTCAGGATCTACCAGCACTCCCTTTGAGATCTACTGGTAGATCCCGATCTACCTTTTGGGCACCCCTGGTTTGGACAATATCAGTTATTGGCAGAAAGTTGGTATCGGACATCCCTACATTTTACCAACATGTACAGACAACATAGAATGTAGACTGTAGATTCTAGCCTCAGGAGACTACATACAGTAGGCAGCAGCCAGTGTGGCACAGTCTTTATTGACCCCCATTTGTTATTTACAATAAAAATGATGGCTGCAGCCTCCTTGTTTGGACAGACAGTCTGGACCATCTGATCAAGTTATGTCTTCTGTAAAATGTAGACAACAATTTTTGTAGCCTAGTCTTTGTAGACCACATTTCAGTACACTATCATTTTGTCTGCTTGTTCTAGCCTCAATAGACTTCAAAAGTCTACATAGGCTCACATGTTGTACACATACTTTAGTCCTTTATCAACCATGTGGGCTGCACACACTGAACTGGGACACAGCTCCACTCTGACTCTACTGCCCTCTTGAGGGGGATATAACTACTTGAAACTCCTCTAATTTACTTTTTCAACAGCAGCTGTTGTATGCTAATAAGAGGCCGGTGTGTATGATTAGCATGGAAATGGTATAGGACGCATTTACACAACCCACATCAAGGCCTGCTATCATTAACCCAGAAAGAGGCTGCAGCAATAGGTCAACGTGAGTCAGCCTTAGAGAGCAATAATGATGGTCAGATATAGCACATCAAGTACAGCCCAGAGACTAGCCTCACAACACACTTTCACCTGGCCCATATGGAGCACTGAGCACACCTAAACCCCCTACAGTCCTCTTATAGCCCAGATGAGTTTGTCTGCAGTGTGTAGCCCATATTCTAAAAACCAAATCTATAGACACTGGTCAACATTGGACCAACAAAAGGTCAGAAGACGGGCTGCTTCTGTTTGCCAAGATATTGCAGATAATGCAGGCAACTAAAGATGCAGCCCACAGTCTGATTTCCTGACATACTTCCCTCCTCTTTATCATTGCCTTATGTTATTCGTTCAGTTTGTGTGGCCCACCACTGGGCCAATTTTGCAACGTTGGACCTTTAATATAAAGCCTAAAATTCTTAGAATCCAGAACTTTGAGTAGCTGCATGTATATTTTGGATTTTGTATGTCACTACAGACAACAGTTCCAGAATCCATTGTAATCCCCACACTGCCTTGACTGGAACTTTTTGATGCTGAACAAAAGAAAAAAAAGAAGTCCAGAGTATTCTGTAAACATGATATTTATTGGTTGCACTCTTTATTATCCTCGAAACTTACAAGTATCATTGAAATAAAAAGACAAAAATGAACGCCCTGTGTTTATTTCCTTCGTCTTTATAAGCTTTTGTGTGAAAGCCATCGGTGCATGGTGCATCACACCCACTGATATTACAGCAAGCTGTCTGAAAATGTGTCAGTAACTAAATTAACCGCTTGTATCTACTGCAATAATTAGTACCAGCAAGTACTGTATGTGTTTTCATATTTGTTCCTGGTACAAAGATCATTTAGCAAATTCTTCAGTAGCTTCTAAATGGACTGTTAGGTTTGGGAATCTCTTGGATGTTAGGAATCGCAAATAACAAATGTGTTTTGTTTTGTTTTTTTTAGCTCAAAAGGACAAAAACAATGCTCGTCCACCTCTGCCTCCTGTGGTCAGGTGAGTCAAAACCAAATCAGTTGGTAATTCAATCATACCAGGGCCCATGTAATATATTGCATACCATATATGGGTCTAGAGTGCAATCAGAAACACAAGCACTGCCTTAAGGACAGTACAGTGTAACATGTAAAAGTACAGAAGTATCACAGTAACTAAATATGTTTCATTAACATCACATTATTACATTTTTTGGTTAAACATTCAAAGATAATAATGGCACATTAGGTGTTTCAAACAGTGGTTAGTAGAGGACAGGAGGACCATCACTTCTCAGATGACTGACCATTCTTCCCTCATTTTTGACGTAAAAATGAAAATAAAAATTTAAAAATTTAAAGTAAAGCATATCACATTGTTGTGGATACCTATCCCTACACCTGACATATCTGACAATCTACTAACATACATGACTAAGGCTTAATACTAGGTTAAGAATTATAGAATATTTCTCTATGGTGGCAGCTCAGTCCTTACTGGCCTTCTTTTACACATGCTTTTCCAAATGTTTTCGATGGTTGGTCCCGTGGTCTTGAGGTGTGTGAGGGATGCAGGTCGCTCAGATGGACATTGCGCACTGGATGAACTGAGGAAAACAGTAAATGTTAAAACAGCAATGGCTCTAAAGGTTAAACCAGCAATAACTGAAGGTTAGCAAATGAAACACAACGTGGCTAAAAGCAAAAGTGACCCCAGCAAATGTTCAACTTCTAAGTGTGACAATAATAGGACAGTTAAAAAAAGAAGCAGGATGCTGAGACTTCAATGCATGTGAACAGTATGTGAAAGGACATTTGAAACAAACATTTCTAAATGTGGGAGAAATCTTTGTTACCCTGTTTAGATTAGGGATGAATTGACCCGATACACATCAAAACAAAACAACTAAACTCCTCCAATCTGATACCTAAGCCCAAATGATCAACTTAACTTTGCGTAACATGCTGTGAGAAACCAGAAAACTATTATGCACTTACTACAAATATGTCTTTGTATGCCTATGCCACAGTGAAAGGCAAAACAACTAAATACTCTAGGTGGCAGTAGATGTCAAACTATAGATTGCTATATAAACTTTAACAGAAAGAACCTCAAAGCTGTTAAAGAACATCTTCATGTGAGTCTTTCTTTAATTCCTGTATGTGTTCTAATAAACAGGCCTCTGTATTACTCTGAATGAGTAAATTGAAACTAGAAGATCACCATGTTAGATTACATGTACATTTGTGACATTTTGTTTGGTAGAGCACAATGACATTTTCCAGGTTTTGACACAATGTAAGTTAGAATGAGAAGAAAGTGCTTCTTACATCATCATACTGGAAGGTTGCAGTTCCCTGCTGCATCGTGTCTCTGCGCTTGAAATGGTCTGCAACAGTAAGAGGAAATAGTCACCACATGCCAGCTTTGGGTTGGTGGGTTTACTGAGCACATATACTCCTTTCTGCTTTTCTAGTTGTTACCTGTAAGACTACGCAATTTGACGCAGCAGGCCACATAGTCGTCAAAACAGATTCTTCCTCCTTTGCTGTAGCGCTTGATAATGATGTTCAGAGCATTAGGGCTGACACGATAACCTAACAAAGTAGAGAGATGAATATACAGTATAAGTACATTTAAGCCTTCACAACATACTATACAGCCAAAACAAAGGTAAGGTCAACAAAGGTTCTACAATAGATGTTGTCATTTTAAGAATATCAGATTTTATACATTTAAACTGACACGTCACCTGTGCAGCTATGACATTTTTTTAGCACCAGCTACATCAACCAAGACTTCTGACATGAATCTCAATTTGGAAATTCTTAAATACCATATTTAAAGGGACGGTAGACTGAGCAACTCATGACAAAACTACAAACCACTGAGTACATAGTTGTTATATATTTTTGGTAGGATTTTAGTTTACTTTTGTATAATTTTGTTGACAGTTTTCCAGAATAATTCTGCTAATTGGATTGCTCAAAAATACAAGTTGTGGAACACATAAATCCATCATGAGAATTCATGAATTAAATAATAGTTTACTATTATTGATAATTATAAGCATGATTAATCAGAATATCTGAGGCCACAAAATTGTCATTTAAAAAATATGGCTCTAGCTGTGTCATGTCTGTCTTATTCAGGTTCTAGGTTTTATCCCTAAAGAAAAACCCACATGCTTAATTGTGCCTCCCCAGGCAGCCTGTATGAGTTGCTAAGACTTTGAATGTGAATTTCCTCATTGTGGGATGATCAAGGGTTTGAATTAGGCTTAAACTAAGACTGTTAAACTGCTACCATGATCATTAAACATATGTTGTTTTTTTTGTAACTGTAGATACTTTATCAGGAAAGTTTCATATCTGACATTCCTTAACTGATAGGAGACTCACCCATTGCATTGATAGCCTGATTCATCTCATGAGGTTCAACAGTTCCACTCCTGTCATGATCAAACATCATGAAGTTCTGCTTCCAGCCGTTCAGAGCTGCAAACAGCTCCTTAAACTCATTAAAGCCCATCTTGCCAGTGTAGTCCCTCTAGTGATCGCCAGGTCAAGAAAAATGATTTGTCATATATCTGGAGCCACCGGGTGTGTTAACAAGACAGTGCCTAAGCCACACTTCTCGTTTACATATTTGTTATGGATAGATAAATGTAACAGCAGGAGGTGCTGACAGATTCACGCTGTCACAGGACTGCAGAGTGAAAATAAAGGGGTCATTAATTTGGGAACAAATGTTGACTAACCAGATGAAGAAACACAGGGTGACAACAAAATCCAGAAAAGGCTAGTAGTGATTATGCTTTAGCTGGCAATGAAGAGTTGGAACAGACTGCAGCAGACTTTTTCCTCATTGAAATAGAAAACATTAAATTCAAAATATTAACATCAAGCAAAATAAGTATATATTTACACATAAAAAGTAGAATATGTCTCAAAATAAAATGCAGTATATATTGATTGTATATTTGATTACATTCGGAATTAGAAAAGTAAAATTTTGAATTACTGGCCACACATATTTTACACAGACAGAATTTCACCATTGCATTTAACCTATTCATTAGACATTAGTACAGACCTTCAAACAGCCATACACAATTGATGTCCTGGTGGGCCATATATTGTAAAACGATGTGATGGGCCGCATTCGGCCCATCACACCTTGGGTTTGACACTTACGACTTAAAGGACAAAAGGATACATCCAGCATCGCAATCATGATTCTGCAGGTGTCCAGATTGAAAGCTGTAAAAAAAAAAACCAACAAAAAACCCCAGATGAAATAGAATTTAGTCAACACCAATGTCAACACTTATTGCTTAAGACCACTGTTTAGGTCTAATAAGTGGTAAACATACGTGTGTAGTTGCCAGAAAAACCAGACTGAGTCAGACACCTCTGCAGTTCATCAGCATCAACCTCACCATCCTGTGTAGCATCATACAGTAAAAATTGGTATTAGCTCATGTGCCTCTCTGAAGTGTGTTGTTTCTAAATACACATCTGCCAACACACTCACACTCATGAATTTAAAGTAGTCTTTCATAAGACATCTGGAAACATCAATAAATGTTGTCAGAGGAAATCCAGCAGTCAACAGCAGTAAACAATGATTGACAAGACACTGTATGTTGTTGTCTCAGTTTCTGCTATACGTTACAGCCTCAGGGTAAAACAATGCAGCTGTAGTCATTAAGGAGGAGGATTCAGTGAATTTAAATGTCGGTCCAGTACATTGCAATGTTCACACAAGAGCACACACACTTACTTGGCCTGCTATTGCTGTGAAGTAACCCCACATCGGGTCATTGGCACCTGTGTGTGTCTGGTCCAAAAGACAGAATAATGATAGTCGTGGTGTGTCATTAAATAGATAGTACTAAAACAGAACTACATATGTATTCACAAACTCAGAAAAAAACCTTTAATCCCCCTTTAAAGTGCTGTCAGCAGTAAAGATACTTAGAAGCAGGATAGGTATAAATTAAAGACGGAATAGTTTACTTTCATTTACTTTCATTCAAAAGGATAGGGTTCTTGATAAATGCCCTCGATCATATTTGAAAAGTATATGCATATATTTTCATGTTTTTACAAAAACAATTTAAATTATTGAATAAGAACCATATTAACATTATTGCAACATGTTGGTTAAATCCTATATTTTTTTAATTTTGTAATGATGGTAATGCTTTCAACGTTTACAGACATTTTTGTTGCGTTTAAAGGCCAATGCCTATTGTGACTGTATTGTTTTACAATTTATCACAAATATTGATGTATTAAAACCATTGATATGTTTTTTTTCTTTTTTTCTACCAAAACGACGGTTGGTAGCTACGGTGAATCTGCTAAACTCTGTTATCCATTTGTGGACCGCTAAAGAACAAATGTTTAATTCTGTGAGACAAACAATGAACAAATAATACGATTAATTACGCAATTAAAATGAGTAGCAGCCTTAACATGTAACTGTACTCACCCCTCCGTATCCTGTAGAAGCCATTTAGTAGGAATATTTAAAATAAAATACATTAACCGAGGGACTTAATCTTCCAGATTAATGAACCGTGAACCGATGTAAAATGTGTTGCACCTCCCGGAAGTCTGAATACCTGTACTTACCTTTATGCCTTCGAGGTGGAGCTACTGTAAGGGCGGTGCTGATAACGATTGAAAAGAAGAATGTTCAGGGGAAAAAAGGGAACCCGAGTTGCGTTGCTTTCACAGAACCTCGTAATGAGAATCGGTTGGTTTTAAATTTTACTTCATTTTTTAAAAACACAACATTTAAACGCTAATATGTATAAAAAAAGAGATCAATCATCACCACGGATGATTCTTGTCTTGTTTTTTTTTAATTATTTATTTGAATAAAATAAAATGAAAGAAAAACATAGCCCAGTCCAGTGTATGGTGTACAACCGTAGATTTGTATACATAGCTGTCTTCTATGTAGTGTGTGGCTTGACGACGTCATCTTCTCCACTCCAACTCGTTCCCCTGCAAACTAGTTGACAAGTTTAAACGTTGTAAGTCAGACTGATGGAACAAGACTTTCTTGTTCCATCAACAAGAACCTTTAACTGGTGGAATAAGACTTTCTTGTTCCATCAACAAGAACGCCTTGTTGTCCTAGTGCAGTAATTAGCACACCTGCATGTAACAGAATATCTGCTGTTAACACAGGAATATCCCAAATATGGGATCAATATAGTTCTTTTTTTTCTCAGGAAAATGCCGTAGGTCGAGAACGTTCTACAACCAGGAACCACTGTAATCAGTTGAGGAAACTACTCCAAGACTTGATCTTGTTTTGTTTGTTTTTTTAACTCTGTTCAGTTAGTTGCAAGTGTCCTTTTTATTAAAAATCATGTGTGGTACACACATTTCTTGCTTTGGGAAATGTTTGCCACTGTATTTTATATAATGCAACACCTAACAGCTTACTTGAATGATTTTGTTTACAGGAAGTGATTGTGTTGTGTAAATAGACTGGGAAGTGCAGACAGGAGACATGCTGTTGTAAAAAACAATAAACAGAATTCAGAGTAGATATAAATTGTTTATTATGAGTAACAATGTGATTGTTTACGTTAAAAAGAGGTATGACAAGACTGGCTGTGTTACTAGTTAAAACACAAAGTAGAAATATGAACAGAATAACACAATTGAAGGGATTGTTTAAGTTTCAGTGTAGTCAACACATCCTGAATGTCTTCAGTGACACAGATTTAATGGATTCCTTGCAATATTAATTATAACAGAATTGCTGGATCGTGACATTGTTGCTATCATTGACAGTATGTGACAGTGTCATATCACAAACCACCTGGGGAATATCCAGATATGCTTGGAAGTCCACAACTTTTGCCAATTGGACACATTAATTGTTCCTGGTACAAAGATCATTTAGCAAATTCTTCAGTAGCTTCTAAATGGACTGTTAGGTTTGGGAATCTCTTGGATGTTAGGAATCGCAAATAACAAATGTGTTTTGTTTTGTTTTTTTTAGCTCAAAAGGACAAAAACAATGCTCGTCCACCTCTGCCTCCTGTGGTCAGGTGAGTCAAAACCAAATCAGTTGGTAATTCAATCATACCAGGGCCCATGTAATATATTGCATACCATATATGGGTCTAGAGTGCAATCAGAAACACAAGCACTGCCTTAAGGACAGTACAGTGTAACATGTAAAAGTACAGAAGTATCACAGTAACTAAATATGTTTCATTAACATCACATTATTACATTTTTTGGTTAAACATTCAAAGATAATAATGGCACATTAGGTGTTTCAAACAGTGGTTAGTAGAGGACAGGAGGACCATCACTTCTCAGATGACTGACCATTCTTCCCTCATTTTTGACGTAAAAATGAAAATAAAAATTTAAAAATTTAAAGTAAAGCATATCACATTGTTGTGGATACCTATCCCTACACCTGACATATCTGACAATCTACTAACATACATGACTAAGGCTTAATACTAGGTTAAGAATTATAGAATATTTCTCTATGGTGGCAGCTCAGTCCTTACTGGCCTTCTTTTACACATGCTTTTCCAAATGTTTTCGATGGTTGATCCCGTGGTCTTGAGGTGTGTGAGGGATGCAGGTCGCTCAGATGGACATTGCGCACTGGATGAACTGAGGAAAACAGTAAATGTTAAAACAGCAATGGCTCTAAAGGTTAAACCAGCAATAACTGAAGGTTAGCAAATGAAACACAACGTGGCTAAAAGCAAAAGTGACCCCAGCAAATGTTCAACTTCTAAGTGTGACAATAATAGGACAGTTAAAAAAAGAAGCAGGATGCTGAGACTTCAATGCATGTGAACAGTATGTGAAAGGACATTTGAAACAAACATTTCTAAATGTGGGAGAAATCTTTGTTACCCTGTTTAGATTAGGGATGAATTGACCCGATACACATCAAAACAAAACAACTAAACTCCTCCAATCTGATACCTAAGCCCAAATGATCAACTTAACTTTGCGTAACATGCTGTGAGAAACCAGAAAACTATTATGCACTTACTACAAATATGTCTTTGTATGCCTATGCCACAGTGAAAGGCAAAACAACTAAATACTCTAGGTGGCAGTAGATGTCAAACTATAGATTGCTATATAAACTTTAACAGAAAGAACCTCAAAGCTGTTAAAGAACATCTTCATGTGAGTCTTTCTTTAATTCCTGTATGTGTTCTAATAAACAGGCCTCTGTATTACTCTGAATGAGTAAATTGAAACTAGAAGATCACCATGTTAGATTACATGTACATTTGTGACATTTTGTTTGGTAGAGCACAATGACATTTTCCAGGTTTTGACACAATGTAAGTTAGAATGAGAAGAAAGTGCTTCTTACATCATCATACTGGAAGGTTGCAGTTCCCTGCTGCATCGTGTCTCTGCGCTTGAAATGGTCTGCAACAGTAAGAGGAAATAGTCACCACATGCCAGCTTTGGGTTGGTGGGTTTACTGAGCACATATACTCCTTTCTGCTTTTCTAGTTGTTACCTGTAAGACTACGCAATTTGACGCAGCAGGCCACATAGTCGTCAAAACAGATTCTTCCTCCTTTGCTGTAGCGCTTGATAATGATGTTCAGAGCATTAGGGCTGACACGATAACCTAACAAAGTAGAGAGATGAATATACAGTATAAGTACATTTAAGCCTTCACAACATACTATACAGCCAAAACAAAGGTAAGGTCAACAAAGGTTCTACAATAGATGTTGTCATTTTAAGAATATCAGATTTTATACATTTAAACTGACACGTCACCTGTGCCTTTGACTGTCAATTTTCTCATTGTGGTATGATCATTGAATTAGGCTTAATGTAAGACTGTTAAACTGCTAAGATGATAATTAAAAAGGATGTTTTTTTGTAAGTGACTAACTAACTGATAGGAGACTCACCCATTGCATTGATAGCCTGATTCATCTCATGAGGTTCAACAGTTCCACTCCTGTCATGATCAAACATCATGAAGTTCTGCTTCCAGCCGTTCAGAGCTGCAAACAGCTCCTTAAACTCATTAAAGCCCATCTTGCCAGTGTAGTCCCTCTAGTGATCGCCAGGTCAAGAAAAATGATTTGTCATATATCTGGAGCCACCGGGTGTGTTAACAAGACAGTGCCTAAGCCACACTTCTCGTTTACATATTTGTTATGGATAGATAAATGTAACAGCAGGAGGTGCTGACAGATTCACGCTGTCACAGGACTGCAGAGTGAAAATAAAGGGGTCATTAATTTGGGAACAAATGTTGACTAACCAGATGAAGAAACACAGGGTGACAACACAGGCTTGTATAGTAGACAGTAGACAGGAAGGTTAATCACTTCTTCATCCTCTCTTGTTACAATGATGTTTAGACTCAATGTATTTATCATTATACATGTTAATTCAGTCCGGTAAGTCTAATTTTTAGACTGAAGCAGGGTTGTCAAACTCAGTCACTCAAGGGGCCAAAATTAAATTAAACTTAGTTGGGGAGCGAGCAGGATTAAGAAAATCCAGAACAGGCTAGTAGTGATATATGAATTTGACTGCAGCAGACTTTTTCCTCATCGAAATAAAAAACATTAAATTCAAAATTTTAACATCAAGAAAAATAAGTAAATAAAAATGAAATTTCACACATAAAATGTAGGATATGTCTCAAAATAAAATGCAGTATATGCTGACCATTCTATGCAATGGTCATAGAATGGTCAACCTATGACCATTCTGTGTGGAATGGTCATAGGTTGACCATTGCATTTAACCTATGCAATACACATTAGTACAGACCTTAAGACAGCCATACACAATTGAAGTCCTGGTGGGCCGTATAAAATGATGTGTTGGGCCGCATTAGGCCCACAGGCCTTGGGGTTGACACTTGTGACTTAAAGGACAAAAGGATACATCCAGCATTGCAATCATGATTCTGCAGGTGTCCAGACTGAAAGCTGTAAAAAAAACAAAAACGGATGAAATAGAATTTAGTCAACACCAATGTCAACAGTCAAGACCACTGTTTAGGTCTAATAAGTGGTAAACATACGTGTGTAGTTGCCAGAAAAACCAGACTGAGTCAGACACCTCTGCAGTTCATCAGCATCAACCTCACCATCCTGTGTAGCATCATACAGTAAAAATTGGTATTAGCTCATGTGCCTCTCTGAAGTGTGTTGTTTCTAAATACACATCTGCCAACACACTCACACTCATGAATTTAAAGTAGTCTTTCATAAGACATCTGGAAACATCAATAAATGTTGTCAGAGGAAATCCAGCAGTCAACAGCAGTAAACAATGATTGACAAGACACTGTATGTTGTTGTCTCAGTTTCTGCTATACGTTACAGCCTCAGGGTAAAACAATGCAGCTGTAGTCATTAAGGAGGAGGATTCAGTGAATTTAAATGTCGGTCCAGTACATTGCAATGTTCACACAAGAGCACACACACTTACTTGGCCTGCTATTGCTGTGAAGTAACCCCACATCGGGTCATTGGCAGCAGGTGAAGCGCCATAGGCACCTGGGTAGCCTCCCCCGTACCCTCCATGGGGTGGTGCACCACCCATAGGGCATGGTATGTGCCCACCCATTTGTCCCCCAGGCATTCCTTGTTGTGGCATGCCTGGCATCTGATCACCATTATAGAAAGACAACATGCGAGAAGCAGCTGAATATTAATTCAATCTACCTTGACTTTTATTTTCTCCTTTTTTTAGTGGCTTACTAATGTTAATACGTATTATCCTCTTTTTGGGTTTTCTGATTGGAAGGGCGTTATTGTAGTGATCGAACAGTAATCACTTCACTAAAGGAAGCATTGTTCCAAGTGCTATAGAAGAGCCATCTCTTTGTTGAATTTAAACAATGTTCAATGGTTCTGTAGAATTTGTACTGGATAAAAAGAAAATATTCACTATTGTAGCTTTAAGGTGATTCCTGTATACAGGATTGTAAATAAACTACCTCTTATTGTTGAAGTAACATTTACTCTAAAATAACATCTAACATCTTACAAGATTGTGGACTGCAGCACCTTCTCTGTAAATGTATCTAATCCAATGGGGAACTACTGAACAATCAAATTGCATCACGGTCTCTAGGAGTGCCTGGGGCAAAGGACAGGCTTATGATAATGGTGGTGTAGATAACTGTGTAATTAAACGGCTTTCAACGTTTACAGACATTTTTGGTACGTGTTAAGGCCAATGTCCATTGTGACTTGTTTTCAATAACTTTTTTATTTCAAATTTGATGTATTAAAAGCATTGAAATGTTTTTTTTCTACCATAACGACAGTTGGTAGCTGTGTGCTAAACTCTGTGTTCAGATTGTGGACCGCTAAAGAACCAATGTTTAATTCTGTGAGACGTTACATGGACAAATTATACGATTAATAACGCAATTAAAATGCGTAGAAAACTTAACATGTTTAAATGCCTTGTAACTGCGAAAGAAAACGTACGATCTGAACTAGCTATCCTGAAGATCGTTGTCGGGCTAACACTTCCGCTGGTGGCTGTCGCTGTTACACATGAAAGTGTACTCACCCCTCCGTATCCTGGAAAAGCCATTTAATATGAAAAATGTAAATAAAATAAATTTAACCAAGGGATTTAATCTTTAAGATTAATGAGCAGTGCGCCTATGTAAAACGTTTCACACTTCCCGGAAGTCTTAATACCTTTACGTCACACTTCAGGGTTAAGGGCGGTGCTTAAAAAGAAGAATGTTCAGAAACAGAGAACCCAAGTTGCGTTGCTTTCACAGACCCTCGTAATGAGAATCGGTTGGTTTAATATTTACTTCATTTCCTATAAAGAAAACTTTGAAACACTGATTTTTAAGCAGAAAATTTTTAGATAAATACATTCAGTGAGTAATTTCAAAAACATATATTAACCATGCATATCCAGCGGCTGCCACAAGATGGCGCTTTGAAGGTGTGTTAATCTCTCTGATGTGAGACTATTTTACTGAAATTCACCGTAAAATCTAGGTGCAGTTATTTCTATGTTAGAAAACGGGTATAGAAAATTAAATAATTTTGCTGTTCATTTAAAAATTCACATCGCATCAAGAAATATTTTATGTTGTTAAAATAATTGCTATCTAAATTTGCATTCGAGTTTGGGGCTTTAAAGTCCGCTACAATGAGTAGGTACTGGCATTGGCTACGTAATGCTTTCCTATATCTTCTTTTCTTCTTTTATGCTTTTTAAGGATCATTTTAAGCATGAATCGTGATGAACCCTAATGTGATTTATGTATGTAATTTTTATTCTATGCTTCTTTTTTTAATCATTTTAATCGTTCATTATTTTTTGAACAGTCCAACATAGATTTTGTTATATCTTGGCTTAAATTATTGTTTATAGCCAAACCTTGTAAATTTGGGCTATTAACTTGACTATTGATTTAAAGACCAGCATGTAGCCATTTATAATATATATTTGCTATAATTAAGATGCTCCAGGCATTACTATTCTATTGTACTCTATTTTGTCTTACTTTCTGCTAAAATTTAGTTGTTTTTAGCATGTCCTTGTTTAATTTTATCACATGTATTTCTAACTTTTAGGTACCACACTAATTTGTTATTTATCTCACTGTTTATGTTGACTTTTTATTTTTTGTTTTGTTTTTGTTTGTTTTTTGTTGTTGTTTTTTTTTTTGTCATTGTACTATGGCTTAATTTCTTGTAGTGTTTTTGCAGGACATTTGTTTTTACTTAAAAAAATCTTTCTTTGTTTATTCTTTTGTGGCCTCTGGACCCTCAGTGGATTCTACCAGGATTGTTTTAATCTTTCAAATTGTAAAGAAGAAAAAGGTATGACCTTTGAAAAAAAATGATACAGAAAATGATCTTTAAAATTTAACTGATATACAATTGATCATAGTTGAAATGTTTTTGATTGATTACTGCATTACTGCATTAGAAAAGATTTTTTTAGGGTATGGTTTAGTGGAAAAAAATAGGCCTAAATGTTTTCTGCATAGTGGTGAACTACTACCACTGTGCACTTAGATTACCATTGAGATTGTGTTATATATAGAAAGAGAAGGTAAGAAAACATAGGGATGAGTCGTAAAAACTGCAAATACATGCCATAATGGCAGCTATAAACTTTTATAAGGTCAAATGAAGTCACTGGTGATGTCATCATCTTTGACTCTGTGAACAACAACAGACACTAAGTAACACAAAGCAACATCACATACCATGACTTTTGCGATGTATAGCGTGTATAACATGTCTCTCAATGCAAGAGACAGGCTATTAAGAATTGAGAAAAATTTGTCTCGCAGATAAATGGACAAAAGTTTGCTAAGAACAGCTAATGACTGTCAAAATAAAAATAGTTGTAAGAAAGCCAAAATTGGCCAAAATAGGCCCAACATTAGCTTAGAGTTTGTCAAAGAATTCGGAAAATGTAACAAAAATTAGTTAAAAGTTAAAAGTATGTCAAATGAAAGGTTAGAGTCAAATGTAGCACCTTATATCTTTAGATAATCTTAGAAATATGAGTATGGCATTCAAATGATAGGTAACATTTAGTTAAAATGGCTACAGGTTAGCAAATAAAACAGCAGAAACTAAATCCAGATAAACCTTAAAGATGGTGCGAGGTTAGCTTAAGAAGCTAAATGTGATCTAAAAAATATAGCTAAAAATTAATCAAAATGACAAGGGATTATAATGTGCCCTGGTACAGAAAAATTGAACCAGCTCTGCCTTCTTAAAAAGCTTCACTACTAAAATCCTTGGTAGGCTGTATTTTGGTATGGCTGTCAATAACTGACTTACATGGTGGATCAGCTGCAGCCCAGGTTAACAATGGCCACCTTCAGTCAAAGACCGCCAAGGAAGAGTAGAGGGTGACGTGTTTTGAGGCAGAGAGAGAACAGGAAAGGCAAGAGTGTAGAGGTCATATTAGGGACTTTGTTGTGAAAAAGGGCATGCAGTTAGTTGGTGACCAAGCAGTGGAGGCAGAGGAAAGGGGGCAGATGATCTGAAGGGAACAGCTGATAGAAGAAGTCTGTTAATAAATATGGAGTAGATGGTGCAGTGGTAGGACTTTTACCCAGTAAGAGTTGTGTCAGGTATTGCATCAGAATAAAAACTCAAATCAACCAAATCAACTTTGCAGACTACTGCTGTGGCCAACCTGGATGGAGGGACCTCCTTAAAAGTTTACAAGTTACATTTTATTTGGTAATTACCCTCCAGTTTCATTTAATTTTCTAAAAAGCACAAATATGTCCATGAAATTTTGATAATTACATGTGGAGCATTTTCTGACATTTATTCATCTTTTAAGATGGTGTCACGTTTAGGTAAATATTTAGGTCACTTTAACAAGTTACCTTCAGTTATTTTATTGTTTTGACAAATTTTGAGGTGTTGTTGTTAAACTTTTAATTTCAAGCTATTTCACAGAGTCCGTTTTTAGTCATTAGTTTGGCTAGTTTTACCTATTTCAGGCAAAAAATTAATAAACTTCTAGCTATATATTTTATTTAATTTTTGCAACTCTTTTTAGATATTTCTTACTAACCTGTAAATATTTCCAGGCTACTAAACTAACGTTTATGTATGCAACTGTTGTTTCTGGATTACCTTATTTCCTGATTTGTTGCATACATCATAGCTGCGTCTTAACCAATCGGCAACCTTTCATCACTATTCACTATGTGACATATATTAAATGACAAAGGAGTTGTTTGTGAAACAGAACCATAGCTCAAAATATATCACAGGGTTTTTAAAAATGGAAATACATGTATGCCTATATATTCAATATACATTGAACATAAACATCTCAAAACAAGATCATTTGATATTGACATATTTCACAGCATTCTGTCCCCAGTGCGTGGCTATTTCTGACACCGGAAGTCACATGTTTTCGGGAAAACTCAGCCAGGTGTATATTTTTATTTTTCCAGAACCATTGACATCATGACATTAAAGTAAATTGCTATTTTGGTTGATTTTGCCCCTTCGTATAGAGTGCCGAGCAGTCACGCTGATGTACTAAAAGCCTGTTAAAAGCTTAACAAATACAAAGCCGTGCCTTTATGAGGAATAGACATCATACTCTGCACTTGTTCCTCTTACGCCGGACATCCTCTGCAAATAAACACTTAGTAGGATGTCTTCCCTAATGCTGCGCAGCTTTTTTAAAGAGCGTCACTTCATGGATGTCTGCATTTACCTGACACTAAATGCATTTGAAATAATCATTGAGTGTCACTTCGAACACCCTTGGACATGATAGACAGATGTGATGCGCAGAGACAACAACCATCAAAGGGCTGCGGCCGCTGGGATTTTCCTCGCATAGTCACTTTAAAACAAGTGTCATAGAATGTAAAAAAAGGGGGGGGGGTTGTAAAAGGAAACTCAAATGTTTTGAATTGTTAATAAAGAAATCAGCTGAATGTAGATGGGGACAAAAGATGCAACACATTTTGATTTAAAAAAAAACCTTCCTAATAAATAATATTTTGCCATCTTTAAATTGCCCCCTGAGTATTGAGTAATTCACCAATAGGGGCAGTGGTGCTCAAGCGGTACAATTCCTGCTCACAATGCAGTTACCAGGGGTACATTTCCAACCCCCTGATCCAGTAGGGAAGGTGTCATTGAGAAAAGAATCAAAACTTATCAATATGTGGATTACTGCTGTGCTTGCTTTACAGTATATTCTGTAAGGTCACCCAGTTCACAAGTACGTAAGAAAAATGGTAAAGAGTTTTGCTATCAAAACAAGAGGAGCATCCACCGCGGGCTTGAACTGTGAGAGCAAAGAATGTGAATTTAAATGTCCAATTGTAAAAACACACACGGTTTTCAGTAAAATAATATATTCCTATGAATTGTATAACATTTTGAGGAAATTCCCTGAAATAACAGAATTATTCCTCTTGTCTGTGTTAATGATTGTGTTTGTCTGCATTGTTTTTTCTTACTCAGCTCTTAGATGTGAATGATAATTTGTTGAGATTTTGTATTATTATTTGTCTTTTTGAAGTTTTTGCTCTTTTGCTTGGGTTTTACAATTGCATTTCTTAAAATAATAAGGAGTCCCATTCCAGAGGTTTGGTGTGAAATATCTAAGATTTAAGGTGGAAGTTTTTTTGAACCCGCACATGGGAAATAATAGAAATTTGTGTGTGACATTGTTTTTATCCTGCCTCCAAATCAAACTGCTTCTTCAAGTGTTGATTCTCAGGCATGTTGGTGTGGGAGCAAACACTCATGACAGTGTTTAGATTAGTCCACTTAAGCTTTAATGTTGTTCTTTAAGCGAGAATAAGGATTAGAAGACTTCAACATTTTGTTTAGTTAAACTAAAAGAAACTTTGGGTTTAAAAATGGATTACACAGATGTGTTATCTAAAGTGTCAATGCTGTGATCTATCTTTCTAGATCCTTCTGTCTTGTCGTCTTCCTGTTCATGTTCATATCTTTTTTCTGTCCACTTACTGAAAAAAAAAAGTTATTCTTCTGCATTCCTTATGTTCGATACATTTAAATTCGTGTTTGCGTGTAAGTCAATACAGGTCTGTGGAACACGTTTTTGTGTCACGCTGTACAACAATGTATGTATACAGTATACTGTATGTACACACATATACACAGTCCTCGAGAGAGTGACGGGGGACAGAGGAGTGTGGAAATAAGACAGCCAGTTGAAAATATGGACACTTCCTCAAAATTCTGGCAGCCCACATACGAACTTTACACCGTTAGACAATTAATACACCACCTTTGAAACTTCCCGTGAGATAATGTTTAACAGTGAAGCAACTCGCGTTCCATAACTGTGCAGTCTGTGCCGTCGCTGAACCCCAGTGGATCAATGGAATCGTGAATCTGACATAAAGTCCTTTTACGCCAGACAAAATGGTTGGTGACTGTTTTCACTGTTGAACCATTACTTCAAAAATGTTTCTTTCTAATGTTTGTGTGCGCACATGTGTGTCTCCGCTCAGATTTCCATCGCAAAGGTGGCGCTCGGTGTTTTCGGAGTGGCAGTCGTGGTCATTTTAATCGCGGTGCCCATGGCGATATTTTTGAAAGGTGAGTTGTTGTACATCAATTCAAGTGACCCATCAAACTCCGTGGAAACAGCTATGCACACGCGTCATCACGCACTTTCTCTAACGGACTGTGGACCAGAAATATACAGTCAGTCAGAATTACACAGGGCGTATAAAAATGTTGTCCTCCCTTTATATTACCTATTAGGGTTTTGTGCTCTGTTAAAATATAAATTGTTATTTTATTAAATGTGATTAATTTTGCAAATTCCCGTTTCCATCTATATCAATAAGTTTGCCACGTGATGCATGTTATTAAAAGGCTTAATGTGATGTAATGTGTCATTAGTGCTAATTAAGTCTGATATTTTATTTAATCTTCACAATGGAGCGATAAGATAAGACTTAATTCATTCCACACCGGGGAAATTCAGTAAATCCTGTACAAAGCTTTAAACTATAAATGTAGTCATTAATAGTCAAAGCAAATAAAAACAAAACAAGATACAAACAAGCCATTTTTCAGGACCAGACATACTGTAGATAAAGGTGAGTCAAAAGTATAGTGAAACTATCGCTTTAGCAAAACTACAAATAAAAAAAGGACAAAAAACAAAAGTCAACGGAGAAGAGTGGTCCCACAGTAAGGTCTCCCACCTCCACCTCCCAAATCCAGCTTCCTAACTTCAAATGACAATTGAAAGGGTCAGGGAAAGGGAAAGGGAAAGCTAGAATTGATTCAGTAAACATTAGTCAGCCAACATGTTACCCTTGGAATAGCAAAAGCTAAAATATGTAATAAACAAATTACAAAGCTACAGTGTATAATAAATAACTTTGAGTGAGCATGCAGAGTAGCTAGAAAGCAAACCAAATGTAAATAAAATAAATAAGCTGTAAAACGTAAAACGTTATTGAATGTTCATGTGACTTCAAAATGCTTCTCATCATTGTAGCATTAGTCCATCTGTTTCTGAGTCAACTTTTTTTCAATACACTCTGTTTCAGAGGAAAAAAATGGAAACCAGAATACTTTTACCCTGCAAGATGTCTTCAATTCAACCCTCAAACCAAAGTCTTACAACATGAGATGGTTCTCAGGTAGGAAACTACAACCTTCAACTGTTTGTTTTGGCTAACTTGGCAGTGGTGCCTACCTCGTATAGTATTTTTGTGGCTCTGTATTTGTACAGCTGGTAGTTTTATTGGCTTCCTCCTAGCGACGTACAACTCTTTGTTTTAACTAATGAAAGCTGCTTGACAGAAAAACTGCACATTCTGACTCATCTACTGTGTTTTTGTCCATCTTTTACCTGCCTTTGGCTAAATTAAAGCTTGTCTACTAACGTAGATTCAACGTTTTTTACTCACATGGCCCAACACATGGCAGTTGTGTGCTTCAGTGACCTAGCCAGACATGATGCTCTGATTCTGTAACATTTTGGCCAATAAACTTTGACTTTATAGGTAAATGAGTACAGATGATTCCTAATACAGTAGTTTTTCTCATTTCTATCTCCCTGCCACAGATAGTGAATATCTACATACGTCCGACGGCACAGTTTACCGTCACAATTTGCTGACTGCAAATAGCATTGTGTTCTTGAGCAAAGACACTTTTGTAAGTCCGTTTTTGTTACATGATGTCATCACCAACCCTCTCTAACCGATCCCCAGTGATGTCATGTCAACATTCTTTTCTATCCCAGGATGAAATAGAAGCTTATGATTACCAGCTGTCTGCTGACCTCACATATGTAGCTTTTATGAGCAACTACTCCAAGGTATAAAATATATTAAATCATGCATGTTGTTATATATGTTCAGCTGTAGTGACCATGTGGTATTTTATTTTCTTTTGTGCCTCTAGCTCTGGAGACATTCGTTTACAGCTTCATATACACTCTATGATGTGGGATTACAGTGAGTGTTTCGTTTTTTGTGGTTAAATAGTTGTTTTTAAAAATGTCATTTTGGCTCTTCTGACCTACGTTTCAAGAGCCTTTTTGCCTGTTTTAAGAGCATTTCCTCTCATTTTGATCTTTTGCCTGACCTTTGTTGGGCTACTTTGGCTCTTAAATAGTTCCACCCATATATAATGCTTTTTTAAAAACTATTTCTGTTCCTGTTGTCTTTTGGCTTACTTCCAAAATGTTATGTATGAAATATTTATGCAAGATTTCCATGTTATAACTTTAAGTTATATCTGGACTTTCACCAGTGTTATGGGTAATCCTTTCCTCACCACCTAAATCTGGTCAGTTATTATCTTTTCAGCTAATTTAAGTCTGTTTTTGCTTTTTTTTAACTAATATTTGATATTATTTGACATATAAATATATTTAACTTTAAAATGTCTTACTAATAGAATACTTTGTAAAAAACGTTGAAGTTACATTTATGAAAAATAAATTGTTTTGTCTAAATCTGTCTCAGTTTCTATGTCTTTGATTTACCAACAAAGATTATGGAATTATATCAATTATAGAAGCCTAGCAGCTTATCTTGGTATTGTATTTTCTTATTTTTACTCGAAAAATACAAAAATCCATTTGGTTAAATTCACTTTTTATTACCCATCTACGTCATCTGAAAACATTTGTTTCACATCAAAGTGGTTTCTGCAGCCATAGCTGTCAAGGGAAAGTGGTGCAAATCTCTTAAGGATCTTTAAAATGTTTTTCAGGAAGTTTATCACAAACTCAGGGATTCCTGAGAAGGTCCAGTACTTCGCTTGGGCTCCTGAGGGCAACAAACTGGTGAGTCTGTGTGCTTAAAGCCTTGCACGTTGCATTTTTGAAGCAATGTGCTCAAGCACAGCCTTTCCCAAACACTTGAGCGAAGTAGAAAGGTTTCAAACGTAGTGTGTAAAGAGTTTCTGAGTGTGTTTGTTTACATTTCAAGGCCTTTGTTTGGAGAAATGATGTGTACATTAAGACAAGTCCTGAGTCCAGCCCAGCGAAGGTCACGGAGAGTGGTGAGGAGAATGTGATTTCAAATGGAATCCCTGATTGGGTGTATGAAGGTAAGTGGCGTATAAATGTGTTTGGAGAGAAAAAGAGAGTGAGTGAGAGAGTTTGATTACTTTTAAAATGTATAATTGTGCAATTACTGCCTATAATATAAAAGTTCTTGTGCAGTGCATTAATCAGCAGTCCCTGATGCACTTTTAGACCTGTTGACAGTGGAGGGTGTTTTAATAACTGCATGTATGAGCCCTCTCTAAATATAACCTATTAATGATCTGATTGTACATAGTGACTCCTCTGTATTTACTTAGTTACTGTAGTTACTGGTAACTTACCAGATTTCTCACCTACTTCTCTGTTCCAGAGGAGATGTTCTCATCTACTCAGGCCCTCTGGTGGTCTCCTGGAGGAAAATATGTGGCTTATGCAGAGTTCAACGATACAGAGGTCAACACTATAGAGTACCCCTGGTATGGAGAGGACCAGTACCCCAGCACTGTTTCCATCCCATATCCAAAGGTGAGGCATGTATCCAGGGCATGTTCAGATAATCTACGAAGAATGTCCCATTGAATATGCTCTTGTGATTCTATTTGTGCAAACATAGCATTAGCATTAGTACCTGCAGTAAAATACATGTAGTTCTTTACAGCATTTACAGCAAAAACAGCATTTACAATGAACATTGATTGGTCTGGTAATACAGTAGTTCTTCCAGTTTCACTCAGTCAGGAAACGTTGTCACTTTGTGCCAAACTCTTCCCATTTGTTAAAAACCCTCCCAAAGATGCTTAATGTTCCAGCCAGATGGACACATCCATTTCTTGTAACCGCTCCATTTTGCATCCGTTTCCATGTGCAGCCAGGTACCCCCAATGCTGTTGTAAAACTGTTTGTCGTGGACACAGACAACCCCACTAAAATCATGGAGGTTGCTGTTTCAGCCTCGTTCGCCTCAAGGTAGAAAAACACAACATGTGCATTATCCAATCCATCTGATAAAAGAAAAGAGAATTTAGCTGTTTTTGTCCTATTGTGTTTTCCTCTTGGCATCAGTGAACACTACTTGGCCTCTGTTACTTGGATGACAGACAACCGGATTGCAGTACAGTGGCTGAAAAGAGTACAGAACCACCTGATCCTCCAGATGTACGACTTCACTGGGTCTGGTTGGAATCCGACTGAGGTAAAGTATCATGTCCTGTTCTGAACAGATACACCATACATCAGTGCGGGCTGAACCTGGTCCACCACACTGTTATATCTGGCCTGAAATTGGATTCCAAAATTGTGCAGTTTAAAGAGTAAATATGGTGTGGTCCTCATTTGATTTGTTTTATTTTATTTCAGTGTCCACGCCCCAAATTCTGGCCCTCTGACAAATGTTGTTAACGGGTGACACCTGGTACACAGCCTCGAATGTTGCAGATAAGAGCTGTCTCACAAATGATTGTAGAAGCAATAAAACCTCACTGACAGTAACGCCTTTTGCTTCCTTGAGTGATGAGCACAGGGTTTATAGATCTGTATTTAGCTGAGCCACCATTTTCTACACTGTAATTGCACAATTGAGCAATCTTTTATGACCAACGTTGGCTGGAGAAACGAGTCCTGATCAATATTTGAAGGAATGTACATGTGAAACCATGTACTGCACACACTCTGCATGTGTCATTTGCAACAGAGAAAAAACAGACAACTGACGAATACATGGATGTTTTTATCTCAAATGTAGATTATGTTTTTATGTAGGTTTCAGGTCAATTATCTACTGTAATTAAAAGTAATGTTTTAAAATAAACTCGATACACTCAAATTATATGTACATATTTACAGCATCAGTTTGTTTCTTGTTTTAAGTCAGATATGTGGATTGTCTGCGGTGGTGAATTCAACACTAATTAACGTTTGTTTAACAATTTACAGCATTTGGAGATAAAGAGTTCAACTGGCTGGATTGGAAGGGTAGGTCTTCAGGAAAAACACTTGTTTTTACTCAGGTCATAGCCCAGAGATTGTGACATTTTAGCCATGAAATGTAGCCCATTCATAAAAATTAGGTGACATAGTTTAAAGGTTAGCCAAACAGAGGTAAAGCAATTGTCCAAATTAAGTACACACAGCTATAATGTAGCCATTAGATAGTATAAAATTAAGTGTCAAAAATTATAGATGTCCTAGAAAGTTAGTAGCTACCCAAAAGATATAGTGACGTATCAGTTTGAGTCCAAAAAACAATTCAAATAAACCACCAAACTGCAGTGTTGTCATTCAAATACACATTGTACATGTAAAACATATTGTTGACCACAATTCACCTGTTTAAAATTCCCTATAGTTCTCTCCACCAGAACCTGTTGTTGCAGCGGACGGAAAGAGCCTTTATCTGCTAATGAGTGACAGCGCTGGATACAAGCACATCCATCATGTAGTGGGGGTAGGTCACATGGTTTTGATTTTGTCAGCCATATTCTTTCTTTATATAAGACGCACGCCGGTCTGGCAGCTTTCAGCAGTATCAGCTGTATTCATTTCTACATACAGAACACAGCAACACCAATCACCAGTGGATGGTGGGAGGTCATTAACATTTTGAAAGTCACTAAAGACAAAATGTAAGTCTGCTTGTTAACACTTTAAATCTGTAAAAAAAAAATCCACTATCACATAAGAATGCACACGTCAGGCTCATGCATATATACTATTTACAGATATTACTCCAGTAATGAAGACGGCGCCAGACCAGGAGGAAGAAATGTTTATGAGTAAGTGCTCTTTGCGCTCTTTCAAGTGATGCAATGGACTGAGCCACAAAGATTCTGCTGTTGAAACCAGTACTTAAACTTTAAATTCACATTGCTTTTATCAGCATTTTTGATTGGTCAGACAGCTTCATCAGTACCATTTAAAGCTTTCTTTTTTACTTAGTTGCTAGTGTTTTGCATTAAGTTATATTTGAAAAGCTTAAGGATGCTAAGCTATTGGACAGCTCAAGGCTCTTCAAATAAAGCAATTTATTATATAACTTCAAAACCCTTTTCTTTTATTTTGTAATAACTTTGACGGAATTTATTTTTCCCAACTTTTGGCTAACATTTAGTTCTTTGGGAATGGTATTACTCACAGTTTTCTTGGTTAATTTATGCTGTCTCCTCACCCACCCTCAGGCAAACATTGACCTAATTTTGTAATTATTATTTACAATTTGTAGCTTCTAGCTATTTGTAGCTCTAAAGTGTTTTGTGAGTATGAGTACAATGAGATTTAAACCTTTTAGTAAACATAAAATGAATTAGCCTCTCTCTCTAGGTTTTTAATCTGTTTTTCTCTTATTACTAATTTTCATATTTTTATATTTTTTCATGGTAACTTATCTGTAATTTTCTCATTATAGCAACATTTGTCTACATTTATTCTAGAAACATTACTGCCAGGCTTTAGTAGATATTTTTGAAATGCAGGTTCAGATATTCATTGACTTGAATCCTAGCTTCTTAGTATACACATTATGATTAACTAACTAATTGTCTTTGGTTGCTGTTTGTGTAACGCCTCTATCTTTGTCTGTCTGTCTAAGGTTGACCAACAATAACATCACAACGTGTCTGACTTGTGCTGTAGATGAAGAAAAATGTCTATATAACTCCGCTTACTTCAGCCACGAAGCCTCCTACTACCGCATGAGCTGCAGTGGTCAGTTTAAAAAAACATCCTTACAATCTCAAATCAAACATTCATGAATATGTTTTACTGTATTTGTATGGAAAAAAGATTTATACTGAAGTATTTGTATGTACAGGTCCAGGCATCCCCTACCATTCACTGTGGGACAACAAAAATGGCAGAGGTACGAAAACACATCAAGAATTAGTTTTCAGTGCCCTCAAACACAAAGTAGATGTTTACATTTGTAAAATATGTTATATGTCAAATTGCAGAGCTGAGGACTCTGGAAGACAACAGTCAGTTCACCAGTCTGATATCTAACATCCAAATGCCAACCATGCAGCGGGGTAAAATCTCAATCGCTGGCTACGGTGAGTTTGATACACAAGCTAAGGATATCAGAAATGAGCAGATCAGCGGGGCAGTTATTGTTGATCAGTTCAGAGATGAAGTTTGAGAGGCAAAGTTTAGATGGTTCTGACATGTGCAGAGGAGAGACAGTGGAAACAAAAGGTTGTTGGAAATAGAGCGGCCAGGGAGGAGAGAGTAAGATTTACGGATGTAGAGAAGAGGAAATGGAGATAGTTGGTGTAGGATTAAAGAGGATAGTGTGAGATGGAGGCAGATGCTCTGCTCTGGAGACACCTGAAACAAACAGCTGAAATAAAGAGGAAGCTTTTCCTGGGGTGATGTGTTCACACTTTCTCTAACCTTAAGCAGTTTTGACACAGTTTTTGTTCTTTCTAGATTAAAATAAGGCTATTTCTGGGCTACCTTGTGTTTTAGCAGTTGTTAGTGTTCTATTTTTGACTATAGCTACATATGCTTTTTGCCATCATATGTAATATGGAGTATTTCATAAAATATATTATTTTGACAATTTGTGCTTAAAAAGGTTTCTGCCAAAATGCAGACACCAAAACCTTTAAATTCCCTGTGACTGTATGTGGTGGGTCAGAAGGTTTAGCAAAGTAATTTAAAAGGTTTTAAAACTGAAAAACTATTTTTTAACCAAAAACATTCCAGTTTTATTCAAACTTGAACAGAATTTTTTTTTTTCAATTTTAGTTTGATCTAGCTCTATCTGATGTGTTTTAATTTCCCCGAACTGAAGAAAACCAAAAAGATGTTTGTGACATTGTGTGAAAGAAATTAACATTCTCTGATGGAAACCCCCTGCAGACATAAGTCAAACATATGTAGAGGATATGAGGGGAAACAGTTCCACTATAAATGTAAGCAGTGATTTATTTTATTTTATTCTTAGAATAAGCCTGAGCTCCCCTTATATAAAACATGATAAGAAAACTAACCTTGACATTTTCCATCATATCTATGTCATTTATGTACAGCTTCACTTTCCAGTTTTTCTTGAAAATAAAAACTGATGTTGTTTGACAGAACTCTGGTACCAGATGTTTCTGCCGCCAGGCTTTAAGAAATCCAAGAAATACCCATTACTAATAGATGTGTAAGTGATTTTCTTTTGAACCAGACATTTTGTGATTGTTATATTTTCCCAATATAGTTAACAATCTTGTTGTGACTCCCAAAAACCCAGATATGCGGGGCCGTGTAGCCAGAAAGCGGACTTTATTTACAGGGTGAGCTGGGCCACATACCTGGCCAGCACTGAGAAAATCATCGTGGCAAGTTTCGACGGAAGAGGAAGTGGCTACCAGGGTGACAGGATAATGCATGAAATCTACAAACGCCTGGGAACCTATGAGGTGGAAGATCAGATAACAGCAGCAAGGTGGGGTGCGGAGGGAGGGCGGGGGAAGGGGGGCAGCTTTGTCATGTAAATGCATCTCAAACAAACAGACGTCAGCCTTTTTCCATCAAAGCCAGATAAAACTGGATTTCACCTGTTCTGCTTGATAAAACCAGAGTTAAAAAAAAGCAGAGGATTATGGGAAAAGGCACCATGTGTAACATATACTCTAGAATGATGGCAAAATGTTACACCTGCCTGTAGCACGGACCATGAAACAGCTCCGGTATGATTGGAGATTAGATGCATACGTGGAGAAATGACTCCACGTTGGCTAGAAAAGGAAATAATAACTTTTTTCTCAACTGTTTTTCTGAAAGAATTTGATCAAAACTGAGCTTAATAACAAAAGTTTGGCCTTCAAAAGTGTCACAACAGTTGGTCTACGGTCTACACATTGATACAGATTACCTCCTTATCTTCTGTAATATTCTGCTTGAATTTGTTAGAGAGTTCATCAAAATGGGCTTCATTGACCAGGACAGAGTGGCCATCTGGGGATGGGTGAGTGGAGCTGGAGTTTACGCCTCACCTCAGTGTCAGAGTGACTGGTGTCCACTGGAGTTTCAGTAATCAGCTGTTCTTATGTTACAGTCTTACGGTGGATACGTCACCTCTATGGCCTTAGGGTCGGGCAGTGGAGTCTTCAAATGTGGAATGGCAGTGGCCCCTGTTTCCAAATGGGATTATTATGGTACTTTTGTCATTTTTAAATAATAATAATAATATTAATAGTAATATTAATAATTTAGTCCTTTATTCGTCCCACAACAGAGAAATCTACAGTGAGTCATGCAACACCAGTTGAAGGACTATTTCATCTGTAATTCAATCTATTGGTCACATATCTGTTACACACACACACGCCACACAGTACTGGTATATATATATATATATCTATATATATATATTTGAATTCAAATTCAAATATAAAGTTACTTTATAGGGAGCTGATAAACTGTAATTTATCCCTTGACTGTTGTTGGGCCCCGTATGGCTATGAATATATTTGTGTATTTCTTATTTAACTATTTCTTAGTTCTTCTTGTATTTTTACCACCAACAACACGGTGTTAAAGAGAGGAAAGCAGAATTCAGGTGTCTGTAGATCCTTCAAAGTTGATGGTGATGGCTGTGTAGCTATTTTTGGATTTTGACAAAAGAAGGGGGATCATCTTCAAACACTGGCCTTATGTTAACACTTGTTAATATCAGGGATGGCTCCGATACTCAGGATTGGTATTCATCAAAATTTCAGGATTGAACATCGAAAAAAACAACTATTGCCCAAATGTTTAACTTAACTTTGTGCATCATGCTGTAAACAGGAACACTAAGAAAGAAGGTATCGGAATGATTTTGATATTGGTATTGGCAGATACTCCGTGTTGCAGTGTCAGTATCAGTATCATCATCAGTGACATTAAAAAAGTTGCATCAAGTTAATACATATCTTCTGCTTCGCTGTTTCAGACACCATTTACACCGAGCGTTACATGATGGAACCCTCAGAGAACCAGGCTGGCTATGCTGTGAGTTTCACTCTGATAATTGATAATTGATACTTGCCCTTTTTGTTTACACTAACGGTCATGATGTTACCTCCACAACAATATGTCCGTGTGCAGGACTCCACAGTGACGGCCAGGGCCAAGAACTTCCACTCAGTCCAGTACCTCTTGGTGCATGGAACAGCTGATGGTGAGTCACACAGCCAGTCGTTTTTATAACTTTATAACTCCTCAGCACATGTCAGACCCAGCTGAACCTTGACCTGACTTTATCTCCAGTTGGTTTTACCTCATCTTTTTATCTCATCTGCTCAAATTTCAAATAACACTAAATCCAAAATGAATCATACACAAGTATTTCCTTTGTGTGTTTTTTTTTAGACAATGTCCACTTTCAGCAGGCAGCAGAGATATCAGAAGCCCTTGTGGAGGAGCAGGTGGACTTTGAAGCAATGGTAAGTGAAAATTAAGTTGAATTCTTTAACCAGCATAACTGCCTGTTTAGAAAATCAATAGACCGTTCCAAAATTAGGCTATATTCACAGTAGGACTGGCCCAATCAGATACTCAGGTATCTGAGTATCTAGGTACCCCTGCACATGACCACATTTAGTCACATTCACCTCTCTAACTTTTTTTTTTAGTTACTGTTCTAAACTGTAACCAAAGAAATGTCTTCTTTCATTTAATCCATCTGTGTAAATACTGAGTTACTAACAACAGATAAACAGGAGCAGTGGGTTTTGGGCATGCTCCTGGGAAGCTTCCTCAACACACAACTTCCTTGTCACTCCCAAAATCTCAGAATCTTCTTTTCTGCCACCTCCAGTGCAGCCTAATGTCTATTGGCCTGAACCACTGCATCATGGCAGGTCCCACTACTGTCCAAAAGCTATCCTTTCATTTTTGCTGCTTTCCTTATGTTACAAGTTGCCTGTTATGTGCGTCTCTGTCTGTCCCACCCTGCCTGCACCTGTTTCTTCACCTTTTATGTGCTCTGTCCATTTCCGTGGATGGTTGATTCCAGGTCCTTTATCTTTCCATTTGCCTCTTCCTCCTTTACACACGTGTTATCTCCTGCTGACCTTCATTCCGCTTTACTCTAAACCAGGGGTCACCGACCTTTCTGCAACAGAGAGCTACTTCAAGGTCACTCAGTAATACAGAGAGCTACTTGTTTGATACAGACTTCCCCAACAATGTAATAATAATTAGTTCTGGGACATACAATAGTAGACACTCGATTTATTCGGCCCATTTGAATATCACTGCAAGTGGAACTGACTCTACAAGCACAGTAACAGTACAGTTTTGACCCTCTTGTTGACTAGGGTACTCTTTAGAACATACCTTGCGGACACCTTAGGTAGTCCACAGGGGCTACCAGGTGACCCTGGGCACCACGTTGGTGACCCCTGCTCTAGAGGAACTGTCCACCTTCTCAGTTCCCTACCATCATTACAAATTACTTCATGGACCTCATCTATCAACCTGTTCATCACCACAGCAAACAAATTGAGGCCCCACCCCTACCTCTCATCATCATCTGTCAGTACGCCCTCACTGCCCCCAAACAATGCGGCGCCACCTGTATGTGTGTTTGTGTGTGAGTGCATGCCTGTTCGCAGGCTAGAGAGACCGAGTCCAGCCCCAGGACTGACTGACTGACAGAGATTAGAGATGGTGAAATGTTGTTTATTATTATTACTTTGTTTTGTTATCACTAAAGAGACTGTGACCGTGAACACGAACAGGTATCGACTGTGCAGCAGATACCACACTGAAAGTCAGTGTGAACACAAAAGTGCCAGGGGATCGACAGTGTACCAGAGCAGCTAGGCCCTGTGATAGACTATTGTTGGTCACAATCTAGATGGCAAGACATGGGACATAGATTGTCAACCACTGATAATGATCTACAGTATGAGTGACAAATGGCATTGGTTGAATGACCCTGTCACAGAGCAGTAATTATTTACAACACAACACGCAACGCTACAGTGGGTGTGACCGTGACCTCTGGCCAAGCTGTCAAACCGTTACCTCAGGGAAGAGTTTAGCTGCTGTGTGAATGGTCAGCGCTTTTAAAGAAAAGCTAATCTGAGTCTGGTTAAATTTAAAAACATAACTCTAACTGCGGGCTTGTAAAAGCCAATCATGTTGTTTGTTTGTTTGTAAAGTGACAGTGTGTTTCTGTTCCAGTGGTACACTGACAAGGATCATGGGCTTGGTGGCTCCGCCTATCAACATGTCTACACCCACATGACTCACTTCCTGCTAAGGTGCTTTCAATGACTCCTCTTTTTTCCTAGTGTTTGGGATCAGGATTTAATTGTCGCTGCAGGTTTCATTATTACTCAGCCAAATGCCAAGAAAGAACACAGTTTCATTCTGCACCTGAATATGACTTGAACAAGTGGAGTATATTATTCACCGATTTACACACAATGCACTTAAAATACTCAGTTCATAAATGTAGTAACTGTTTAACTAATTATTTGTCTATTGTTTCGTGAGAGTAATTTAAAGAAACATTCAAATGAAACATGATATTTTTTACAAGCTGCTAAACACTGCAACTCCACTGAAGGGTGATTAATGACATCATAACACATTTGTCAGTTGAAAAGAGGAGTCAGGGTTATGATAGGTCTGACCTTTGACGCCCTGTCGCAAGGACTTAAATAACATTCATGTTTGATATAGTATAATTTGTTAATTTGTTGTGACAAACCTCAACCCTAACCCAACAATCATTTTTTTATTTTTGCATAACCAATGTGTGTATTGCTGTATTCCACGGAAATTAAACACTGTGTATAAGCTGCACCTAAAGCCTTTCAAAATAAAACATTTCTGCTGCATAAAAAAATATTCTCACAGATTCCTAACTGCCAAAATGGTACAAAGCTTCATTACAACTATGGTGAAGCTGGGGAAGCAAATTCCATAGAAATGAATGGTTGTAATCTAGACTGGACACCATCCTGTTTATACATCTATGATGACCACAGATATTGATATTGTCAAGGCTCGGTGAATTTTCAAAATAAAAAACATTTCAGACTTTATCCTGCCAGTACTGGAGTCTGGAAATATTATCTTTAGCTTGAGAAAGTAAAGGAAAATAACTGGATTCTCTTTAAGTCGCTTCGGCCCGATACCAAATGATCAATACCGGTCCAGGCACCGGGGATTTGGGACCTCAGCTGTAAGGCATAATGGTTGCAGTATTATAAATGGGTGCCAGAGTTAAATCTAAATATTAATTTGTTAAAGGTATTTACCGAGTGTTAAAAGTTCTGGTATTTCCACAATGTGTTAGGGTCTTTTATAGCTATGGTTACACACCAAATGACCTCTGGGTCAAGGGTCGTTTTTCACAAACATCAGCTGGTCTGTGCCAGTCTGGTTGAACAGGTTGCTTATGCAGAAATAAGTCAATATTTTCTGTTCAGTCCTGGTAATTTGATCAGATGGAATCGCCAAATACTGACTCACTGCTCAAATATGACACTGCACGCATCACTTCCTGTCATTATGATGAGGATGACACAGTAGCCCGTGAAAGAATCGCCTCCTCCCCAGCTCATGGCACTCTCTGTTTGCCCAGATGAAATGCTCTTGTTTGATCTCAACACCTAAGTAGACCTCACGCATGGGTGGCCATTGCTCTGGACCAAACGCTCCAGCTCGTTCTCTCAGACAATAAGCCGGGGTCGGTGTCTAATGGGTTGAGAGTAAAAGGTAAATCTGGAGGAGTTGTTAACTCAGTCCAGACCCCAGAGTCCATCTAGGGTATAAAAGAGCACCTGTGTATGAAGAGAGTTAGATACAGACACCAGCAACAAGTGGAGGTACTACTCATTTGTAGGGCAGAAAAGGGAAATAAAGGTAAGTTGGGATTTGGTTGCATGCACACTGAATTCAACTATTATCACTCGTAACCTCTTTGAAAAAGGTCTTAACATTATTTCTGCTTTTTTCCCATGGGTGTACTTAGTTTATAACCATGAAAAGCATCCGTTCTCTGGCTGGAATCCTCCTGGTTTTTGGCTTTGTCCACACCAGCTGCCAGGTTCCTCTGCAGGAAGCGGACGACAGCTCCAGGTACTGGTTTGAAGCACGGCTTCTGCCGTTTTAGTAGTTTATTTGGTCATTCTTTTTTTGTTTTATCAAGGGATTTTTTACTTTATATTCTTGGAATAATTGCTGTCCAAGCATATTCATTGATCAAACAACCTAAATATGTGCTTTTTTCAGTAGGTTTTGCTGTTAACATAAGTTAGGTTGACAAGATAATTGAAACCAATAGTGAATGTAAAAGGCAATTTTAAATTCTGAGTTGATCAAAGTAATGATGTTGAAAAAAGACCCTAAAGAAATGAGCATCAGTGAGTTTTTTACTATTTCTGAAAAAATGAATATGGAGCATATCACCTCAGTCTTTAAACTAATAAAATAAAATAATTTATTTAAAATAATTTATTTATATTTCTCTTCAGTACACAATGATAAAATAAAAAAACACTTTTACAAACACTTATATAAAGTTTTATAATTTATTTATATTTCTCTTCAGTACAACATATGGTCATGGTCACTGTTTTCTCCTCAAGTTTTGAGTCACAGGTCACGTTAGCGGACGAGTCTAGAGATGTCTCCAACATGAAAAGACACTCAGAGGGAACATTCTCCAATGACTTCAGCAAATACCTGGAGGACAGGAAGGCACAGGACTTCGTCCGATGGCTGATGAACAACAAGAGGAGTGGGTGAGTGAATAAGTGAACATCTTTCATCCATCCATCTATCTATCTATCTATCTATCTATCTGTCTATCTGTCTGTCTGTCTGTCTGTCTATCTATCTATCTATCTATCTATCTGTCTATCTGTCTGTCTGTCTGTCTGTCTATCTATCTATCTATCTATCTGTCTATCTGTCTGTCTGTCTGTCTGTCTGCCTATCTGTCTATCTAGCAGTAATACAGTAATGCAGTAAAGCCAGATGTATGACATCAAAAATCTGACCAAAACACTTTCAAACCTCTGGTCATAAATTTCAGTACTTATAAATGTTTAAATGTGTTAAACAGTGTGAGCACCTAAACATGCACAAAAAATGCTATTCTTTGAACCAAAAATGATTATCCTCCTGGCATCAAATCTGGGCAACACATCTCTAAGAAATATATCGTTTGATACAAATATGGTATATTAATATATTGACTTAATGTTTACAATCACATTAATGTGTAGGAGGTTGGTTTTAGCAGTACGTTCAGCCTGTTCTGTGGAGATTTGGATGCTATAGCCTGAATATGTGCAAAGAACTATTTTTCTTTGCACATATTTCTTATCCAGGATTAAAATGGTTTATTTTAGGGATGGCCCGATCTGATACTCAGGATCGGTATCGGTCCGATATTGGTCAAAATTTCAGGATTGAATATCGAAATGACAACCATAGCCCATCCACTCTGATGGCTGAGTCCATATGTTCAACTTAACTTTGCACTACATGCTGTAAACAGGGACACTATCACCTCAGCATGGTGGAGGAAAAAAGAAGGTATCGGATTGATGTCGGTAAACACTCGCAGTATTGATATCAGACAAGACATTTTCAAAACTCAGCAGAAGGGCGGCTTTGTGACCCATTTTTTCTGCCAAAAACCTTCAACATCTACTGTTTTTCTTTGTTTTTTTAGCTTTGCCGAGAAGCGCCACGCAGATGGGACCTTCACCAGTGACATGAGCTCCTACCTCACGGACAAGGCAATTAGAGACTTTGTGGCGAGGCTTAAAGCTGGACAAGTCAGAAGAGAGTAGGCAGCTCCTCCTTCCTCCTCCTCCTCCTCCTCCTCTTCTGCAGAATCCAAACCCTTCTTCTGACCTTCCTTTGTCTGTTTCCAATGTGAAGAAAGAGACAGGGATGTTGAGTCGGCAGGAAAAAACTAATCAACTGCTATTTCTGCTCCTTCACTTTATTTCTGATTATTTTCTTTGCTTTGTTTCATGACGAATCCTGTGATTGTGCTCAAATAAATCACCTGAACTTGTTTTACAGTATTGATTTATACATGTCACACCTGTTTTGCATTGAATGATTACTATTATTATTATTATTATTATATTACTGTTATTAGTCAGATGGGAAACCTCAGCAGCTTCTTAGATAGTGGGTCAAATCAAAACCCTTCCTTTCTCTTTCCTTACCATCTCTCTTCATATAAAATTGGTCACTTCACCACAGTGTGAAAGGAATTTTAATCCTTTAGTTGATTACATCTGAATCTGGAATCCGTTTTTTCTGACCCTTTGATCAAACCGGGTCACACATTTGATCCATTTCTGTTTTGTTTTGTGGTTTCAGTTTGACTGACAGTCTGCACATCTTTTGACAATCAATTTGACAATCATTTAATGCTACTATATATGTGGGCCAATTGACCAATACTGACCTGTGTGAGTTATTGGACCAGACAAATTACTCTGGACCCAAATTAGGCAATAAAAGGGTCTGACATATTTCAGAAGTGGCTGTGTTGTGTCCAACAAATAAAATCTCAGCCACTTCATTCATCTCTGCATGGACACCAAGTGGAAGAAGACCAAGTTATTGTTTAAACCACACTGTAGTTTAAGAACGCAGGCCTCATATTTGGCAAAATGTTGACCAATCACTCAATAGTCCCAATTTTTGACATTCTATGGACCAGACAAATTCATCTGCAAACAATAAAATTATAGACAGGTAGCTATTGCTGGAGATAGCAATAGCAGCCCGTCTGTAATTTTATTGTTTTTTGGTCTGGATGGTTAAGATTCAGACAGATTTTCTGGTATTTTTAGGGCTATGTTCTGTAACTTGGATCTGACCCACATTTAAAACATCAGATATGGACCAAAAGTGTTTTTTATGCCCTAGTGGAAAAAAGGCCAAACTGTCTGATTCAATATTAGGCCCATTGGATTATGTTTGGTTTTATATTCAGGATGTAGGCCAGTCTTTTTTTGCAGTATGTGGGCCAAATTAAATGACTCTGCTGCTCGTCCTCCATACAGTGTTAGTGTGGCCGAGGCTGCGGTTAGATCACTGTGGTCAAACTGGCCATGGAGTGGTCAGTTTACTATGTTTTACTATGTACCTCTGTGCATACTCAGATCTGAAAGGGAAAGGCCCCGCAGGAGGCACGTAGATGGAAGCTTCACCAGTGATGTTAGCAAGGTGCTTGATTCCATGGCTGCAAAGGAATATTTACTGTGGGTCATGACCTCCAAGCCGTCGGGGGAAAAGTAAAGGTGAGTACTGTGAGGAACCTGGTCACTCCCAGGGCAGATTTTAATGTGTACTACACGTAAGGAGATGTCACGTTCACTGTATGTGTTGTGAAGCAACATGATTCACGTTGCACAATGGCAGTGACATTTGCAGTACTCTGCAGTACACCCTTTTGTAGAGTAGACTATTGAATATTGTCTACCACTACCCCCACTCACAGCAATTGCTTAAAACTCAACCTTAATCTAAACAATAATTCTTAAGAAAAAATTGAATTAATATGTGCAACTCCCATTTCTTTTTTATGGTCTGCTGGTGGTGGTCATCTGCTGCAAGTGACTGTGATCATCTCTTCTTTTTTTTCTTTTTTTTTTTTTTTGCAGCTCCAACAGACAGATACCTGTGTATGCTGCACATGTAACCGAAACGACCAGGAATAGGAAGCCATACTGTTTGCATGTTGTAAAGACCAAATATTTAAAACTGTAAAAAAAAAAAAAAATTGATCAGGAACCTTAAGCACCACAAACCCTTATCAAAAAAACTATATGTCTTGTGCATGCTCATAATTGCAGACTGCATTTCCACTTTTAAAACAGTCCTGTGACTATAATGACAATAAGCCCACTCTAATATGACCAAAGTTAAAAAGTCAAAGTTTAAAGAGTTAAAGTAAGTTATAAAAAAGAGACTAGTCAACAGCCTAGGAGAAGTTAATCAAACAACAAGTAGAAGTAAACTAAAGAATAACTGATGATATATTTGTGTTAATGGAGAGTGTACTCATTCACTCACCCACAGTCCTGAAATAAAAGCTCACAGAAAATATAACTAAAGGTCATCAACAAAAACAAAATATCAAATAATCAAAATCAAGGAAAGTTGTATGATAGGTACAGGATTTGACCAGTGTAAGAGGAATCCTAGACTGTAGATGCTAGTCTTAAATGTCCTCATCAGTTTTTCTTCCTATAAGAATTTTTTTTTAAATCAGAAATTTGTAAGGCATTATCTTAAAGTGTGTGTTTTATCACAGATACTTCCTTGTATTAATGGTTCCTGTCAGTAGCTCCTGCTAGAGAAACATGTCTCATGTTTATAGTGCACCAGAGAAAAATCTCATTCAGGATTTGTTATTTTTTATTTTCTACAGATTATTTAAATTATTACAAATATTTTTTGGAAACATGTTGTGAAAAGTAAATTCTCCAATAGATCAATGGAAAGTGTAACTGGTGTAGTAAAGTTTTCACTTTATTACTGTTCTGCTGTGCAAATTAAAGAAGTTGATTGTGTGTTTGTAGTGTGACTGATCTCATTTGTAAACATCTGCCTAAATTTTGATACTAATAATCACACACATAGCAAAATTACTACCAATACTTATTGCCAGGTACATTTACACATAATTGGTTCTGCTATTGATGCATTAAAACAGAATAAAATAAAATAAAAGAAATACTGTATAAAGACCATGGTTTAAATTAATATATTCCTACTAAAGACAAAAAGAGTAAATAGTGTGCCATAGTTGATATTACTAAATCTGAAAGGGTCACTAATAACGTAATGTTAGCTGTAAGGTTGGCTGGATGATAAGTCTGTTGTTTACGTGGAAGTAACGACAGGTCTGGGACTGAGGTTCTACTTTGGGTTGACAGTAGCCTCTTGCCAGAATAAAACATCTGCAAAGAATGGGCCAGCTGGATTGGACAAAGATGTTGCAAGATCAGGCTGGACTGAGAGAAACAGTGGGAGATGGTGGTTATGGTCAGAAATGAAGTGGAAAAGAGCAGATTGAGAAAGATTTGAGAACAGAATGAAGAACAGTTTCTTCCCAGAGGCTGAGCGACTGCTGACCCCTGGTAAGGCACTGTGCTCCTATCACAGGGGGCGGCAACCCACAGCTCCAGAGCCACATCTTCCCCTCTGCTGAGACTCCCTGGTGCTTTGGAAAATAAATATTGATTAATTATTAATTAATTATTTTTTTGTTTTGTAATTTTTTTAACTATAATTCTAAATTTGAAGATTATTGGGCTGTTGTAAATATTAAACTAAAAACTTTTATTTTTGTCTCTCAAAATACACCTCAAAGCGGCCGACAGGTGACACTAATCAATGTGCAATTTATCAAACGTTTCAACACCATGGAACGCCGTACGCGACACTTATTAATTAAAACATTCGTGTAGCCCTGGTGAGTAGAAACATAATAAGATGTCGACAAAAGAGTGTCCATTTAATCAATGTTTAATTGCGCACATCGGAAACATTTCAAATGTACTATTATACCTGAATGCACCACTTGGTTCACGTACCCCACTTGGAGCGAGGGGTCTAGCCCAACAGCCAATCAGGAGCTACGTAGGTTACGTTCAGCTTGTCAGTGAGCAGGTGAAGCGCTGACGCGCTGTTTGTTTGATCCTCTCCAAAATCAGCAGCGGGACGGAAGTCAAGTGCTCGCTAAAACGAAGGGAAAAGGAGAAAAACTGTGAGTACAGGGTGAAAGGAGACAAACTAGTTCACTTACCTGCTGAGAGTCCGGAGCTGAGTGACTGAATGAAGGAGATGAGTTACGTGGGTAAGGCGGGTTGTTTATTTAAAAAAGAATGACCGTTAATACATGCTAATTAGTATCTTCTACTTAATGAGCCGCTACAAACCCTAACATTGCGCGCTCAGCTTAAACGTATAAAAACGTCGAGAAACGTGTGTCTCTTAGCTACTTAATCCTATGAATTATTCAGTTATATTTTAATTATAGATATAGTTTATTTTGTAAATACTAAATAGAGAAGGATTGAATTCATTCTATTGTGAGTTTGAAGTAATTATGCACAATTATTTAATATCTCTGAAAACAACTGGCTACATTCCATGGTATTTTACTCATTCCATTATTCATTCGTTATTGACATTTATGTTATCCTGATTTTGATATGAATGTGATATATCTTGAATGTTGGCAGTTACTAACTGTAATTAATATTATTTAGACACTGTTCACTTGAACAGGAAAAATGTTATTTTCTGAATTTTCAATCCTCATATCAGAACATTTGGCATTCTTGAATGTTTAATGTTGTACAACCGAAACTTAAGTTTTAAGACTTGATAGATGAAGGTTGATGGAATACATAGAGTTCTGACATTTAACCTTTTTATGATGTGTCTGAGAATAGAATGTAATCGAATGTAATGTGACCTTGTCTATAGGTCTTGTTTCTGAGAGGATGAGAAAGTTTGACGACCAGGACTAAATCCACATCATATTTGATGGTGAGCCTTTAACCTTGAAGGAAAAGACAGACATGGACATACAGGTACACACACAAACACACCTTTAAAAGTAGGTGCACCTGCAACATATTTAAATCTTAAATAGCTTCAACTGGTTCTATCTATTTTATTTTATCTTCAATGTACACACATTTTATTTCTGATTATCTTGGGTCATTATTTTATTTTATTGTATAATGTGTTTTTTCCATTACTATTGTAAAAACACAAGAGTAGCTACTCAACAATCAGTCTGTCTGATTTATTATTGCTGCTTATATAAAGCTCCTAATTAATTTGGTGTCTTCTGATTCTACCCATGGTTTTATTACTAGCCTAAATGGATTCCCTTTTTTAGCACTGGAACTGTTTACATATGCATCTAGTCTTCTTACTATCCACATACGAGCATGAGCATGTGTTCTCCAGCATGAACAATTGAAAACAAAAATCGTCGAACATGTTTGGCATGACATAAAAACCTTGAAACTTTCCTCTACGGAACCAGAAACTGCAAATTTGCAGCTGTCATGTCATTTGTTATAAGGGATGGTGCGATCCAATACTCGGGAACTGTATTGGTGTGATATGTGTTCAAAGAACAAACATCAAACATTTCAAAAAAACAACTACACCTAGTCTTAACCATTTCCTAAGCCTCAACCTTACTTTGCTTAAAATGCCGTGAACAGGGTGTAACACTATGGCCTCAGCGACTGTAGCCCACAGCATGCTGGAGAGAGAAAAGAAGGTATCGGATTGATATTGGTATCAGCAGATACTACCAAGTTGCAGTATTGGTTTTGAACATGAAAAGTTCTACCTATTTGTTATACCACATCACAGCTGAAATCTAGCTAGAAATACTCTCATAAATAGCTATATGTTGGATAATGTTGCTGCAGAATTTATATTAGTTTTTGGGAAAAGAAATCTCAACACAGAAAGTGTTTAATAACTTTATTTATGTTTTCTCTCTCACACACACTCAATCATTCAACCTTACAAAACAAATCACAAATGAATAACAGACCTGAACTGATCTTAAAATAGTCAACAAAATGTGAACAGCTAGCACTACCGAGTTTAAGGCAAAACTCCACACTGAAGTGATCAAATCATTTCATACCGATATAGTTGCCGAGCAAACATTAGCGTCCTAGTCAACTCAGACAATAAAGGAAAAGGAAAAAATCTACATAAAAAATTCTGCCTTCAACAACAACAGCTTTTTGTTAGTGATAGAATAATTTTACATGAATAAAATAGACTATATATAATACATTGTTAAGACTCTTTACTGTTTATTACAGCCCAGAAAAAAACAGGTATTATTGCATCTCTAGAATCAACATTGTTCTGCAGTCAGGTGGTACTTTTTCACCATCATGCAGGTGTTTTTGTATTTTTTACAAAAACATGTAACTTCCAAAGCCAACACATTATACAGGGTTTATTTGGAGTAAAGAAGTTTATAGATGACATTTAACTGACAAAGATGACAGAGTATTCAAGACGGATACAACACATATAATGTTTACAGAACCCTTTAAGGGGATAGTTCCTTTTTAAACATACTGTAAATAAGTATACAGAGGAAAAGCCAGTCTGACCATACCTTAGGCATCAAAACAGAAAATCCCCCCTTGCTTTGGTTACTGATATCAGAGACTATTATTGTTTTCAGAAAACCGAAGCTCATAAATATTGCACTCTACTAATTAATAGATGAAATCAAGGGTTATCTCAACAGGCAAAAAAACTATAAAGTCATACAATTACACATTTGAATGTACTTAAAATCTCAGTTTTTAATGTATCATACACTTATACATACTTTACACAGGGGTCCTCGGCTCGTGTCTGAATTCCGTTCCTATGATGCAATGTAACTTTTTTCTAAAAAATTGTAAGTCACAACCTAAGTCAGAACTCACATACTATACATGAGTATGTCACTCACCTTCAATAACACAGTGGTAACATAATCTAGGACATCAGAAAAGTCTGACCTAGACTTGGAAGCCCTAATGAAGGGCACAAAAAACAAATTATGCAAGAAAGTGAAAGCAGCACAATCCAATGTGTCAACTGGCAAAAGTCAACTAAAGTTATCCACACATAGTGCCAGATGACAATAGTAGTCATCCTCTACACTCAACAACTAGCTCACATGAGAAATTTGGATCAGAATGACAGAAAATTATGGTGACATAAACCACGAAATGCCATGGGTCAAGAATGTCGTAAACCAAGGACTCCCTGTATTGTAAACATAGTGATTTTAAATAACCTTCAACCTACGTACTCCAACCAATTTATATTTTTATAGGAAAAAAAGCAATTTTTACTCCACAGTGCAGGTTGTACCAGTTGTACTTACTGTGTCAGGCTGGTTTCTCTGTCTTACCTTCAAACAACCACTGCTCAAAAATCTGAACTATCCCTTTAAAGGTCAGCATTAGCAAATGTATCAAGACAAAAAGCTAGAATTACTCATTTTCAAAAGCTAAAGCCAAGCTAAATAAAATTTGGTAAGGGATATTAAAGTGTGACACTACTATTTTTACTGCAATGCCATTTGCAGTAAAAATTGTAAAATGAAACAAAAAATGCTGGCTTATTTTTATAGAAGTCATCAACTAAAGATATTGTTTCTATAGTTCATTTTGTACACAAATCAAATCAGTGGTGAAATTGGTCACAACTGCCCAAGCTAAGCTAATGTACAGGCTTGTGCAAACAACAAAATACTCACGTAACAGTGGAAAATTGGCGGAATTACATTTATAGAAAATAGAAAAAAAATAGAAAAATTACTATGTGGTTAAAATTTTAGTTAACACTGAAACATTACTGTTCTCAAACATTAGGATATTATCTTCACGACTGTGAGGTGCATAAAGTGTTTTCACGATAACAGGTTTTGACAGGAGTCACACTGGAAAGAGGTAAAAAATCATACAAAATACAAAAAAAGGTAAAAACCATCAGTTTTTTTTGTATTGTCCTGTTAGTTGATAGGTGACATATTTTTGGATTTGTGGCCCTTATACAGAGCAAAAAGTAGTGAATTGATTTCTAGTATTCCACATCTGGCACGCCAGATTGGGCCATATAATGGGTCAGCTTGGTATCCATTGGCCCACACATTTGTGTTATTTACCATAGATTTGCTAAGCTAATCAATTACCGAAACCTCTACAAATTTGGCCTTTGTTAGGTGAGGCATATTTGTCTTATTTTCTGTCACCAGAATATTGGTCATACAAGATAACGTTGTTGTCCGGGCCAGTTTGCATACCAGATGTGGCCCATCATCTATAACAGAACAAATTTGTCTGGCTCTCCCTTGGATTATGTAGGCAACATTCTAGATACAGCACAGGGTGGTGTGCAGTTAATTGCTGTGGTTTGTTATTTAGTCCATATAAAATATATTGTGGACCACCACTGGAAAAGTACTATTTTACCAAACAGTCATCAAAACAGGCCTACACAGCAAAAATGATTTTTGCGGGGCCACATACAGTATGGTATCTTTGCATTATGTGGTGCATAAATCAACCAATCAGAAACAAAAACTGGTCCATGTCCATGATGTGATGGATTTAACACAAGTCTATGTTTGGCTCAACAAAGAAAAGGACTGGTTTCCACTGGACAACATCTATGTGGACTGGTCATAAGACCGGTCATAAGATCCCAAAATTCGGTGCTGTAAAAACGTCATGTGAAAATGGTTGTTTCCCATCACTGGGCCAGGCCGATTTTATGGGTATATGTGTCCCAGGCTCTTTTTGTTAATTCTTTTCAAATCAATATATGTGATTTACACAACTCTCACACAGACATAACATGACAAAACACAGTGTAACACAGTACAGTGGTTTGAATGTGGCACAAAACATTTTTTTTTAAATTTTGGATTTACTGATGGACAGCAAAGTGGCGCCGTCAGTACGAATCGTCACAAACTTGTCTCCCTGTCCAAGCTCTTCTGGTGTCTTCGCCGCTTGTGTCTTGTACCAACACAACTAGAACAGCTGTGTCACAACATGATTCAAAAGGAAAAAACAATTAAACAACAATTAAAAGTTGACATTGAAGGTTGTTTTTGTTTCAAAAATGTGTGATCATTCAAGAATAGTATGATAAAGTGGTTTTTAAATCAGCTTCTGTGGCTCAAAAGAGGGAATTAATAACAAAAAGAAGTTATCATACATATCGCTATAAGTATCAGCCCAGAATTTCACATTGGTGTATCCCTAATTGTAACATGTCCATATCGTGAAATATCCATAAATGAATGTTGCATCAGTGAAAAGTGTGATTGTGGTAAAAGTGAGACAAATCTTACCAAGCTTTTAATACTGAAATAGAAAAAGCATGCAAAAAAAGGATTTAGGATAAAGCATTACACCTACACAGGCCATGCTTGGTGTGCCAAATAAATCATTGTTTCGGAAGGCAAAACTAAAAATATATTAAATATTCCCAAAAAGTACATGCAGCAGCAGCAGTACAGATTTTGGTAGTAGCTTCATGCTGGCATGAAATCCATGCAACTTACAACTTACCTTTATAATTTCAGCTTTGGAGAGGTTAGGAAGGGGAGCTAAGGGACGTTGGGAATAAGACAGGAGTTTATGGATGAGACTATGTTTAGACACTGTTAGTCTCTCTGTCGAAAATATTTATTATTATTGCATTTCATACAGGGTCCCAGCTTCAGTACTATTAATGGCCCATATAATAAGACAAGTTACACACACATCTTCACCAGAGTCAAGAATGTATTGTTAACATAGGTAACATTAAAATAGAAAAAATAGGCCATCATAATAAAAAACTGATAACAAGCTAGAGGAAGAAAGAGCTGTGGAAGTTAAAATGAATCAGAATGAGCTGAGAAAGTTGGATAAAATGAATCACAAAGCTGGGGGTTATTTTAGACTCTAGCTGTGCAAACATATATAACTGACTGGCAGGAACTCAATACAATATACAATATATCACCCCTGTTGTGTCCTTCCATTTTTGGCTCCCTGTCACCTGCCTTTGCAGCAGCGGCCCCTAAACTCACCTTTTTTTTCTTTTGCGTTTACCATAAATGAATGGTTGCACTTTAATGTACATATTTGGATTATATATGTATATATATATATATATATTTCAGTTATTGAAGTCCTTGGTTTTATGCCTGTGTCTTATTGTATTATGAAACATTTTATTTTAATTCAGTTTGTTTTTAAATATGCTTCATGAATAAGTTAAATTGTATTGGATTAATTCAATAAAATAATAATAATTCAATAATGTTATAGAACAAGTTAGTCAAAGTATAACAGAATTGGAAAGGGAAGAAGGACAGTAAAACAAGACAACTGAAAAGCATAGTTAAAATATAGATTGATCTTAGCTAAAGCTAAATAAAAGTTTAACAAAAATAAGAAAAGAAAGTATTTTTTCTAAAATACCCAAAAGTGTTGCTTCAGTATCTTAAATTAAGAAAAATATAAATAACAAACCTTCAGAAAATAGCTGACCATTAGGTAGACATAGCTATAATCCATCCATCCATTCATTTTCATCCACTTATCCGTTACCGAGTCGTGGGGGCAGCAGTCTCCACGACCGCCACCCAAATCCCACTGCACCGTACCAGCCCCCCCTGAACCTTCCTGTGGGTGGTGAGTCCACTGGAAGGTACCAACCACCCTAACCTGGATTCACTCTAACCCAGGAGGTGAACCCTGGGGTTCCACACCAATGACAGAGACGTTGGCTCTGGGCCAAAGCACCACCATAGCTATAATAGTTAACTAAAACATTGTGACATAATCTGACAAAATTGTATAGGAGCTTCAGTTGTGTGCAGAAGACATCCTAAAACAATTCAGTTTGTGCATTAGCATTAGGGAGGAGGGGCAGGCTAACCTTTTGGTGCTTGGTTCCTTTTTGATGGTCTCTGCAGGGTTCACACTCTTCCATACATTCCCAAATGATCCTTTGGACATCTCATCAGTGATGTTCACTGTGGCTGGGTCACCTCTACATAAGAACACATATGCAGCACAAACATGGGTTATATCCATACACTATAGTATGTGAAGGGCATTTGTAAATATGCATGGATTCAAACTACTAGAAATTCATAATTATGTTAAAAAAATAAAAAATAAATATTTAGGGGGAAAAAACAAGCTTGCAAAAAGGCCCAAAATTAAGTAAATAGAATGTTGCCACACTTTTTCAAAAGCAAAAAGTAGCTACATACAATCTGAGAAAATATCTAAACATTTGCCCTAAGATTATATAAGATTAAATTATATGTAAAACATAAGGTTGCTAACAGTTTTAATATACTGTGTATATATATATATATTATTATTAATATATTAATGTACATATTTATAACGGCCCAACAGTAGTACTGGCCTGCTTTCCTCAGCTGTAACTGGCATTAGCATCCCAAAAATAAAACAGTGATTAAAAAAAAAAAGTCTCCTACTTGTAACGTCCCTCCAGTGGTACTTGAACAATACCTTCCTCCTCCATAATTATACTGTGCTCTTCCTACAAGCACAGACAAAAGGGAAAATTGAAAATGATGAACATGAGCAGCTGCAAAATTTTAAACTGTTAGTATTACAGATGTAGATTATTTAAATGTATTTTAAATAATCTACTATTTATTTAGCCAAACTGGGGCATTTGGGGGCATTGTATATACTTATGAATTTAGAATGTAAATAAAATGGGGTGTGTAGAATGTAAAACCATAAGCTCAGTACCTCTTGTGCAGCGTCTTCCAACTTCTTTTTCTTCCACTCTGGCATCAGGTCATCCAGCCAGCTAAGTTCTCTTTTTGAGAAAATAAAGTCCAGCAACTTCCGAATAAATACCAGGGCCAAGACCTGAAACAGACATGGAAGTCAAGAAGGATAACAAGAACTGCAATGTATAGAGCAGCCTTATTGTTCTTTGCAAAGTTAGGCCAGGTAGTCTTTTACTGACCATGTCAGAAAATAGTTAGTGAGGAAGGGATTTTAGCCAAAGGATAGCCAAACTAAGAATTTGACTACTAGCCAAATAGCAAGAAATAAGATAATTAAAAATCTAAAAGTTTTTAGCCAAAGGATGGCCAAAATAAAAAAATGAGTACTAGCCAAATGGTTAGAAGTAAGCTAATTAAATATCTAAAAGTTAACCAACAAAGAACAAAACTTCCAAAACATCCCTAAAAGCTGAAAAGTAATAAATAATCTAAAATCACTCGACTTAACCCAGTTGTAGCTAAAGGAGAGAAAACAATCAGTAAGTTTAGCAGACAATAAAGCAAGACAGTTACAGTTAATAGCCTACCATAAAATACTAAAAGAAATGTACCCAAAATACAAAGAAAACTAAAACATTTCAGCTAAAAACCTTTTGGTCAATTGTTATAGTGAAAGTTATAAGAAGGGAAAATATAGTGTAGAAGTCGCTAAGGACCATTACCGGTTGCTTAAAGTTAGCCCTAATTAAACAAAACTCTGGTTACCATCATAGGGAAAACAATGGCAGCCCTGGACGTCTTGATGACCCAGAGCAAAACCAGACAGCTGAGCTGAATGATGGTGAAGAGGTGAACCTTCCTCAGAGGAACATGGCGCAGATAGATGAAATCAGGCTGATGTTTGGCAGGCATCCCGAACAGCTTCAGTCGATCGAAGAACTGAAAGAACACAGAAATGACTACCTGAATCTCTTCAGAATGAATGGTACCAGAGAGCTTGTGATCTTACCTGAATCCCTCTGAGAGAGGACGCTCCCATGTAGAGAAAGACTCCATACAGAACAGGCATTGGAATAAACTAAGGACAAAAAAATATCGACATCTTAGACCAGAGAACAATGTTAGTCTTACAATCATTTTGGTAAGCACACATCTCCTGTGTTGGCTGCAAAGCTGTCTGATTATTTTTCTCTTAGTTTTCTCTTGTGGTTAATATGTCTTAGTTGTAAATGGGAGCTGTTTCTTTACATCTAGACATCTTTTTACAGCTTCTTTAGAAATGTCATGTTTTGTTTTTAATTTGACAAATGAATTTATTGCATTAGGGAATTAATTTAAATGCTTTAGCGGTGGTTTGATCCTATTGGTATTGGTACAATACTGGTCAAAATATCAGGATCAGACATCGGAAAAGCAACTTTGGCCCATGCGATCCGATATATTAGCCTTAATGCTAATATCTCGTGATATGCTGTAAAAAGGGACACTATTGCCTCAGTAACGGCAGCCCTTGGAGAAAAGACGCTATCAAATTGATATCAGTATCGGCAGTTACTCCAGTTTGAAGTATCAGTATTGGACATAAAAAGTTATATCGAACCATCCCACCATGTTATGATGTACCCTTGTTAAACCTTTGCTAAACTTTCGCTATGTTTTTAAAAATTTCTCTTTATGTGGTTATTTTGTTGTGGTTATTAAATGTTTTGCATTTGTACCTTTAACACAGAGGTCATGAAGACAGAGCAGCCCATCAGGGTGAAAATCATCAGCCCAGTGAAGCGCTGCTCTCTGATGCCGAGGAACTTGGGCTGTTCTCCGGGGGCGGAACACTCCGACTCTAGCTTCAGGCTGTTGACGTGGGAAATAGAGAGCACAGTGGCTGCCACAAACCAGGGCAAACCCATCACTGAACAAACTCCCAGCATGACACCAACCACAAAGAGGTCCAGGTGGTAGCCACAGCCTTTCTGCATAGACAGAACCAGTAGAGTTAAGATTGGATCTCTAGCAACTTGAAATTATTCCGACATAACAGGATCTTTAGGTAAAATACCTTCAACTTGTGTTCCTTTCTGTTAATAATTACAGCTGTGATCTGTTGGTCCATGAAGATGAGGATAGTACAGAGCAGAGCAGGGATAAAGGTGACGATTGTGGTCCACCAGGGATTTGGTCCCACAGGGTTAATGATCCAGCCCCGATCATCTCTGGTTGGCTAAGGCAGTGAAACAAAAATTAATGATTGGAAGAAGGTAATGACAGTAAGTGTTATCTAGCTGAGCCTAGCATTTGTTGTTGTTTGTTGGGCTGTATTCTTTTAAAAAAGATAAGAGATATTTTAATACAGCTTCTGATATAACTTAAAGCAGTCCTCTACTAAAACAAAAACCTGCATAATGCTTAACCTTGTTATGAAGAGGTTTTCTAAGCCAATAGGTGCTGAGTCTGGTTCTGACTGAACCTTCTATATGAGATTGTCTCATCCTTAAGCATCTTATTGTTCAATTTGAGCCAATTTCCGAAGTTTTAGTTTAAACTGAGACCAAGCTTCATATTGGATTTCAATTTGTGTTGGAGCTTCATATTGCCAATTTGACCAAGGTTGTTATTTGACTTTTTTACAGACTGCCAGATGATGGAACAGATTCTGGCAGGACGTCTGTGGACTTTCCTAAATTGTAGCAAATTAACAGCTGGCCTGTTAATTTGTTTGAGTTTGGCCTGTTGATGTGCTGTTAGAAATTTCCAATCAATTATTAATACAGCCAACATTATTTTGCCATTTTCCTGTTGAACAACAACTTAACGGTTGACTTAGATCACCATGGAGCAGTTCCATGTTACACAATATTTTATTATATTGACTTTGTTTAAATTTGAAAGCTTAAGGCTCATTCATGAGCCTTAAAAGAACTCTCGGAGAATTTATTTTCACAAATGCTCTCTCATCATGAGGCATTTGTATTTGAGAGAGAGTGTAGTAGTTTTCAAAATAAATAAATGTTCCCACTGTTATTCAGAATATGCTAATTTTATATTTTGCTCAGCAGCCACGTAGCAAATGACTGTCAACCCACCGCCATCAGGCCTGGTACTGGTCCAGGGCCAATGGTTGTGAAGCTCTGGCCCAGACTTTTGTTCAGTGCATTTGAGTACAGTATTTATAGGCTTACTTTAAACTTGTTGGGGACCTGCAGCTTAGGAGAGGGGATCCCAACAGCATAGTCAACAAGAATCATAGTGAAGATGGTGATGAAGACAGCAAAGTCACTGATAATTGACCGCACCTGCACAGATAGAAAAGCTTCATGTGACATTTCAATACTCAGACCATATTGTAAGATTTTGCAACCACCAGGGGGCATAGTGGGATAAGAATGTGAACGTGCATGCAACAAATAGAGAGGACTAGATTGCACATGTACCCTGGTGGGGAAGTAGCGGCTGGTCTTGAACTCCTTCAGAAATGCAGACATGAAGACAGTGGTGAAGAAGAGGACCACACACCAAAACAGGACGTCTGGAATGTATGGACCATGAGGTCCACAGGCGGTGCCTTCAAACATCCCATGCATGTTTTCGCAATCCTACTGGCCCAAAAGGTAAAGTAAAAATGAAGTTGACACATTTAAAAGCAAAATAATTATTTATTAATTAATCAGAAATGTATTTTATGTGATTTTAATATACATTTATTCATCCTTCAGTTCACCTATATTTGTCATTGTGTTCTTTTCTATATCCTTCACTTCTTTAATTTTTCTATTTATTCTACTTCCTTCATTAAATTTAATTTTCCTTCATGTACTTGTTCTTTTTCCAGTTCCCTTCTAACAGTGTTGCAGTGACACAGACCAATATTTCCTTACTATATCAATCTCTGTCTTGCCTCAGAAAGTGGTCATGTTACATTTTTTATTATTTATAATTGTGTAATCAGACACAACTCTATGAGTGGCTATTTTTCCCCCAGATAGAGTGTGTTTTATTTTGGGCCAATGACACATTGATATTAATTATAACATGTGCGACTGCACAGCCATCAATACATTTGTCTGAAAGTGAATTTGGCTCACATTGAATTTGTCTTATGCACTCCGGCTGGTGTAAAACCAGTTGCTGTGTGTAAAAATATAGAAGTTTGCAGGCAAACAAAATCCCAGCACTCATTTTGCAAAGATAATCCTGGCCAATCCCACCTACATGATTTTAGTCTCTGTAGTCATGGCACGACATGATGACCAACAGTAAGAACTCATGATGTTCTCTCCAGGCGTTTAAGACGGCAGCAGATATAATTCAAAACAACACATTTTACTTATTTACTTTAGACTTTGTCCAAGCCTGTGTATTTTTTAAATTAGGGTTCCCCTTCCCTGTTTTCTTTAAAATTATTCCACGTTTACAAACGCACTCCGATGTGAAGCCTAAAAATATGACTCTGCGAGTAAAGCCAGACACTTTTTCTAAAGGCTGGCACACAATTGTGTAAGTGTAAATTTCAGTTGTACCTCACCTTGACCTCCAATGTAGTCCAGTTGACCTGTGAGGCTGTGATGTTATTCTCCTCCCAAAAGCGGATAGTGTTATTGCTGGGGTTCATGGGCTCCACACATTCACACCTTAAGAATACGGTTTTGTATTATACGTTATATATCATTTTCTATTTCGACGAGTTAGAAACTGTGGAATTAAACGTGACCTTATCATGTACATAATTTAAAAAACAAAAATACTTACGAGTACTGTGTGAGTTTTTGTAGGTTGTTGTTCTTATTGATTGGATAATGTACTCCCAAGTGAAACAGCTTCTCAAGGGCCTCATAGATGAAGATGATGCAGATGAGCGCAGCAAACGCTTCCTCTGTGAAACGTGTGATATAACAGACGAGCGAGCTGGCATCAGTGGCCACCAGGAGGAGACAGAAGAAAGATGTCCACAGACCAATGCAGGCCCTCAGAGAGAGGTAGGAGAGGTTGTACTCCCTGTGATACAAACACACACGTAAAACTTGTACCATAGTCACAAAAACTTGACATTACTACTGATGGAACTTGCAGAACTATTTAAACAAATTTAAAACACCCACTTGCAGAACTTGAACAGAATCTTCTCAAAGACCAGAACTGGTCCTGTGCTGCCCAGGATGGTTAGAGGCTGACCAGCGAAAAGAGAGTAGGCAATTCCAGTCATGGAGGCCCCAAACAAAGACTCAATGGCACTCTAAACAAAGAAATAAGAATATGAATCAGCTCATTTGAAAACCATCTCGTTGCTTATGTAAAGCCACAGAAGTCATTCAGCTACACTGGTTCTAGAAGTAAGGCCATCTGTTTAAGTTTCAGGGAGAACCAGGCATCTTAATGGAAAGGTTATAAGAGGGGTGCCCATTGAGTAGATTGCAAAGGGAGTCCTGTAGCTTATGAGCAATTCAAATAAAAATAAATACATACAATTCTATAATATGCAGTATTACTCATATACTGAAATCACAGTGTGCCATAGAGCTACATACATTTAAAACATTAGTATAATAAAATAGCTAAGAATATCACTACCTGTTAGCACAGTAGTTACGCGCTTATCAATCTTAAAATTGCTGAATTAGCTGAGGTTTAATTAAAAAAAAAGCTGAAAATGTTACCCAAAGATAACAAGGTACAACTGTTTGGGTTTTTAAACTGTATGTCTGTCTGTCTGTCTGTCTGTCTCCTTATTTTAGACCTGGACAGTGATTCTTACCACACGTCCCTCTGTAGCTTCACCTAGGAGTCCCCCAAAGGTGATGACTGGTGACATGCATGCACAGTAAAGGAAGAGAAAAGAGGCCAGACACTGCAGACTGATGGCATCTGTGAAGTCAGAAAGGTAGTGGGGGGCCTTTCGCTTGATGTCAGAGACAACACCGCCAAACACTCTGTGGAGAGAAAGAAGTAGAAATTTCCATATGAAGATTGAACTTTGTGTCCTGAAATCTAGAAATAACCAAGCTAAGCTATTATTGGTAACGGAAATCTACCTGAGAGCAACGTTGTTTAAATACAGAGAAAAAATGTGCCTCAGCTTTATGTGTCTATAAATGTATAATAGGCAAAAATGACAAATATCATCTTTTTAAAGCTAGTATTAGCTCCTACCTAGGTCAATTGCTGTTGTTGCTATATTGTTTGGTTACTTTCAGCTTCTTTCTTTTTTGACTAATGTTAAAAACTTTGGCAGGCCTAAACCTGTTTCTGGGTTAAATTGATTTGTCTCTCTTTAATAGTACAAATATAACAGTTATATTATTTTATGCTAGTATTGTCAGTATAAGTAAGTTTAAACTCCACATTCTATAGTTCCTACTTATGTGGCGCTACTCTAGTACAAGTGCTGGCAGACAAATACCCATTACTCCTGTTACTGTCCCTAGTTCCTGATACTAGTTCCAGTTCCCATAAATGTATTAAGAAAGTTTTGTCCCATAAAGCTGACAGCTTTGTTTACATTCACCAGTTGTGCGCAACTGTAGCTACATTTATTTCCTTTTGTTTGTGTTGTTGGGAACTTTTTGTAGGTGAAGGTGAATTTTGTACAGTAAGTGTGTTTCTACCAAAGACAAAAAATTAGTTATGTTGAACCACAAGATGATGGATCCCTGACAAAACCTGGGACCCATCTTGTGGTTCCATAGTGTAGCATGTATTACGCTAAAGCACTTGCATTGGCACTTACCTCCCTGTGCGCTGAAGCTCAGGGCCACCATGTCCTCCATGCTCCTCTGACTCTCCGAGATCAGTCACACCATTGGGAAGAGGAGGAATCTTGCGTTTTTCCTGCCAAGATAAGACCAGAGTTAGTCAAGTTTATAATTATGATATTGATATTTGTTAAGTGTTAGTGTTCACTAGAGTCCAATACATAATGTAGCTATACATCTCTTATCAGTTAACCTGATAGTTAATCTGGCAGGAAGCCCTCCCGCCGTAAAAAGCAACTCACTTGAGACGGCACATTCTTGGGTGGCTCTATTCTAATAGAAGGATCCCATTCTCCTGGTGGTAACACCATCACCTGGTCCAGAAACTCATCAATGCCCGCAACCAGGTCATTCCTGTCTTTAGCTTTGTATGCAACATCATGAAAAACCTGTACAACAAAGAAGAATTTCAGCTCATTATCACTCAACATTTCACATCACATCAAAACTCTATAGATCCTTAAACTTAACTGCTTAAAGAAAGCAGACTGTTGCACAAAATAAGGTCAAAGGCTCTAATTAATAAAGGTAGCTCAATTTGAGTCTACAAAAAATATACCCACTAATTTGTTTAAAATTAAATAAATTAAAATATCTCAATGTAATAAAAGCTAAAAGTTAAATGTAAAAACAAGACATTTTGTAAACATTTTGCCAAAGAACTGGATAAAAAATTAAAAAAGAAATATAGCCAAGGAGAATTACTGAATTGAATTTAAACACCAAACATGAAAGTTTTTTTTAAATGTATATAGCAGATTACTGATAGACAATAAACAAATATATTTAAAAGTTAATGCAAACACAGGTAAAGTAAGAATCAGTATTAAAACAATTGAAAAGCTAGCTAGAAGTTAGCTGAGGAATAACAAGGTATGTCAGGAGATGGATGGATGGACGGATGGATGGACGGACATTATTGATCCCAGGCTGAGACAGTACACGCTGGGTAATTGAACAAGGTTAAATCTTTTTGTTGTGCTTAGATTTGTTTGCTGGTCTGTCGGACCACAACATATTTTTAATACATTTATCTTCTACAGGCGTTTGCAGCTTTGCTTTACAGCAACTGTGTTGACTTTGCATGCTTTTGTCAGCACAACAGAGTGAGGTTGTGTGTTTTCAAGTCTGACCTCATCTGTCATCAACGTAGCAATAGATCGTCCAATTTCATGATACTGTGGGCCTTTTCCCAGAGGGCCCAGCAGAATAAAAAGAAACCTGTCGGAACACAGAAGAACAAGGGTTATGGAGCAGTTTTCCCTCTAATTTAGAGTGGGTTCTTCACAGCTTAACAGAAGAACCAACAAATCGCCGGAACAGGAGAGTACCTGGTGGTGATGGGAACCTCGGCAAGGCCATTCAGCAGCACAGCAGGGGCCAGACGGACAAATGCTACCACGGGGCGTTCTAGAAACTCCAGCTCTCCAACCAGCACGTTGGACGCCTCTGCACCAGGGGGGATCTTCTTCATGAAGTGAAGATCGATCTGTGGTAGGCAACCATATTTTGGCAAAAATATTTCTATATCCTACCTTTTATTTCATTTTCACATATTTCTGCCTGTTTGATTAAAAAAGCACAAGTTCTGACAAACGGTTGTTATTCTGATGATCCACATCAAAAGAAAACAAACCAAAGCCGTGTAAAACTTTTGTCAGTTTCCCAGAAGATGAGTGATACAGTGACCAGTTCTCATGTAACCCAATCTTAAATATCCAACTGTAGTTATGTGTCCTGATATCTGGCGCTTTAGACAAACACTAGGATCAGCAGTGGGTCTTGCTTGCTCACTTTGCTGAAGTCAACAGCACTGTTTTCCCGGCTCACGTCCTGTTTGCCCTCAGTGTTGGCTGGCTGGGCCTGAGGTGAGACCGTTTGACCTGTGGAAAGTAGGAGCAAAAGACTTTTCAGGAACTACTTTTTTCCCATGAAAAGACAAAGGCGTCCAGTGTGCAGCTACAGGCTACAGTTACATAGAATAACAAGGTACAACTGTGTAGGTAATGATAATACAGGCTTGAGAACCATTTACCTAGAGACCTGCTGGGTTTGAATGGAATTTTTTCAAGGTGGTCTTTTTCAGAGTGGGACTCCATTATGTCACACTTATTTGAGAGAAATTGTATCAGATAGAAATGTTACTTTTCACTCTTAATTATACATGGATGTGAATGTTTACAGTGGCTGCTAATTGATCCAAATAACAAGGGACCCACGTGATGGCCAGTGGGCTAACCTATTAGAATGTGTCTAGCTCTAGACTGTATACCCCTATACTCCCACAAGGAGGGGGACCCCTCCCCGTGCTTGATTACCCCTCCCCTCTCTTGACAGGCCTTCATTTTTTTTTGATAAGGGGCCAACTGAGTGGCGTCCATAACAAGTGCATTCAATCAGACAGTTTTCGGCAGTAAGTATTGCTAGAAGACACACACCTCCCAAACCACAAATCAGAAGTTGTCAAGGTTAGATTATCTTAGATTATCTTAGATTGAACTTCATTATTCTGTGAAAAAGAGTTTTAGATTAGATTAGGTTAGATTATCTTAGATTGAACTTCATTACAGACTGGGGAAATTGTCTTGTCAGCAACAAAGATCAGAGTTTATTATTTCAACTAATAACACAGTATAAAGTCTTTTGACAAATAGGCTGATAAAGTTGCTTCTGTCTCTCTCTATTATCCAAAAGTATCCCAGCCTAAAGCACCCTGTGACATTTGACCTTGGTGTCGCAACTATTTTTTTATTTGATGTGTATCCAGGGAATGTTTGTTCAGACAAATATGCAAATAGTTTTATTGTTTGCTTATAAAAGTCATTGTACAAACAGTAGCTATTTCTGGTTGCATCACAAATGTATCACAGAAAACATAAACTACTCAGAAGCTCGGAAAAGCTTGGATATGCACAGCCTGTTATTGAGTTCTTTACAACAAACAATATAAACAGCCACCAGACTGATGATGTACATTTAAAATTGGACTCACCATTTTTATCCATTGAATGCGGCTCAGACTGCTTCTTGCCAATATCAGCAAAGGAGCGTACAATTGGAATGCGGTTTGCCAGTTTCTTGTGGTTCTGGTGGTGGTGCTGTTTAAGAAGTGCCTCCCGAATTCTCCTCCTGGCATCCTGCCCCACTGGGCCTGACACCTCGTGCTGATCCAGGACCATGTCTAAAAACACAAACAATGACACATCAGCACATTTTTATATATATTTTCTCTATTTGAAATCCGACCAGCAGCCATTATTTCTGTCTTTTTATTTATCTCTTTAATTTAGACGATAAGGATTCCTACAGATATTACGTAATATGCAAATATCGGGCCAATAATATCAGCCAATATTATCGGACATCCCTAATATAAAAGTACACTCAGATTGGTTATTTGTCAGAAAAGCTCCCTCTGCTGCAAACTGGCAATAAAAGAGATTTATGACATAACTACTGCACCAAAATGGCTAAACTAATCACATGTATGCTGTCTAAATGTCTGACCCAGTAGTGTCCAGAATGGTCCTGGCAGGATACTTTACCTGCAATTTCCTCCAACGAGTTGGCCCTCATGTCCAGCATCACAGTCCCATTCATTATACAGCTGCGTAACTCAAAAAGACTGTGCAAAGACAGCGTGGCAACATAGGGTTTACTCCACCGCTCACCGCCATCTTCCACATCCTCCTCAAACTTTAACCATCTACAAACAAACACAAAAAACAAGGACTGTCGGTGTCAGCACGCTACCATTGTGCCTAATAGGCACAATCTCAGTGTTTCTTCAAAGCAACATACCTGGCTGTCTCTTTCCATTCTGCATCCTGACCTTCTCTGAGACAGATTTCATCCAGCTCAGTAAACAGAGCATGGGGGATGTGCTCCTCATCGCCATCCTCTGTCCCCAAGAGAAACTGCACTCTCTGAGCTGGTGTGTCTGCTGCAGGAAATAGTTAAGGTAAAAAAATATGACTATTGTTTCAGTATACTGTACATCCATATAGAGTTGCCTTTTTGAGCTATGTTTCAGACACCTACTGTATGATGGTGATTCTCGTCCATCATCAGCTGTGGAATCCCTTTCCTTGGACCTTTTCCTATGTCTGTGTCCATGGTGTCGGTGGCGTCGGTGAGACCTCCTGCCTAGAGGCACATGAACCCCAATGTAAAGAGTGCGGTGACCTGGAAGCAACAAGGAGAAGAAGAAGGTAATTTTCAAACATTTCTTCTGATAAAATGTGTTTTCTAGGAAGTTTCGAGAAACCCTTAGCATAAAGCTGTAAAGCCCTGAAAACCTAATTGTAGCAACACACAAATACCTGATGACTAAATGGGTGTAATAAAGATCATATTATAATAATAGTAAGAGATTAGATATAGCTGGGAAATTATGTTGTTTTGTTATTAAGGTTTTCATTTTGCAATATTTGTTATTATCAAGCCCTGTAAATTTCGGCAGTTCACTCCTTTCCTTTGTGTTTTTTTAACACCGTTAGCTAACGCCCAGCTCATTATTTAATGGTTGTCTTTACTGCATTGCACAGTAAGTATGTAAGTTAGGTTTATCTGTATAACACTTTTCACAGAAATAATTCACAAAGTGCTTCATATTTGAAGTATTTCAGAGTCACGAAAATGAAGAGCAGATGCTCTTCATTTTCTGCAGAAACAATGTTACATTAAAATTTGCGATGACTTGATCTGATACTGAGGATCAGATATAGGTCCAATATTGGTAAAATCTCAGGATTAAACATTGAAAAAACAACAATGGTCTATACAATCTGATACTTTAGCCCAACAAACAGTTGTTATTGAGAGCACATTCTTTATGTCATTATTTAGTCCCTTACCTTCTAGCTCTTCCTTCTCAAAGTTAGTGTTGAGCATGGAGCGTGTGCCACCACGGTCCACCACCGCCTCCTCATCAGTTCTCTAAGGTGAGAACAAGGATAGGGAATTACTTTTTTTGATTTGACAAAAAATTGGCCCGAGGTGCTGGTAGATCATGAGCAATTAGGATAACTACATAAGTAACCCAACATGTAATACATATGAAGTATTTTTAGTTTATAAGAGTAAACAAGGTTCAAACCTAACTTTTTTGCTCATTGGCCTAGTGGTTAGTGAGCTTTAATCTACTGGCCAGAAATACTTTTTTTACTGGCCAAAAATTATATAGAGAGGTTTTGAATATTTTCAGTAAGTTCATTATCATTATACAATCATAAGCGTTTGAATACATATCATAGCAATATTAGCATATTTTGGGTGGAATAAAGGAATGAGTCAAAGTTGACTTCTTTTTTTAAGGTTTATTTAAGGTCTATTAATAAAACCTAGAATGTCTAGGTTAATTGGTACATTTGATGTTTACTGTTGACATCAGTCTTTACCATATCTTGTAACAGTTGTATCATCTTTTTAAGCATTTTTTAAAATCTTTTTTTTCTGTACAAGTGCACAGAAATGTTGAAAAACTGAGGAATTAAAACGATAAAATCCATTCACTGTTACCATGGCAACCAAAGTCAGACAATGACATTGTGTAATAAAAGCAGCTCTGCTCTAATGAATGGCGGATCACACTTTCCTTGAGTCATGGCTGCAGCAGGAGAAGCAGTTTTGTGCAGTTGCCACCCACACTGCTGTCAGAGCAGAGCAAACAGAAACAGTTATGTTCCTGTTGGAACACCACTGATAAAGAGGAGGATCTACTGCATCCTTTCTTTAAAAATGAGACTTAAATAGAGCATACTGAGATACTGTTCACACAGTATCATTTGTCTGACACACTCATCATCTGGTCCTTGTTACCAGGGATGACATTTGCCTTCAATGTGGGCCCTTTAAATCCTACATTTAATAGCTAAGGGTGGGCTGTTTAGATTTGTTGTTTTAAATGTCCAATACAGGCAACCTGGTTTTGATTAAGGTGGGGTTCAAACTGCTTTAAACTACCTAAACTGTCTTTAGTCTTTAGTATACCCATCTTGAATCTTATCTGTACGTACATTGGATTGTGCTACATTTGCTGTCTTTCGTTTGTGTTGTTATGTGTAAAACTTTTTGTCCTTCGTTATGGCTTCCAAATGTGAGTCAGACAGTTCTGATGTTTTAATGCCCTATATTGTGATGTGGTGACTCTAGGTGACTGACATAGGTATGGTGAAAATCGAATTACGTCACAACGTAGGAACGGTATTCCTACATCAGTCGAGGACCCACTGTACGTGTGAGAGGGTATAATGTCAGTGTTAAAAGGTGAATCAATAGTAAAACCAGACATCACTCTACAGCTTCTCAGTTGAAAACCTACTTTATTGTCCTTCCCTGTTATTTTAAATGTTGTGCTTTAATGTCCAAGCATTATCTCTTCGTGTCACTTCTCAACATCTGTCAAAAATGCAATCCTTTGATACTGAGCTTTTCTGTCACATGTCTGACCATGTGCATCTGTGTGTGTGAGTGCACTCAGATTGGTTGAGTGCGGAAAGGATGGTGTGTCATCACAACAGCTGCTTGATCACTAAGCCTGAGAGTTTGTTGACCACTGTTTGGTCATATTTGAACTTGTCGGTGTGTAACACAGGATATGTATGTGTTACTAAAGCTTCTAAATTACTACATCAACCAGTTTTGGATTTTGGGCCTTATTTTATTATCTGTTCAAAGTTAACCTGGTCAGTTTCTTTTCTTACTATAGTAGTTAGTTTAATGTTTTTATGAGGCACATTATGCTGTTTCTTGATGTCTAAATGAAATGTTAGTGAAAATGCTTTGGTCCAAAAAGGAAGGATTGAGCAAAGCTGATCTCTTTACACACCTGTTGAAAAGCTATTTTCTGAATGGCTAGTTTCTCTATACTCTATACTACTACTACTACTACTTCATGGCAACTGCTTTCTCTGTGCACCTCTGCGTGATCCTCCTCCCTCTTACCCATCTGTTCTGTTTGTGTAATACAATGGGAGATGTAGTTTTTCAATAAATGCAGTTTGGTTGCAGTGAATACAGATTTGGAGGCACAACTAAGGTTGTCACAAAACCTATTTTTACAAACTCCATACAAGTACGTTTATTTTTATTTGTCTTCCCTAATATCAGGTACTGGACACGTACCTCTCTAGTTTAAATAAATATGCAATAAACTGGAAGGCAGACTTAAGTAGGTGGCACAGCTCTGTGGATAATAGAGTGCGAGTGTGTTTAGTCTCAACCCAAACCACAGCGAGGGCATCAAGCAGGAAAATGTTTACAAGCAGTTCTATCATCTTCATTTTAAGAAATGAGAAAGCAAAGAGAAAGAAAGTATCTGCAGATGTTTTACAGAATTGATTATATTATAACAGAAGAAATCTTACAAGACTTTGTCCCTGTGTCACTGATGTTAAAATATTTTCAGACTGCTGACAATGTTGACCCACTTTGATAAACTAATCAGGAGTGCCATAAGACACTGAACTGAAAGAGGAAATCACAACACACTGACTGACCGGTGCCATAAGTATCGGCTCACTTGATCACACTTTTATGTACTGTAAAAGCAGGCCGGAGTGCCGCAGGCTATGTTCTAAAAATAATACTAGTCAACAAGAGGGTCAAAAATGTACTGTTACTGTGCTTTTTGAATCAGTTACACTTGTAATGATATTCAAATGGCTGCAATGATGATGCAAACAAGTAGCTCTCTGTATTACTAAGTGCCCTTGAAGTAGCTCTCAGTTTCAAAAAGATTGGTGGCCTCACTAGCTGCCTCCTCATTTCTGATGGCCTCTGCTCTCTACTATAGCTGATGTTCTTTTGCAGTGTGTCTTGTATGGGTAAAACAAATACAAAGTTTGCATATGTGCCGTTTAAGAAACTGAGGTGGTTGTATCTTTGGTAGTGCTGTGGTCTCGCAACTGGAAGTTTGTAGGATCTGTACAATGTTCCTCTTGTATCTTAGCCATGAAAAAGTAGATGCCAAAACTCTGTAGAGTAAAGGTTAGTGTAAAGTGTGTTTAAAACGTATACTTTTTTACAAAAAAAAAGTCTTGTTTCTTTCTTGATGCTATCAAAATCAGGAAATACAAACAAAATCTTTGTCATATTTGGTAGTCTTTAACTTTGTAATCTCTTCTCATCTATAATCACATTATTCAACAACAATTTAGATTTGTGATGCCCTGGCCTGCTTTTCCATTAACAAACAAGGTTTTTTACGCTGTTCAGCCGGCAGAAGAGCCAAAACCTCAGGTCCACGCTTCTATTTATAGAAAGGCTCATCTACATCAGCCCACCTTGAACTGGCATTTACAGGGGGGTGAAAGCTTGTCTGAGACCTCCTGTTTGGAAGGGACCTGTACTGTGGGCTGAAATATATCAGCCATTTCTGAGTCAGTGAGTAAAAAAGGGAACAAAGCAGCTAACACGTGACCAGGACTCTGGGGAGTTGGGACACAGAGGGTGGAGGAGGGGTCGACATGTGACCATGTATGACACAAGGCACACTAGGATATAACGTAATACATATATGATGACATTCATGTTTTTTTCGCCTAACTAACATTTATTTGTGTACAGTACATGCTCAACACATCTTTAATGTGCAGAAAATGGAACCAGCACATGTACTGTACTCTCACTAATGCACGTTGTGAATAAGAGAATGCTAATGCACGCAGCTCCTCAGCATGGTGTGATGGGGAGGTGCTGTTTGGACGAGTGAGCATCAAACAGGAAAAGAAGAGCCAGAGGCTGCAGGCCTGTTCTATACTGAATACTAAACGATGCTCCACTGTCATCCAGAGTTAGCACAGTGCTGTGCACATGTGAGACAAAGGCAGGAGTTTGTGCAGTGATTGTACACCGGGTAACTTTCCCCAGAAAGGCTGGATGTTGGTTTGAATTAATTGCACTTTTTGTACAAAGACAAAGGGAGCTGCAACATTAATCCCACTGCATTATACATTTTCCTTTAGGAGATATCAATTACCGTCACATTATGTATATGGACACATTCTCAGATATACAGAACATAAATCCAAGATTGGCTGCAAAAATTCAACATCTATTCTAAATGAATCCTTTTCAATGGACACCTTATTTTTTTCTCAGGATTCTTAGAATTCACAAAAATGAATAAAGTATCTGCCTTCTACCTAAAGCACCAATATGCAACATTAATGCGCATTTTTCAAAATAATCCTCAAATCTTGATTAATCCCTCAAAGGTCCAAGGCTAAACGTGAGAGCCAAAGGGTTTTAAACTCGAAAAAATTCTTTGGTTAGACGGACAGTATAATAGGAAATAGGATAGTGAAAAAGCAAATACAATGTTAGTGAGGTTTAAACAACAGCTAATGTGGTTGCAGCACTACACTGCACACAAAATACCTGGTTTCTTCTGTCATTCACTCATTTCTTTGCCACCTCTTAACACTTGATTTAACAATAATACTACATGTGTGATGCAGGCCTCAGCCACTTCACTTAATGAGTTCACACCAGACATTGTTGACCGTCCCCACAGAGGACTGAATTAAAGGCCTTAAGGGATAACCTAACCATAGCTTTTGTAAGCACATACGGTGACCAGAACCAGACATCCTGGGAAATCTCTTTAATACAAGGAATAATAAACAAGAAAAGATGTGATATGAGCTGTATCTGTGAGCAAAGGATCTACATTTATAAACTGAGATGGAGCTGAAAATTAGAACTCAGAGATGTATATTTAGAGATGGAGCTGAAAATTAGAACTCAGAGTGTTTGTCAACTGATAGGCCTAGTTTCCAAAAATAAACCCAGACAACACTGAAAGTGACCTGAAATGCGTCAGGCAATCTTCTGGCTTCAAAAAGTAATTAAAAAAAAAACTACATAAAATGTCTATCCTAATGTCTACTTATCTGTTCACACCTATTATTTAAAAAAAGGTAGAGAAAGGCTGATCTTATATAAACCTTGTACGTGTGTGGCTTTTTTTATTTTATGATCTGGTTTTCACGTTTTACTTAAGTCTTGCTGTTCTTACTGTCTCTTTTCGTTAGTGGATTATGAATGTTTGTATGTTTTTTACTGTAAAGTTACTGTACTGCCCATTGGTCAGCCAAGTTGGTTTAAAGCTTTAATGTATAAAACAATAATAAAGAGGGTTACGGTATGGTACGGTAAGGCATCGTATCGTATGGTATGACATGGCATTGTATTGGGACAAAAGCAGTGATGCTGAGAAGGTCAAACATAGTCTGATATTTCTGAATGAGCAGGTTTAGAAAGGAGATAGATTTCTGAGGTATTCATGTGGGTATTAAAGGATCATCCACCAATGCTGTGGCTCTACACATGAGGAAGGCTCAAAAGCCATTTTTACTGTCTGTAAAACAAGAAACTCAAATTTCTCAGTGAAAAATAGCAGATAATTTGGCCTGTGACCATCTTCATTTATGTAGCAAGAATCAGCAATGGAAGGATGGACAACAGCCATGCTACTTCATTGCTGCTGAACAGCAGCTCCTGATGGAGTTGTATGGAGGGCTTTGAACACGTCATGTGAAAAAACAAATACTAGTGAAATTATGAAGGTGTTAAGGTATCAGAACTGTGTGCTCCTACACTGTGAGTTTATTTATATTGTATGTGTGTTTCTGTGTAAGGAAACTAATGTAGGCGTCCGATTTTATGTTCCATACCACAACATTAAGAAATAAAAGTGAAAATACATTGATTTATTTGTAATATTATCACTTAGCTAGTTAAAACAACAACAGAGTAGCCCTCCTCTTTATGTATGTCTTCCAATATTCCATTTTCATTGCCAGAGTAAATCAGAGGTTTATTGATTCTCCTAGGCTTCTTTCCAGGAATCTGTGTCCATTATCATACCTCTCGGTTGGGAACAAATAGGTGACCTCATTTTTTTCTGTTTTGCAAGGATTTCTCCTGGGGCTTTTACAACTGGGGGGATGATAGATGTTTGAAATCTAGGTCAGATGGTGTTAAAAAATACATTTACCCAATGAAATCACAACACTTTGTGGTGCAAATCTAAATATTCCAGGAAAAGGACATTTGACAATACATGTCAACCTCTTACAATAAATCTGTTTGCTTATAATCTCTTGCCACGTGCTAGTGGAGCTAGAATGATTCTAAGGCTAGAGCTGAATGACTAGATGGATTATCAGCAGCTGTACAAGGCCTGTGATTGGCTGATGAGCTTCTGTTGTCATGGTTTTTTTTTTCCCGACAGGAGGCCGTGGAATTGGTGTGAATGACAGCAGGTTCAGATGTGGGAACATCACGGGAAGAATGTAAATATGTAAGTAACAATTCTGTATCCTCCTCTTTGTCCAACCTTACCCAAGAGATGGGGACACTGATATGAATGATAATTAATAAAGTCCTCCAGTAGGCATACAGATAACAACATGTGCTGAAAACTATCTGCATATCCCAAAGAATCAAAAGAAGAAACTAGGACACTAATAAATCCATTTTCCAATATTTGTTTTTAGCAAGGTCAGCAGTACTAAGCCCTCTGTGGCCTTTTGCTGACATTCCCATCTGTCATCTGACATACGAGGAATCCTGCCACGCAAACCTAAAGTTTTGTACATAAATTCCTTTTTATCTATGTCTTACTCCAACATTTACTTAAAGAGCTCCTTAAAATTCACAAAGGTCAAGGGTCAATCAATGTTGACCGTAAACACTTTTAAGTGACCTACCTGGTAAAGAAATCTTTTACCCGGGTCCGCTGTAAACATCCTTCTCTTGGGGGCAGGATGCCCACTCTGTTCCCTTTTACGTGCAGTGGTAACAGTGGTAAGAAGAGGGGCTGAACTGAGATCCTGAGTCAGACTCTACGCTCTCTGTGTTAGGAGTCTGAGAGTGTAGCACAGAATGATAGTCAACCTATTTGCTGAGCTCTCCATCACACTCCTCCCTCAGCCTCTCTGCCTTCCCATGCTGGAGGGTGCTGGCTCCCTCACTCTCATATGACCATCACAGACCAGCGCAGCACAAAACAAAATAACAGTAACGCAGCTCAGTGCAGCTCTTCCTGTAAGGCTTTCATCTAGGGTAGCATCAAATGTGTCTGACAATAGTCCACTCGCCAATCCTCCCCAGAGAGATTACTGCTGTGACATCACGGATACTGCGCTCTGCTCAGCTCTGAAGCCTTGGGTCACACAGCAGCAGACACCACAAACAACTGCACATCTCGCAGTTACCTGCACTACACTCACCGCAATCTTCAAATAGAAACAGTGGGGCTAGTGCTAGGGTGTCAGGTTCTAAGAATGTCTGTTTGTATGAAGAAAAATAGTTTTCAGCATTGTCAGCAAATCTTTGACCCAAGAAACACAACAGCTACACCTCATAGGTCTGTGGAAAAAATAATGGTACTCTTTGTACATTAAATCTTTTTTAGGGGTAATTTAGAAAACACAGAAACAAGGTGTCCATGGAAGGAATGGAAGAAAAAGCTTTTCCTAAGGCGTAAGCTTCATTCTAAAAAATGAAGGCTAAGTATTAGTCTAAATGTATAAAAATGAGCAAACTTAACATAAAGGCAAAGGTTTTCTATAGCTAACTATACGACAATTGGCCTTAGCTGTAGCTGAACTTATATAAACTTTTTGATAAACTTTGAAACTAGAACCCAATTCTTATTTGTTGATATCTCTCACACACTACACAGTATTTATTAAAACATTTTTAAAAAGGGTTCACTATTTTCTTCTCTTTCTGTTTGGAGTTCATATGTTCCCCCTGTGTTCAGGAGGAGGTCAGTGGCGAGTTTCCAGGTACTCCAGTTTCCTCCCTCAGTTTAAAAACACAGATTGAGTAATAGGTTGATTGTTCACTCTATAACTAACCACAGCTGTCTGTGTGTCTGTGTGTGAGTTGCATTACTACCATCTACTGGCTCTATTTTAAACATGTAAAAATAACTTTCAACAGAAAGGGAAAAAAAAAAGAAAACAGTGAGAGAGTATGAACCTTGCTGACGTGTATTGGACCAAATAGTTCCCATGAACCTCTTAAATAAATTTAAAATTACTCTATGTCTTACTTTGGAACCTAGTAATACAGCTTTAAGTCAACTAGTGGCAACTCACAAAGTGATTGACTGTGGTTTGAAATCCAGCTAGAGTCTCTGTCTTTGTTTCCTGCTAATACACGCCCTTCTAATCACAGGAGACACGAGACAAGCCACTGGCATCACTGACCGTTAAGACCAGGCCTGAGCAAACCTGCAGCCTGCGGGCCAAATAAACTGCATTTACAATTGATGCCACTAGATGACGATAGATGCACTTTGTCTTTGCTGGAGGGTGGACTATGACTTAACTGCCAGGGTCCCCAGGTAATGGACCTTTCCAGTTATTCAGAAGGACGATGTCAAGTCAAAATCCAGAACTACTTGCTAATAGCTCAAGCATTGCCTTTTTGGAGGCCAATTGACAGGACTGTTGCATGCTGGAACAATTGTATGAGTTGACTCACCACATCCTTGCTTTCTTGGGAACTTTGTTCCTGCAAATAAAAAGCCAAGCATTAACATGGATGCAGGTTGTTATAAGAGTTTTCCTGTCAAACCTGTAGCAAATCGTTTTGTACTCACAACCTCAATCAGTACTGACTAATAATCAGTTCATAATTCACAGACAACATTTCAGGAGTCAGGAGAAATATCTGTCACTGCTCCATTGTGCATGATCATGAAAAATAGTTATTATTTTTGACATGCTGACGGGCTGTGTGTCGACATGTCTGGTTAATAAAAAAAAGGAGCTGTATATCCTATGTACTGAAGAGCAATAAACAGTTAAGACAAATAACTGTATGTGGATTTATCCACAGCCAATTCTTTGTCCAATTGGACATATATGTGACACGTATGCTGTGACTTCACTAAAGTTTTATATGGCTTTTATATGGCTTATATGATGGTAAAGTTTCCAAATTATATAAAACATAACTTAACACTTTTGGCTACTTCAAATGACCGGGGTAAAATGATCTATCTTTCATTTATAATATTAAATATACTGAATATAATTTATATATCAATTCAATTCAATATTTATATGATTGCTAATTCGGTCTGAGAGACTTAGATTTAAAAATAGAATGGCATCTATATTTTTGAATTTAAATTTTAATCATTCATGATCTACCAGAGCTCCCTCTGTGATCTAAAGGGACATGCGGGGGAGGGAGTACCTGGGTTGTTTTTTATAGAGGGAGTAAGTGGTTAGAAAATTAGACCAGGTTTTACCCTCTAAATTATGTTTAGCAAACAAAAAGGCATTGGTCAATAAAAACACAGTTTTAAGGTTCTGTATGGGCGGTTCCGTTATGTTCTCCATAAGGACTGGAAATCATCGTTCCTAGTTAGAATGGCTGCCTGGGTGACATTGTGTCTTTGGGCTGTTGTCCTTGCCAAAATGGTAAAGGGCTTTTAAAGGTCAACACTGTTTTTTTCCTTCTTTTACACCCAGCATATCCATTGATATTACCAATGCATTTGACTGCCACACACAGTACTTTAACTTTAACTTACATACTTCTAGCTCCCAGATTCACAGTGCTGCAACAGTAGTGCATTGAGGTCTTGCTGCAAAATGCACCCACTCCTAAGCGTGTCTGACCTTGGAAGATGCTAAAACAAGGAGGGTTAAACATTATTTCACCTGCCCTGAGATTCCTACCAGCCAGATACCTCACATGCCCCTACACATTCTGAAGATACCATGACAACATGTTCACTGGGTGCACCAGTGCAGGGAGCGCAGGTGGTAGAAGTGAAAGACAGCAGTGACTTACAGTGCCAGGGAAGCAGGAAGCAGGAGGAAAACTCCCCATCAACTCTTCAGTGGTAAAAATAAGTCCTGTTGTTACTAGTCCACAAATAGCATGGAATACATCAGATTATTGACTGTGCTTCCGGAGCAGCTGCTGTTTCTTAGACAGAGGTGACTTGTGTCTACTTAGCTCTTCCTTTGTACAATCAAGGAGGAACTTGTTTTTCTAATCATTTTCCCACTGAGTTGACTGACTGGTCAAATGAAAGCACTTTGTTTAATGGACCTCGGATCATTTGTCCATAATTTGATTTTTAATGAACCAGACCCACATGTGCTCAGTGATCTCCTTTTTAAATTGTTGGTTAGCTATAGTCTACTAACTAAAGCTACCTATGATGGTGTGATCAAACTCCCAGTTTTAGCATATGCATATGAACAAAATTGCATTTCAATGTCTGGACTTCACCCCAACATGATTATGTTATGAACTTCAGAAAACTACAAATCTGAGAACACTGTTGTAGTTTCTGTTACAGGTGTTACGGATCGCACCTGTAATCATTAGTCACGGATTGTCTCTTGACAGTAGTCCCCAGACATGAGACCTCTCTCTCTCACTCTCTCACTCTCCCTGCATCCTTTTCTTTCTCTTTCTCTCTCTTTCTCTCTCGCTCTCCCTCCCCCTCATCTCTCTCTGTCTCTCCCTCAATGCAGTCATATTCTCATTCTGCAGCTGTAATTCTTAAATCTTTAGGCAATAGCTTCTTAACAGATACACAAAAAGTATTTTTTTATCTACACTGACAAACCATATATTTGCATTCATTTCATATTCCAGGGTTAATAACCTGCTGTTACATGAACCTGTGAGGTGTATCACAAATGACTCTTTTGCGGTGAGACAAAGGTGCGATAGCCGATATCAGCTAATAGTGGCTGTTATTCCCTAAAAAGGCCATTTCAGAATCATGCCGCAAAATGCGAACAATTTTCCCTCGCTGTGCCTTCCTTATTGTACAGCGAAGGAATAAAAACCAGTCAGTAATATCACGTCCAACCCATTACAACGTCTTACCGTAGCCAACAGCGGCTCCATTTGAGCTCCTTGGTCTGTGATGTCCATTATTCTCCTCCTTCTCCTTCACCACACACAGGTCGTGATGCACCACTGCGCCTCTCTTGACTGCTGTTGGAAAGGATCAGGCGGCGCTTTTGGTTGAGTCTTTGCTTGTTTAATTGGCTCTTCCCACTGACACCGGTCGGATTGTTATTTAGATCTCAGAGCAAGTGGACTGTGTCCGTTCTGTCCTACATCATTTACGCATGGAGGAGGGAACTGTGGCGCTTCCCACTACACGCGTGATGATGAGCGCACAGGGATGCGCGCGCCTTTGGCAGGGCTGCGTCTACGTAGATTTACTCATTGTCATACACGCCAGCACTTGTGGGTTAATGTTGGAGCCACAATTGTTCTGATTTCAATCATATTTAGAACATGTTCTATAACAGTCCACCAAAGAGTGATGCATTCTCTCCCCCTTCAAGTGACTGACGATATTGCGCAGTGGATAATAATGTACCGATTGCTCAGTGAATGACTTTTAGCAACAATTATAAGCCACAGAAAATATCTCTTTACCATCACTGTTTTGCATTTTCTCGACAATGCAATAGCGTCCGGAAGGATGCTGTAACTGATGCTGCTGTTGCTAGTGCTGATGAAGATGATGACGACTCAGTCGCTGCCGGTCGGGCTGTTGTGCTCTGCCGCCTCTTAGTGGTCAAATACTATAATTGTTGTTTCTAAGAGTAAAGTATGTCGACATACAAAACGATACACGGGGTGTACACTATTAAAACGTTATTTAGTCTATTTTATACCATATATATATACACACACATATATAGTTATATATACACACACATATAGTTACATATACACACACAAACTGTATATATAGTTATAAAGCGTCTGCTAAATGTACTTGTACAGTAACAGGTTTTTTAATAAAATGAAAAAAATCACTTCAAACCTACACAGTTTTGAAGTGATTTTAACCTAAACACCAATAGAGCCAAGAAAGGGGTAACTTTTTATTCCACTTTAAGGTGAGTGCACTTTAATAAAAAAACGCAGTAAAATTATTTTAAATGTGGCACCTAAAACAAGTTGGACTAAAAGTTACACAGTGCTCCTTTAAAACTTTTCCTTGGTACATTCTTGTAAGACATTCATGCTTGGGCACCATGAGCAGCAGTCAGGATGTTGTTGTTGTTGTTGTTCTGGATCCGCCCAGTGTGACGTATGGGGTACCGACAAGATGGCCGAGTGTACGGTACGAAAGTGAGAAGAGGGGAAACAAAAACACTACCGTTGGAGCCGGAGTTTTGCCCGGAGCCGGAGTTTTGCCAAGGACGAGTTGTCTGGTGCGGAATGTCGGAGCCGGAGTTTTGCCAAGGACGAGTTGGGACGAAGTAAAAAGGCTGGGTGACGCGCGCTGCTTGCGTGACATTCTGCTGCACGCGGGCAAACGCCACTGGCTGACAGATTGGCTTAGTCTGCGCTAAAGTTAGCCACTGAGCTAACCATGCTATAGCTGACTATACCGTTTGCAAAGAACACGGGTTTACAAAGTGTCATTTGTCTGGATTTGGTTCATGGACTTCATATCGCTCCTCTAATTGGGTAAAGAGATCAATATTACGCAATATTATCATTTTCCCGAGTGGTGTTAAGGAATGAGCAACAGTAAACCAGCTGGCTAGCAAGGTAACATTGCGGATTTCATGTTGGAGTTAGCATTAGCAAACGTCAGCTGTTTTGGGAGACTGGGTTTTTTTTGCGACACAGAGACGCTGCATCAGTGTGTGTGGACGTTAATTATCTACATATAAAACAGTTGTTCAATACTTAAGTGTTGCTCCCGTTTTACCGGACTGTAAGTACAAGTGTCCCAGAAGAGGAGGCTGCAGCCAAGTGGTTAAGTGGAGAAGCCCAGGGAGCATCACCATGGCCCACTCTCCCGTACAGGGTAACCTTCCGGGGATGCAGGTGAGACAACAAGTATATCACAGGAGGTAATTGGAATTGCTGTCACTAACAGATTAAATCGCTCATGGTTTTGGTGTGCTAGACAATACACTGTATTTGATTTTTTAAATGATCTAACTTACACTTTCTGCTGCATATACCAATATGTCGTTGAGATGTGAAGCAACCCCATATAAGAAAAAAACTTCGTCTTTAAGCAGAACAAACAAAATGGAGAAAGCTAAAAGTAGAAATAAGTGCAGAAAGTTTTCACCTTATGCAGCTGCAATTACCCTTTAGTCCATCTGCAGGTGCAGTACAGTACTACTTATATTGTCAAATTATTGTTGTAGATTATATCTAAACTCACCTGTCAGATAATTTGGTTACAAGAAAAAATTAGCATTTTGTTTTGAAAGCTAACGAACTGAACCTACTTTAAAAAGCCAAAGGAAATGTCATGGTCTGATGAACAAACTAGACAACTCGCTGGTGTTTGCTCATTTGTAATTGAGTCTGCTGTTTCTCACTGTTAATCCAGTTTGTTTTAGTTAATGAGTCAATAAGACAAAATTCAAGACAAAATAACTGCAGGGACTAATATAAATATCTGCCAATATTTGTCTAATATTGATTTGAATAGTGCCACAGTAAACAACATTTGCCCTAGGCTTTTGTCCCAGTTTGAGTTCTTTCTTAAACAAAGCAAAACAAAAAACTTCAATTGACAGCATATACATAGAGTTAAGTATTCTGCAGTGCAAGATTTTATTCTCACGACAAGTAACTATGAACCAATTCCTTCAAACAGCTCGATCACAGGTTCTGTCTTCAGTCCATCAACTTTTAAAGTTGTTACTTATGTTATGCTATGTTAATATATCTGATAATAATACAGTCGATCATCTTAATTATATTGGAGAAGCCAAAATTGTGATTTTTAATAAAAAAATTATTAATTCTCCAGCATTACCTCGACTGCGTATTTTTGCACACTTTGATGTGATGCAGATCTGGCAACCTGTGTGTGAAGCTGCAGTTGTGGGATATTAATTCTAAAGAAAAACTTATTTGAATTACTTGGTGGAATTAAAAACCATAAATAAAAACAATTAAAGCCACGTGCAGGGGTTTGTACAGGACATGTGTATAAATTTGCCATCTATTTTTGATGTTGGTGTAACATTTTTTTCCAATTGTTACACTTCTCCCCATAATGTTCTTTTTTGTCTGTGTTTGTGAAAACACAGGGTATTAGAATGGTGTCTTCTAGCCTTTCCTTTTTACATACATGTCCTTTCAAACATGTCTTTCTCTCTTCTCCTCCTGTTCTTTCCTCTCTACTTGGACTCATTCTCAACATGACCACCAGAATGCCAGAGTGGACCCAGAGGAGCTGTTTACCAAGCTGGAGCGTATTGGCAAGGGTTCATTTGGCGAGGTGTTCAAGGGAATTGACAATCGCACACAGAAAGTGGTAGCAATCAAGATAATTGACCTGGAAGAAGCAGAGGACGAGATTGAAGACATCCAGCAGGAGATCACAGTGTTGAGTCAGTGCGACAGTCCATTTGTCACCAAGTACTATGGCTCATACCTGAAGGTATGTAATACGCATTTGAATGCATTTCAACAAACATAAAATTAGGGTCCCATCTCATCTTTATATTTGGTCTAAATTATTCTCCAATTGTCTAATTGTATGGAATTTGTTTGCACGACAAGCTGTAAGTGTAAGTGTGTGAGTGTTTACCTCTTTATGTTGAAACATGCTTTTTATAAGTCAGCATTGTTCAAAATTATTTACTGTAATTGATAAATACTAAAATAATTGTGATATATGGACAAGTTGATTAAAATAAATTCAAGAAAAATGTTGGCAAAATATACATTAATTAATGTATAAAAAGTAATAAATACATAACAAGTACAAGTGAGCACACAATAAGATACCAATGTGACAACGCCTTTTCTCCTCCAGCATGTCCCGGGCTGCAGTTACTGACATGTTAATGTCCCCGTTTATGGCATGTCACGCAAAGTTAAGATGAGCATTTGATCTTAGAGATCGAATCGAGTGGGCTATGGTTGGGTTTTTTTTGTTTTTTTTATGTTCAATCCTGAGATTTTGACCAGTACTGGACAGATACCAATCCTGGTATAAATATAAATGTATCTAATTTATAATTAACAAATACAAAAAGAAATGAAAGAAGATAATTTTAGAATAACTAAAAAAGGAAAAGTAGTCATTAGTTCAGAGCTTAGCTGAGAAAAACGTAAAGCAGAAAATAAAATAATAAACATGAAAGACGGCTCTGTGTTAATAAAAATATGCACTGTTGTTCTCACGTTGTGAAAAATTCCAAGTTTGTTGACTTTGTAATGCTGATCTAACCTGTTCACATGATAATTTGCTTAAGAACACATTTAATAGATGGCAGATCTTGCAGCAAGTCAGTAACCTTCATATTCAGTAAGCTTTCTTTGAAAAACATCTTTGATTGATTTTTTTTTTATCAAAAGTGCTTGTTGAGCTCTTTTTTCATTTGTGATCAGCTCTTTTTTTTCTCTTCTCTTCCAGGACACAAAGTTATGGATCATCATGGAGTATTTGGGTGGTGGCTCAGCATTAGACTTGGTAAGTTTTTGGGGTTTTTCCCCCTTGTTTTTGTGGCTTAGCAGCAAAAGTCCAAGGTAAAGTTTACAATACGTTAGTGGAACCTGCTATAATGTACAGCAGTGGAAATTAACTGGCAACCCGTGGGCCAAATCTGGGCCCCCAACCATCCAAAGCGGCCCATGACTGGATTGCAAAATAAACAGAAGTCAAAGAAAATGTGATTTTATTTCATTTCATTTGAGTGTTCTGTCCAGAAAGATTCTAGCCCTGCGACAAATATAGTTAGTGACCCCTGGATTTTGAGCTTGTGGCACTGTTCAAAACACTGGAGACTCATTTGGCAAATGAAATGTACTAATCCACCAAGCTTGTGCTGAGCTGACAGTAAGTGCTTGACTCTGTTTTGAAGATGGAGCCCGGTGCTTTGGATGAAACTCAAATCGCCACAATCCTCAGGGAGATCCTGAAGGGCCTGGAATATCTTCACTCTGAGAAGAAAATCCACAGAGATATCAAAGGTATTTGTTGAGAGATTGAGAAGCTGAGCACAAACAAACTGATTTGTCAGTATTTATGCATACACACACACACATAAAGCCTTTTTTGTTGCATGTAAGAATTTGTTACTTTAGATAGGTAATTATATCTTATGTAGGATTGTCATAATGCATCTTCCCATACACTGAAATAAAGTATTGGTACTGAGTACTGATTCACTTTTAGTTCAGGCTTTAATGAAAATGCAATGAGTTGCAGGGCAGTTTTAAGTGAGGCTTCTGTTGGAAATTGGATGGTACACAGTGTGTGTTGGTGGAATTCGAGTAGAGGACTCAGCAAACTGATGTCTGTCGCTGGTTTTTATTCATTAATTTGAAACCAAAATGAAAAATATCAATTAAAAATAAGTCTTTAAGCTCTTTTGTCATTTTCAATATATAAAAAAAAACTTAAACCAAGCACCAGCAGTCAGTCATAAAGCAAAAATTGAATTCACCACCAACTACATAATGGTTATAATCACAGCGAATATTCAAAAGAAGGCAGAAAACATTTAAATACTGGTTAGACCTGAAGTTGCTAAAATACAAACATTTAAAAAAAATAAGATGAAAGTTAAACAAAAGATACTACACTTAGATTTTAAGTCAGTCATAAAGCAAAAATTGAATTCACAAACAAAAGATACTACACTTAGATTTTATGTTTTTACTCTCCCACAGCTGCCAACGTGCTGTTGTCTGAGCAGGGAGAAGTGAAGCTAGCTGACTTTGGGGTCGCAGGCCAGCTGACCGACACCCAGATCAAACGCAACACGTTTGTTGGCACGCCCTTCTGGATGGCGCCCGAGGTCATCAAACAGTCTGCGTATGACTCAAAGGTAGGGTTAGGCTTTGACTTCTGGAATCACTTTTCATCTAAAGATTGTCACCTCTTGGCTCATTTTTGCATTTTACATTACGTTTTAAGCTCGGTGGCCCAGTTTCATTTTGTCTCCCTATCTTTCAGGCTGATATCTGGTCTCTAGGAATCACAGCTATTGAGCTGGCAAAAGGCGAGCCACCTCATTCAGAGCTGCATCCTATGAAAGTTTTATTCCTCATCCCAAAGAACAACCCACCTACGCTAGAGGGAAACTACAGCAAACCTCTCAAAGAGTTTGTGGAGGCCTGTCTCAATAAAGAACCCAGTTTTGTAAGAGTTCTTTTTTTCTTGTGTAAGGATTTATTCTGTGCTCAGGATAACTCAGGCTTCCGACTACAATGTGTTTATGTGTGACTTTTTTTTTTAGAGACCAACTGCCAAAGAGCTGTTGAAGCATAAATTGATCATTCGACATGCGAAAAAGACCTCTTACCTGACTGAGCTAGTGGATAAGTACAAGAGGTGGAAGGCAGAACAGGCGAGAGCCGCGGAGTCCAGTTCTGACGAGTCTGACTCGTAAGTTGATGAGACATGATGACAACGTATCAGAATTGTATCACTTTTCTTTTAGGAAAAATGGCTTTTTCTCTTTTCATCCCTGACTAATCAGAGAGCAGGATGGACAGGCATCAGGAGGAAACGACTTCGGCAGTGACGACTGGATCTTCACCATCCGAGAAAAGGACCCCAAGAAGCTGCAAAACGGAGAGGGTCAGTCTGGGCTTACAGATCAGGTGAGACGTTTACTTTGAAACGACTTAAAGTAAATGCCTATGATCACCAGTCCTGACATTTCATCTTCTACAAACAGATGGTTCGTATATTGATGTAGCTTACAGCTTTATTTAAATGATAACATGACAAAAAAATTTGAAGAGTGGTGTTAGCCCATGAAATGAAAAAAGGAAATAATAAATATAGCCCTAACCCTTAAGAAATAAATATGACCAAATAGGTCAAACAAGCCAGCCCAGTTTTAGCCAATAGATTCAAAAAACATTAAAATTCCTCACGATAACCTAGTAAATTTGGTTAAAGGTATTCTAAAATATATATTACAGAACAAATATAAGGTTAGCATTAAAACATTCACCTAAAACATAACACAAGTATTACTGACAGTATATGTTTAAGTGTGGTTTAAAAGGTTTAATGAATTAATAAAATATGTTAGCTTTAGTTAACACAATTTATAGTTTGTCCCTTAGTCAAAACAAGCCCAAAATAGCGCAGTCTCAAAAACTATAAAAGTATAGCTTAGCCATACAATAGTGAATATACTGCTTATTATATTTTTGAACAAATCATAACAAATGACTGGCCAAAGCTTAATGCCTATTAGCCAAAACATGTCCCTAAGTTAGCAAAAAGGAAAAATAGCAGGAAGCTAAAACAGGTGGGAGACAATTGTTTATTTTTAGCCTAGTTACTGCTAATGGGTGGCTAAAACAAAATTACTGAACTATTCCTAACATAACCATCCTGTCACTGGTGGGTCTTTGGGTTGGACATGCCTGTTCTTGGTATTTTTTTGGTTTGTTTGTTTGAATAATGAGATCATTGGATTTACTGTTAATCTGTTCTACCATCTGTGTCTGCTCCACAGACACAAAACATTCCAAAAAGGCCTTATTCACAGAGCCTGACCACTGTCATTTCCCCTGCGTTGGCTGAAGTAAGAAGTCGCACATTTTACCAACCTCGCACAAAGACTTGACAGTTTTATATTTCTAATTTCTATTTGCTGACCAAATATGGACGTGTTCCTCTCAGCTGAAGGCCAGGCAGGAGCAGGTGAATGGAAACCCCATGGTTCTGGACGAGCTGAGGGAGGCCATCTTGCTGGCAGAGGAGGCATACCCTGGTATCTCTGACTCACTGGTTGCCCACATGGTCCACAGGCTTCAGAGGTAATCACTCATCTATTACATGACCTTTACTGTAGCTGTCAGCATACTTGATTTTGAACAGGTTAAAATAATCAGAGGAAATGAGGAGAAAAACAAACAGACACACATATGCAGATGTATGTGTATGTATATATATATATATGTATATATATATATATGTGTATATATATATATGTATATATAGATATGTGTATATATATATATGTATATATAGATATGTGTATATATATATATGTTGTTGTGTTGAAGTGTAAATGAATACCCCACAGAAGAATAAAAAAAGGTGGCTTGCTGTGGCGACCCCTAAAGGTAACAGACAGAAGAAGAACATGTTTTGCTAAGTTTAGTTCCTTTCTTGTGTTATTTTAGTCAACATTTGTTTTATTTTTCTCCACCTTACACTGATGCTGTTGTATGGTGTTAGCTGAACATCTTTTCAGGTTATTGTTTGCATCTGTCTTTGACTGTTGCTGAGCTAACATTATTATAGGTTAAGGTTGTTGCTAACTTTCTGTTGTGGAAGTTGTGGAACTTTCTGCAGAAACATTTTGATAACCTTTGACTGTTTATTTTTTATAGAGTTTAAAAGACAAGTACAATTATTTTAAAAGACTTATTCTGTCATTTATTCCCCAGTATACTCTGTGCTTATTGCTTTTATTTTCTTAATTTTTTTCAGTTTTTCCACAAGCAGAACATCTTCCTCCTCCTCCTCCTCAAGGCCATAGTACCTGACACGTTGTCATGGCCCTGCTCTCCCAGGCCCCCACCCCTCAGACCTCCAGGGGTCAAACTTTGACTACTAGTGGACTAGGGTGTCTCAAGGGGGTGCTATTTTCCAGCCTGTAAAAAGGACTGACCTTTACACCAGAGACAACTCTGGAGAGCATTTTGGAGACACATGGGCAACAGGAGCAGCAGGACCCGGCATTGATTTGTTCACAGTCGGTGAGGTCAGACTGTGGCTGTCTGTGGACCTCAGACAGAAACCAAGCTCAGCATAGGAGCCAGAGACTGGAAACCAGACTGGAGCCTCCTTCAAAACACAGGCATCACACCCCCCAAAACCTCTGAAAGCATGCATGATGAAGCTGCAGGGAGCGTGTGTGTTTCTGTGGATGAGTTTGTGTGTGTGAGTGAGAGACTCCCTGATTGGGCAAACTAGAACATTCTTAATGAAACCTCAGGTAACGTGTCTTTAAGTGGACCCTGGAGGATGATGAAGAGGGGGAGGAGGAGGAGGAGGAGGAAGTTGCCATGCTGTACATGATCACAAGGTATTGCGGGGAAATGAATCACTGTGTACAAAATGGTTGTCTTTGTAGTTACTGACAATGTTTTAAAAGTAGATATTTAAAGATTTCAGACACCACTCTAGGCAGAGTGAACAGAAAATGCCTTGCCTTTTAAAAAAAATGCACACGTCCACATTCTCTTACTTTTCATCACAGATTTCTTTTGCTTTCAAAGACCTTTAGGTTGACAGAATCCTACTCATGCATTTTCTTTTGGAGCCTAAGCATTCCAGTCCACATAAGTTTAACAAGCAGCTCATCTGGTTAAATCTGAGGCTGCTTTAGATTAAGGAGACGTCTCATGTTTTGTTGGTCTTGTGACCAGGACACCAGATCTTGTGCAAATCTGTCAACGGCTGTCCCTCACATGTACAAGTCCACAGAGAGAATCGGCCATCACACAGTAGCTGCTGAGTTATTTCTACGTCCTGATTAATGAATAAAACAGATCCTCGTTAGAAATTTCTTTTCACACCAAAGTTCACACTAAATAGGAATTCTTACATCTTCAAATTGTTGCTAAGTAAGAAGCGTGATGTTGTGACTGTACGTTGCTTTACCTCATTGACCCAAACAGCGCAGCAGAAGAAGAGCTGCAGCTCCAGTGTGATTATCAGTGTGATTATCTCTGTGGGCTGTGGTGAGGGAGATTGACAGTTGCTAAAAGAAGCTGTTCAGGCACAAGTCTAGTCAACGCAAACAGGAAATGCCTTGCTTTAGAAGAAAGAAAGAAAAGAAAAAGCACACATCCAAAGTCTCCACCATTTCATTACAGACTCTTGGTTTTCCAGACTGACTCTCACTGAGTTCATTGTTCTCAGCTTCTACCTTGTCCTCCATCCAATCATTTCAGTCCCCTGCTCATCTGTGTTACTGAGCTCAACTCTTTCAACGTTGGCAGAACGCGTTGCTCTGCATTCGTACCTTTTGGAGTTCATTTGTTACTTTTACACATTAGTGATTTAAGTTTCCAATATAAGACAAAAGCTTAATTATTGGAAGTTCGTTATCGCGTTAAGTGTTATTTGTCCTTGGCTTGTAACTTCTCATTAGTATTACTGAATGGCAAGCAGCAGGATGTATTTGAGGTGCAGCAGCTGTATAAGATAACGACACAGTCGGTGCTAGGAGCAACACTTGCTTTGAAGACACTTTATTTCCCCTAAGATTTTTTTTTCAGTTTTGCTAACGTTACATTGTTAGACAAACACTCCACTACTACAAGACCTGTTAGGAGAATCATGCTATGTTATGTCAGCGCTGAAACACATTCACCACAGGAGGCCAAACTTTCCTCTGCCCATAGTCCAATGCAGATAATAAAGTTGTTTGATATTCACATCATATAGACAGTTCATGTAGTTAATATCAAGCAAACAATATGTGTTATGTAAGTCAGAGCTAGGCAGTGACATCATGACACCTGCTCACAGCCAACGTACAAGACGAATGAGGACGAGCCAAGCAGCAGAAATCAGTCTTAGCCATGTTTGTCCCCTCATTCTAGATCTTTGTCCTGGCTTTTACACCGTGTTACAGAAGTGCCATGTCCAGATTTTGCGCCCCACTATATCTTTGTAGTATGATTTGCACCTTTTATTTAATTTTATTTCACATTTCTCATCATTTTATTGCACCTTGAAAGTGTTGATTATTTAAATGAACATATTGGTGAGGGAAAGGAAAAGAAAATACCCACAGAAGCTAAAAAAAAAAAAGTTGCTAATAGCCATGTTTTACTATATATGTTTACTTAGGAGTTCCAGAATTTTACTACTGTGCTAATGCAGCAATAATGTTGAGAAGTGGCAACAACGCCACCTGTCAACACAGGGATTGAGAGAAATTATGAAATATCTGATATTTTTATAACTGCAAAGATTTAAGTGTTGAATTATGGAATGCTTTATGGATACTAGGCAAAAAATATCTATACAGAAGAAAAAAAACGTACGCTACGGAAATGAGTAGAAAAAGTGTGCATTTGGTCTCTTTATCCTAGCTGACAGTTTATAGTACTGTATATAACCTTTGCTTGTGTCATTGGAGAATTCCTGAGTTCAGTGTAAGCTCCTGTAAGCTTTCAAAGTGACATGAGAAATAAAAATGTAATGAATTCAAAACTTACTTGTTACTTTTTAAAAGACGATACTTTTTAGAGAAAAAGAAAAATACATTTTGTGTTTGTATGAAAATATGTTTTTCTTATCAGCCCCTCGTTACTGTAGTGGTGAGTACCGTGGGATAATTTTATTTGTTAATGAGATTAATACGTAAGTTATGAAGAAATGTTAGGAAAAATAACTCGTTATTTTTAGACTCAAAATGTTGCTTTATAAATATGTTGCAATAGAATATATGCATGTATATATATGTCCTTAATACTGTCAGAGAATATGTCGGAACTATAGTTAAGCGCTACACAAACGGAACGAAAACAAAGTTACACAACACCCGCTCATTTCCGCGTGTGTTTTGTTTGTCCCTGCAAGTTGCAGAGAGAAGGAGTGACCAGGTGGGAGGAATGTCCGAAGAAGTTATTCCCTCGAACAGCGCATTAAATCAATTTTGTGGGATTATTTTGGCCACAGGGAAAACAACAACAGAGTGTCGTAGTCTGGATGACGACTTGACAGAACTTAAATCACGCCATACAATGTAGAGAAAGGAGGAAACATTCAAAGTGTTTCATCACCTGAGACAACCACCTGACGTCGTTCGCCAAACTAAAGGTAAAATCACAGCAACTGGATTAAATTACGTGAATGTTTCCTAACGTAACGTTGAATTTGTAGGACTTTAAATGTTAGCGTGTCATTTGCAATTAAATGTTTGAGTAGCACACAGGTGTGTGCAGTGTGACAAATTGCACATCATTCACCTGTTATATTATGCTGTTCGGATGTAAACTTAAGCTTAAGGTCTATCGTTTTTTGTTGTTGTTTTTACTGTTGTCAGACAGTTTCAGTGACAGTGTGCAGTGACCTGTAGAAGAAAACTCCTTGTAGTCTGTTGTCAAGTCCTCAGTCAGGGAACATTTAGCATTAGCTCGAGTAAACGTTGGGCTTGTGCTTCCAGCACTATGGGATGTCCGTTTGATTCATTACTAATTTGTGTATTTCATTTCATAATTTAGGCATAAAATAAACGAACTAAACAATAGATACGTTTTTTATGTGGCCACATTCAATTAAACAAATGATTAAACAATTAGAATAAAACATCTTGTACAGATCACAATGAATGACTTAATTCATTTTAACAATCCCCCTGGGGACAAATGATTGGTCTCATTTAAATAGATACTTAACTATACAAATACAAATATTAGATCATATAATTAGTAATAGAATTATATATTTTATCAACTTTACAGCGACATAGAGATCTTTAGGAATTCACTTATGTTTTCCCTGTGATAAATACATAGATAATACACAGTAGCATGCAATATGTAGTGTTTTGAGTTACCTGATAACCTGACAACCATGCTGCTTTATGAAATGCTTTGTGAAACAGGAGCAGTTCTACCCACTTCTCTGTGCTTCTGTTAGATCAGTCACTCAGTCTCAGTCAATCAATCAATCAATAATGTATCCAATAAGAATGGACTGAAATGAGGGTAAATGATTCTTACACTCTTTAACTGTTGGCTTTTTCATCCAAATATTTGAATATTGACTTACATTTGACTAAGTAATGGTAATGGGCCCATTCAGTTTGAATGATTTTACACAGTGTATCTTTGCTGGGGTTTGGCACAGTATATCTCTCTGTTTCACTTTGATCACTACATGTAATTAATTAATGAGTGGGCATTACAATATTATAAATGAATATAAATAATCTTTTACTTTCAGCTAAGGGCCTCTTACATGTGATTTATAGTTTGAGTATAAACAAAGTCCCACCCACTCATCTGTTAAATTTAAAGTTCCTAGCAGCCTCTGACCTGCCAGGATATTAAAAATAAATGTACACCAGGATTTATTTACAGACACAATTTATTTGAAATTAATGTATGTGTGACTTCAAAACACACCATAGACAGGACTATACAGGCAGCAGGCAGTGAAGCATTCATTTACATAATACAATAGTAAAATATTACAAAACATACATTACTGTGCTTGCAATAAATAGAAAATGTGTGTGTGGAGCGGGGTAAGTCATAAACAAATGTCCTGTTAACTGTATCTTGTTGTGTGTATTGGGAAAAAAACTGAACAATTGAACAGCGTGACTTCATTAGAGCTTTAAACATATAGAACATTCAATTTTTGTTCAGCAACTTTTTAAATAAGTTTTTTGGCTAATTTGTAGTTACTCATTACAGGTAACTAGGTTAGCATTTTGTAAATAAGTGCATTTCCTCTTGATCAGTAGTTCCCAATGTTTGTTGTGCCATGGACCGTGGACGTGTGTTTTCACTTTGCAGTCCAGGGTCAAATGATCCATGGTCCAGTACTGGTCTAGGCTTTGGGTAGCTGGGCACCCCTGTTCTGGATAGTTCAGGCTAACAGAGCTATGATTGTCTTTTACTACCACTTATATCAAAGTATACAAGTATTTTTTTTTCTAAATTCAAATTATTTCGAGAATAACCTGCTGCTATTGTGGCTACCATTAAAATAATCTGGAGGTCAAGGAATAAATATTATGAATTTGAATTTGAGTTATTTCTGCCATCGTTGATGCTCAGTTTAAGGTATTCTTGTTCTTATTTGTCGTCCTCACTGGACATATTTCAGTCCTGTTGACTTAATATAAGGTAGAGTTTGTTTGGCTGCGATGCAGATTAAACTTGATTTGATTTTCTGGGCAATCTTAGCCATTGTTTTTCTCTCCATGTTTTTATTAGTTTTTGTTCATTTTCTGTCTGGATTTTTTTCTACATTGTGGTCTCTTTGTTTTGCAATGTTTTTAACTTACTTCAAGTAACAAACATTTTCCCAGCTTATTTAAGTTATGATGTTGTGTGTCTTGGCAAATTAAAGTTATATTATCAAATTAAATCTAAAATTATTAAATTTGTTTGAATTAGGCTATTTTCTATGTTTTGTTTGAAATATCTGATACCATTTTCCAAAAATAATCTGCTCCAGTTGTCTTCCCTTCTTAACTCACCTTTTTAAAATCTTTTTTTCAGTTTAATTTAGCAGCACCACTTCACCCCAGTCATGCCTTTATTCTTGCCACCTAATGACTGGATGACTGTAGACTGTATGAATACTTTCTGACGTTAAATGCGCATGTAGTGCTACATCTTGGAAGAGATGAAATCTTCATGGTCAGAGTCCGAGTCACTGCTGCTGCCCTTGCGGGACTTCTTCACAGAGTCCTTTTTCTGGACATCCTTCCTCTTGTCCTTGTCTTCAGGCTCCATCTGGGAAAACTGAGCCTCTATCTTCACCGGGTCAATGTAGGTGTAAAACATGGCCATAATAGAGAAAACGATGCAGACCAACACCAGCAGGGAGGCAAAGAGGATGTATTCTGCCCACTAGTGGAGACAAACATAATGGAAATGTGCAAAGTCACAATGGTTTAATTTTTATGCAGTGATTCCCCACCAGTGTGCTCTGCCACATTGTCATGCTGCGCAAAATTATCCAATTTCACTTGGAATAATTTGTGCCTCAATGCAATAGTGACAGACAGAACAATTAAATAATAGAACAATTAAATAATAGAACAATTAAATAATATTTATATATATATATATATATATGTCACTTGTGTTTAGAAAAATGTCTCACAGAGATTTCTTAGACCCTTCCCCGAAAGGACGTAGGCCTGCTACGTCCTTTCAGGGCTAATTCAGGGTAAATTCCACCCACCTGTACTGGGAGCGTAATTGCCCCAACAATTAGCACGATGATGTTTCCTACGGCAACAGTCAGGAGCCAACCAGCCTGCAGCACTGACTTCATGTTACTGGGAGCCTGAAGAAAACCAAAATGATATTAAAGTGGAAGAAAACAGAAAGGAGGGTTGTCGTATTTAGTAAATATTTTCAAAATAAAACGCAGAGATGACTTCACGTTAGGAAAAACAGAAATAATTGAGTTAGAAAATAAAGCTAGTCATCTGACTTGGTCAGACTTTGGCTTTAACATCAAATAATCTGATTGGCCCAGTATATTGTGTGTGTGTGTGTTTTACCTGTGAGTAGGCGAACTCTAGACCAGTGACAGAGAAGACCACCTCCCCTGCAGTGATGAGGAAATACTGAGGGATCTGCCAGGCCATGTGGACAGTGTTGGGCTGGATGTCAGTCACTGCGTTGATGCTCTGGGCACACTGCAGGACACACACAAACACACACACACACACACACACGCCCTTGTGTGACTCTCAGTCAAACCGCTGCACACTTGTCGCTCACTGGCAGGTGGTTTGTACGACTCACGTTTTGGTCGAAGGTGAATGTGGACGGGATGATGAGAGTGTATGAGCTGCCAAAGCCCAGCTTTTGGTTGTAAACACACTCCATCTCCGTCAACGGGTTCTTGATCAGGATTACATTACTGGGAGGAGAAGACACAAAACTGTTTTTGGACAAACACTGCTCTGTTTGTGTGTATATTCTATTGAAGTGCGTATGGAACACAGTGGGTGTGTCCAAAGTCAGGACTGTGGCCTGACATTTGCACTTGGATATGTTTAACTTCAGTTTATCATTTATATTTTACTTCTTTACATCCAATGGCTTTTTTAAATTCATTTTCACTTTTTTAAACATTTTTTTTATACTTTATCTAACTCACGGCTTTTTAATAAACCTCTGAAGTCATGTTTTGTGTATTGTTATAAACATCACTACTTTTGTCCTACTCATTGTAATAATAAAAAGTTGTAATTTTATCATTTTCTCTTTGGATTAGCTGCTGGTTTTTGTTTTTCTTTAAGCTCTTTGACCGGTCTTATCTTTTTACTAGCCTCATGCATATTTTCACAACTTTTTGTCGTCCAATGAATCTATTTTTGGCTTAATTTTAGCCCTGTCACTTTCTTTCAGATCTGGTAGCTCTTTTTTTTTTTTTTTTCTAAATTATTTTGTATTACTCGAGTGGGGTTCCTGTAATTATATTCACTACTGTGTGTCTTGGTCGATTTTTGAAACATGTGGCTCTACATTTAGGATTTTTTGGCTATTCTAATTTTAAATAATCCCGAATGCTCCTTTCTGTTGACTCTACACCCTTTGAGTATATTTTATATGTCAAAGATATTTTTGATAACTTTTATGATTTTCTTTTTACCTGTCTATATTTTAGTCTTTTAAATTCTTACCAATGTTAACTTGTAACTAGTGTAACTAAAATTTAATAAATGATTGATGTTGAAATTCATTTTTGACTATTACAGTTGTTCTTTATATTAAAAAAAACAAAACAGAAAGAGTGCAGGAAATAAAACCAGACTTACTTTCCATGTGAAACTTGGACATAGTCTGACATGTCGTTGGTCACAATTTCCCCATAGTCCTGGTTGTTTACTGTTAGGTTCAAGACTGAACCAAATCCATTTAGTACTCTGAGGAGAGATGGAATTCAAAGCATAAGTAGGATTAGAGAAAAAAGTAATAAGAAAACAGAAAACTCGTGAGTAACCATTGTATAAATGTTCCTTCTACAGTATATCTAATGAAAATCTCATAGTGATCAGGCAGTCGTAGTAGGGGACAGGGTAGAAAATATATGGCAGAACAAAATGTTTGCAGTGTCAGAAGGAAATCCAGTGCAGTATCCCATCAGTTCACTTAAGTATCGCCTAGTTTCCTTTAGAGGAGCTAAAAGGTCGACCTTTGAAAAACGCCCAGAAATAACAGGCAGATGCTGATCAGGGAAAATAAAATCAGTCACTCTGAGAACTAATCTGGCTATTGTATATGCAACACAGTACAAAAAAACTGACCACAAACTAATTCTGGAAATAAATGTCTCTTAGGTTGTCAGAAATGTATGATGCAACATGGGGTCACAGGTCAAAAAAGGTTGGGAACCATTGGACTAGCATATTAGACGAACACATGGAAAAAGTACCAAAATCAGTAGATTACAAGGAACCTGGGTGACTGTAACCAAAGTGCACTGAGCTGAGTGACTCACCTGATAGCATTAGCGCCCTGCTCCGGCTTTGATGTGAGGTCCTGGAACTGAAGATAGAAGAATGTGTCAGATATTTTCCACTGCTTTACAATGTCTCCGAAGACATATAAAGATTAAAGCACACGTGAGTCGGAGATCATGATATGACTGAGATCGGTGCCAGGTACTATTATTATTAGGTGGAATCAGTTGATGAGAAGAACTACAGCTAGTACCCACAGTTAGTTAGTTAGTTAGTTTCTTTCTTTTCTTCTCTCTTACTTTCTTTTTTCTTTCTTTCCATCATTCTTTCTCTCTCATTCTTTTCTCTGTCATTCTTTCTGTCTTTCTTTCCATCTTTTTTTCCATTCTGTCTTTCCAATCTTCTGCCTTTTCCTTTCTTCACCAAAGAGAAAACCCTTTCCTCCAGTTTGGAGTCTAAAACCTTTTTCTTACACAGTTTTCTACATGTTAGCGGCGACAGGAGGGACTAGACTGTAGCTGCTCACCAGCGTAGGTTCAGTCTCACTGATGGAGATGGTGTTTCGAGTGCCGTCCTTTAGAGTAATTATGTGTGTGTCAGTTCCCAGGTCCAAAACAAAAGATTATGTAGTTTGTCAGTTCCCAGGTCCAAAACAAAAGAATCTCTAAAGGTCAGATATTCCTCATTGGCCTTTAGAAAAAGAAAAAAAAAACAGGGACATGCAGTTACATCTTTACTACATGAAGGCATGTTTTTGTAAGTAAGTGAAGATCTGGCAGGTGTGATTACCGTGTAGGGCTCTAAGCTGAGTAAATTGGTTCCTGCTGTGGCAGATAGTGATCTGTTTAACATGTTGATAAACTTGGCCTGGCCCACGGTGTTTGAAGGGAACTTTGGCAGAGTTCTCTGTGGAAAAAAGGGGAAAACTTCTGTCAATTCTGTGTTGTCCAACTGCTGGTTCTTATCATGACGTCCTTACATCAATCTGTATCTGGACCAGAGCAGCTGCCACGAATGCCATGGCCGCGAGGAACATGCCAACTGTCATCCTCTTTAAGGGACTGCAGGTCAAACATGACAAAATGTCCTTAAAAGTTTCAGTTTCACTTGAAAATTCACTGTCGAGGGTTTCAGTCAATCAGTGAGCTCACGTAAAGTTTAGTTTGCACTTGGCGATCAGAGGGTAAATCAAGCTGTCCATGATGGGCACCAACACCAGGATCAGGATGGGGTTCACCGTCTGCAGGAGAGAGAAACAGTTGCTGTAAGAATGTATCAAAAAGGACCAGTGTTTTCAAGGGTTTTCTTCACCACGGTTCATTAAGTTATTCATCCAAGAATACTGTACCATCAGAATTCATTTCACAAAGGTGAAAAAAAGATACACTATATACCTTTTTTATTCCTACACAGCTGTTTATTTCAAAGAGCTCAAAGCCAGTACCTGCATCTGGTCTGGGAAGATGACAAGGATTCCCTGTAAAAGAGAAAGATAACAAAATGTAACAACAAGCCTTGCTTTTGTCTAAAAACATAAATAAGATATTAAAAAAAAAAGACAAACAAAAAATGACATACAAAGTCTCCGTTCATGTTGGTGGCCTGCAGCGTCCATCTGGAGCCCTAGGAAAATCACAGCTGTTTTATTATGTACTTGGCTCCAGGACAGTAGAGGGCGTTGACACAAACAATGACAAATATTCACCTGTTGGTCAAAGAGAGCCCAGAACATGGGCAGAGGGAGGTAGAGGAACAGAACCTTCACCACCATCTTTACCTGAGCAATCAGGAGTTTCTGCACGTGAAAAAAACAACAACATCAGCTAGTTGGTAGTTGTCCTCGGGCAAATACCTATCAGCTTTGGCTGATAAGTATGGCTATTTTTTTAGCTATGTCCACCCAGAATATTAGTTAACATTTGGCTGTTTTGCATTTTTTAATTAAACCTTAACCTCTCCTAACCACTTTCCCGTACTGGATCATTTCCAGTCAAGTATTGAAACTATTTTGTTTCATTTTGTTACGTTTGGCAACTTTGAACTTTTTTTTATTCCTGATTTAGCCACTACTAGCTAGCTTTATGGAACATCTTATTTCACGTTTCCTTAAGCTCTACAGCCAAACTGTAAAAAAAAAAAAAAAATCATAGCAAAGACACACTTTTCTCTTATTTTAGTAATGTTTCTACCTAACTTGAGGCTACATTGGCAACACCTACTTGCACAACAGAGAACATTTTTGGAATCAAAATACTTCTATAATTTTACACATCGTTGTTATTTTTCTTAAGGCATAATTCACTCTTGACTAGGTTTTTCTGTTGGTTTTTTTGTTAGTATTTGTAATTTTTTCTAATTAAATTTGACGTAAGTATTAAATTAATTATTTTTATATAAATATAAATATATTTTACTATATATATATTAAAAAATAGTAATATGGAAAAGTCAAGTTGAATTGCGCATAGCCCGCATTAGCAAAACATGTACGTCTCGATGGACTTAGGACTTTTACAATATATCCTCCTGAAAAATGAGGAATGTATAAAGAGCTTCAATTTTTCTTTAACTTTAAGAGCACGTTTGTCATAGTTTGCTGAATTCCAACATTGTATTAGTATGTGTGGTATGTGTAGAGTCCATATTCCACTTACATCATATTTCTCTTCAGCCCAGTCCATCCAGTGCTGTCTTTTTGGATACTGTGAATGTCGATGCCTGAAGCGGTTCTTGATAGCAAACTACAGAGAGCAATAAGACTGTTACCAGAATAATTCTCACCAGAATAAAGCGCCTTCAAATTCACACTGAGGCAGCTGACACTAACCCCGATACATTTGCAGACTTTAACCAGGACGTTGCCTTGAGGGGCAACTTTAATGTACATCCCGCTTCCAAGGATGAATACAACTGCAAAGAAACATCACACACACAAAGCAAAATTATTATTTTATGAATATATATATATATATATATATTATAAGATGGTTAATAGGCTGGTCTTACTCAGGGCAACCACCATGAGAGCCGCAGGGACACCAAAGGCCAGTGGGTAACACTGCTGCTTAGTGTGAATCCCACATTGCTGAGCTGCAAACCACACAAGGAGATAAAAACAGTGACTTAAAACATGTTGTGTACAGCCATGTGTTAATTGATGATTACATTATTTTTATTAAGTGTTAGTAAGTGCATACTATAAAATCCAGTAATAATTAACCACCAATATAATTTCACCACATGACACCTGAGAGGAAGTAGCAATTTTTCAAATTAAAATAACCTGAAGACTAAAGAAAATAAAATAGATGTAACATCTTAATTTTTTTTTCTGATGCCCTATGAAAAATGATCAACGGACTAGTCCTGGCCTGTGTCCCGGTGATTGGGCACCCCTGTTCTAGTGTCACTCATTCATTCATTCATTTGTTCACCTTGTTCCACAGAGCCTAAAGCCAATCCCATCAGTTCACAGGTGACAGTAGGTCAGTTCACCAGTCCATCACAGACAAACAACCACTCACACTCACACAGACAATGGAAAGACTGTACAGAAAAACTGGAAAAGTAAACACCAGGTCAGTGATCCTCCTGTTGTGGCCACAGTGTCAATCAAACCGCTATACTTAGCCTTTGCTGTACACGTTTGAACAACCCCCTGGAGAAGATGTTAATATCTGACAGATGGCACTGATACACCAAAGACAAACATATAGATAGACATCAATTTCTGGTGAATAGGATGGATATGAATCCTTTCCTTTAAACATTCTGCTGTCAGTAATAACCAGTAATAACCAGATTCGCTCATTTATTTTTTACACCTTAAAGAGTGTATCCATGTTTACCTCTGAGTATAGGTGTGATGACTGTGGACAGCAGGCTGCCAGCATTGATAGACAGGTAAAAGATGGAGAAGAAGGTGCTCCTCTGTTTTTCCTGTGAGACACATGAGATCCATCATGGAACTGCACTGGCTTTAAAGTTTCTTCAGGAACTTTCTGGCACAGTTTTATTGCAATATTAAATTGGTTTCTGTTACTGGCCTTGAACAATGAGATAAAAATGGCTGAGATTGAGGTTAATAATTACCAAAGTGTTAGCTGTGACAAAACAGAGATACTGCTGGAAGTGCTGACAGATATGTTACTGATAGCTAAGGTGCCACGTGTGCACGTGTACGTGCAAAATACAGAGAGAGATTAAATAAATGACGGCATGTGCGCATCAGCATCTACACTGCCCATGTGAGTCGGTTCGTGTACGTGTTCATATATGGCTTCATAAAAATGAAAGCAATTTTTAAAAAGTGTTCAGAGGAAAAAACAACAACCAACACCTCGTAGCTCCTGTGAAAAACATTTCTGCTGTTGCTGTACTAAATACCTGTGACATTAAGCTCTCTGTACTATGGCTAACTAGTCAGAGTATGTTTTACCTTTACAAGATTTACCTTAGATTTCATTATCTTTTGGCTTATTTAACTAGAGAAGGCAGTCTTCATATGGTAGTGAACATTTGCTTTAGCTAATTTCCCTTTAATTTTAGCTAACTTTTTGAGATCTCCCATTCACATTTTTCAGTCTCAGCTAACTGTTGACCACCTTGACTAGATAAACTTATCTTAATTACTCATTATATATATATATATATACTACAGTACTTTGTAGCCTTTTCTGGCTAACATTGTTAGCATTTGTTGATGTTTTATTAAGTTGTATTTACTTTTTAAAATAGCTGAAAAATGTGTATATACAGTATATATACAGTATGTATGGAATATTTAATGGTTTGTCAAATACTACCTAAAATTAGTTACATGAACTGGCTCTGTATTATTACAGTAGTTTTTGTTTTCTTTCAAACACCTTAATGAAGCTAAAATAAAGTGTATTATCTGGGGATTGCTGGATGAAACTTTTTTTATGTTCCATACTGATATCAATCTGATGTCAACCTTCTTTTCTCATCCAGAATGCAGTTAGTGTGCTATAGTTGGTTTTTTGTTCAATGTTCGATCCTGGAATTTTGACCGTTATCGGACCGATGCCGATCCATAGTATCAGATGGAGCCATCGTTATCGGACCGATACCGATCCATAGTATCAGATGGAGCCATCCCTAATATTTCCTTCCCCTCAGTTAAACTGATACGATTCTATTTATGTATGGAATATGTTCATGTTGTTGTGTCCTGTCTGACTGTGTTTGTTTTGTGTGACTTCAGACCTGATGATCTTGAAACTGGTCTCCACCAAAGGCAGCCACACAGGGTTTGATGCCCCCCGTGCCCAGGGCAATAAGAAGCAAACCCACCATGGACAGAGCACTGGGAGGGAAGAGACCAACTAATGCGTAAGTTTGCCTCCATAATCACATTTGTGTCAGACAACAGCAGCAGGAGTGTGTGAAACTCACACGTGAAAGGTCATGTTGTCCGGGATGCCGTCCTTGTTGGCGTCTGTGATGTCATGAATGGCACTAACAGCCATGATGACCTGGCCAGCAGCATAAACAATGGACAGGTAAACAATAGTCCTGCACAGAAGAAGGGAGAGTTCTCAAGTCAAACACTGAAGCACCTACAGTCAATCAACACCGTGTGCAGGAACTTACTTGAACTTGCCCAGCCATGAGTCTGCTATGATGGCTCCAAAGATCGGGGTCAGGTAGCAAAGGGCCACAAAGGTGTGGTAGATAGTGGTGGCAAAGTCATCGTCCCACCTCAGAAAGTACTTGAAGTACAGCACCAGTACAGCTGCAGCACAGTACATTGAAGTTGGCATTTATGTCCAAATATACAAGTAATTTTATGTTCAGATGTGCAACACACATAAAGGTCAAAGGTTCATTTTTAAGCTGTTGTTTACATTTAATTTAAAACAAACACAGAAACTAACCAAATTAGTCTCCTGTGTGATATTTGGTTTGTCATAGGAGGAGTATATACTGTATATCTCAGTGTTCCTTTAGTTTTAATACCAAATACCAAAGCAGAAGTGAAGTCAAACCAAGCCTTGGATGATACAAAACAATGAGAAACGATATCTCAAAATAAAAGAATTTGTGACTTTAAACTCTACTTTTTCTGGCCAGTTAGTGGTAGAATCACCACAGAGGACACAGTTCTCTGAGTAATTCCACTGAATTTATGAAAAACTAGCATGCTAAATAGTCCAGAAGTACTACAGTATACCCTGAAAGGTGAGAAAGGGCGACACATATCAGTAAAACTAAAATAAATAAAATAATACTGTTTTTCTTTGTTTGTTAACCTTCTCTGCTAACTGTAGCTTGATTTTATTTATTTATTTGCCTAATTAGTGAAGTGTGTGTTTGATGGTGACATTGACGTGACATTAACATACTTTCTGCGTTTTTACCCAGTTGGCTTAATGTAAAGAGAATACTATTTTTAAGGTTTTTCTTTTTTAGGTTATATTACTTCCACAGCTATCAGTTGATGGAGAGGTAAACCAGCAGAATCAGAAGAGTCAGACTCAGCTTTTGTCGTTGTACAGTGTAGACTGTGTGTAGCTTCTCATTTTTAGTTCATTTAAAACAACATGAACCCTCAGCGATAGAATAAAACAGAGGATAGAGAGAAGACAGAGGATCCACAAGAACTGGGAGCTGAGTGCTGTGTACTGCACATGTAATAGGGCACGTTGAACAGAACAAAGGTACTGTATACTGCACACAGTGTCAACAGGTCAGGGTTGTTGCTTATGAACAAGTTACGCAGTGGTGCATAAACAGAAATTGCCGCAGGATTGAGAAGGTTACCGTCAGTTGATTTTGGAAATGTGGCTCGTTCAAATTTTAATGTGCTATTTAATTTATGATTGATTAATTGTAGTAATTAATTACCTAATTTATATTGACAAAAAGGTTGGACTTTACTGTTCCAAAATCAACACAGTTGAAGCTGCAGCTGTCAACTCACCTCGCATGCCATAGTAGGAGAAGCGCTCGCAGAACTCATTGACCACAATGAAGAAGATGCTTATTGGGTAGCCACAGACACTTGCCTAGGACAAAATGTGAGGACATGCATGAGTTTGTTGGTTGGATGAAGAACATATTCAGGCTTAATGTTGAGATTTCTTTATATTTTGGTACAAGACAGACTATAACAGCTGACACTTACACTTTTGGGCTTGGACCTTTCGCGAGTTTCTGCAGAAAGAAATGTTTTAAATACTACATTAATTCAGTTCTCGTTTAATTTCATTTTTTTAAAAATATTTGCATTAAGAATGTGTGACATAAAAATATTTTTTAATATCATAAAATATATTCATTACAAGTGTCCATGCATCACATGGCTTCCATCTCCAGAGGAGAGCGTACCTGCCATCACGGCGGTGTCTTTCTCCAAATCCCCCCTGGTGCAACGTCCTTACAGTAAACCAGAGAAACTTCAGTCCTAGTCCAGATCACAGATACTTAGAACAGGTCAAAGCCTGTTGGTTTTTTATAAAACCTTCCTCCAAACTGCGGTGACGCCCACTGATGCAGGATTTACAGGCACTACACTTGAGCTCACCTCCCATCATGCAAGTCATAATTACTGCAAACAGCCTCTAGGGAGTTTGTGTGTGTGTGTATGAGTGTGTGTCTGGGTGGGTGGGAGATTATCATTTTTATAACACCTTAGAGAACAGGCTTTATTTACAAGCTGATAAGAAAATGCCCCGGTGAACTCTGTGATGTGGTGATTTGTTTTGTTTTTTTTGTTCGATTTTTTTTTTTTTTTTTTACTTATTTCTACATTTCCTCATAACAGACAATTAAAGTTTTATATCAGGAATATCCAACATGACAAGTTCCTCCTTTGATATTTAGGATCCATTTCTAGTGTTGTTACATTTATTCAGTAAATTTAAAAAATACTTTGTTTTTCAAGCAAGATATTTAAATTCCATATATTTTAAAAACATTTGAGATTTTCATCTGTATTTGAAAGTTAATTTACAACAGATTAAATATTACTACAATAGCCTACCACTTTTATTCTATACACATCTCTTTTCATCATTTTGCACCAGACTAAACAAAAATAAGAAAATAAATAAAAGTCAAATACACAAATATTACATCTCACAAAAAGATTTTTTATATACTCTATATACTAAATATTCTTTAAAAAAACCTCTGTTTCTTAAAAATTCATTTATTAAAATTCCAAGCATATTTACATGAACATTTAAAGGTTTATTTTTAGCTTTTAGCTTTCATCTCACAGATTATATTACCCAAATCATACATTAGTTAAAGAATATGTCAAGGATGTTAAAAGTACACCCTTCTCATAGATACTTCATTTTTTTTTTTTATCCCAGTAATCGTGGGTGAAATATCATGCAGCCATTTTTTAGACTTGGGAAGTTAGGTTTCAGCTCTCTGGAAAAAGTCTACAGTTAGAAAAAAAAAGATCAACTTGATTATTAAAAAAAAACAGTTCCTAAACTTCCATTTAGTTTCTCACTCCTGCAGTGGAAACAGGCACCCATAGTTCCTGGTACCATTCCCAGGTCCTAGTACTAGTTCCTCTGGTAGAAATGTATTTTTAAAGGACATTTGAATTATGTTTTTTCTTTAGGCTAGAGTGAGTTCCAGTGGGTTCATCCACTGAAACAATAGAAAATATTGCACACATAATGTAGTAGAGTCCACTGGCCCAGAATAGAGAGACAAATGAATTCAAACGTTGAATAGAAAATGGCTCATGTGCATTTGAAACAGGAAAAGAAGTGTAAAAAATAGTGTAAAAAAACATACTGTTATACAGGATAAAACAAAAACAGACTGTGGCTCAAACCTGGCTCCAAAGTCTCCACAGGAAACATTGATGGACGGGTATGACCTTCATTCAAAACAAACAGAAGGCAATTATGAGAGCTGAAGGAAACAACTCAGTTAGAGTACAGTGGTGGAGCCATGTGGGCTGGCACTGGTGGGTGTGCCACTGATGGCGTTGAAGATGCCCATGGAGTCAAAGAGAGCGCTCCTGCTACTGTCCTCCACTGGGTTGATCTACAAGAAAGGCTCCGTTTTAGACACTAGGCTCCCATCGTACATACCTGAGAGGACGTATTCAAGTCCTACACAATGTTATGGTTCACTACGGCACCAAAACATGTATAGCCCATGCAACACTTAACAAGTTATATGAGAACAAAAGACTTATGAAAAGCTAAACCAATAAATTAGCCAGATGCAGAAAAGCTAATAGAACAGACGGAGAGGAAGGAGATGAAATAGAAGGAGTGAAGGAATTTCACAGGGAGAATGAAGTGTTCTGGTCCTTTTTTTATGGAATATGAAGTATTTTGGTCAAAGGGCAGTCAGTGTTGGTCAGCTGTGGAGGAGGAGGAGGTCTCTAATGGTATCAGATGCAGCAGCTCATAAAGAGAGTTGTTAATGCAGTAGATCAGACGATGTTAGCTAAAGAGGTGAAGTACCATTAAATACAGAAGGGAGCCAGCGCCAAGTATAGTTGGTCTGAAGGCTGATGGGTCAGTCTTCAGAAAATGGGTTAGTGCAGCCGTTTAAACATTTGAATTATTTGCGTATTATATTTGTTCTTGCATGGCTTCTTCTATCATCTCATTCATATGTACAATTCGCTATGTATTTCAAAGATTCATATACATCTATTTATATTTCATGTACACTCCCTCTATTTTTTTTGACCATGTTGTGCCTACTGTACAATGAGAACAGCTGATCGGGGTCATCACATCTTACCTGCTCATTCATAATGCTGGACAACTGCCTGGTCAGGTCTCTGTAGCTGGCCTTCATCTCGTCGTGATACTCCTGTTGGTCCTCTTTGATCAGTCTCTCGTTTACTACGAGTGCCTGACCACAGGCGTCCACAAAATGCCTGAGGACAGAGGGAAGGCTGAATGTAAGGCAGTAAACTGTGTGGTTTGTAAACCAGTCACTGGGGGCAGGTGTGGGCTGAACAGGTTTTTACTTGAGCATTGGAACCAGACCACAGTGGAATACAGGACTTGAACCAAATCTGGTTAGTGGTCCACATCTATACCCTAAAGCAAAATGTGAGGAGCAAAAAGTGTTTGACATTGTTTGAGGACTTGGGAGTCCAGCAGTACCTGAAGACCTCTTTCAGTTGTTTGACCTTGTTGTCGGGGTATTTCTTAGCACTGCTGTTGTCCAGGAAGGCTCGGGCATAAGCAAGAGGACCAGCGTTTACCTGGATGACAGTGATGATGATGGAAGACATTTAGAATTCCTAAATTAAAACAATACAATGATTTCTCACTGGTCTGAAGGACTGAACACTAACACTATTCTTCTGTCAAGTAGACCCAGTGGTAAACTCTGGATAATGAATGAGACTTACTCTCTGTAAACTCTGCTCATGGTCTATTTACAGGTTTTGTCGGTGCATAGTGTAGGGACACTTGGTAAGGTATGGTTTTAACACAATCTGGTCTTGTTTTAGATACACACAAGGAACTTTTTGGTCCACTTTAAACAGACCAGGGTCTGCAACCTTAGATAGTCCTCTTTGTTTTTGCATATATATATATATATGACTCTATATATTTTGGCAAATTCACAAATCTGGTATAGCTTGTATATATGATAACTTGTTTTGAGTTGCCTAAACATGAACTATGATCATGAAGACTTTCTGACTTCTACCACGGCCTCTGCAGTCCTAATCTGGATCATGCCTGCCTGAGTCAGTATCGTCTCCACCTCACCACCCACCTGAACACTAATGCAGCCCTGCAGTTTCAGCTGTAGTCGGATCATGTCCACCTCTGAAGCTGAGCACAACATCCTCAGCTCGGCCACTTTGGCACTCATCTCATCAATGGCCACCTCGATTGGGCTCAGGTCACTTTGATGTTGGTACATGACCGGGATTCGCTTCTTCACATACGGGAAACAGTGTGTGGCTTTGTAGAAGTAGAATATGGTGGAGAAAAGAAGACAGGTTTTTAGACCAGACCTTGAAACTTCACTCATGACAGCTCATCTCACTGTATTGTTCCTAACTTAGGTCCATGTGACCCCCATAAGAGGGGTTGTTGCAAAGAAACATCGATCACTATAGAAGCCTCTGCTAGATGGTGGCCAAACTGCAATCAGTTGGCGTGATTATTAACAAAGTTAGATAAGGTCTGAACTTTGGAATAGAGATGACAGTGCAGTAATTAACTTCACTATTCTACATGTGATCCAGAATTAGACAGATAAAGGGGGGAGGGGCGGGGGGGCTTTAGAGGAAATGTTTTTAAAAACATGAGAAAGGTTTTTCTTGTTGATACTTCCAACCTACGTGATACAAAGCTGGTTGGAAGTAGAGGGAAAATGAGCCTTGTGTTTGATATCCCTGACCTAGTTCTTTCTTCTAGGATTGGTTTGAGAGACTGTCTGCTTCATTATTACTCCAGTTGTTACCGGCACAAACAGAAGAGCATCACTGGTTTTAGAAATGGTTAATAATTTAATGGCTACTTGGAAGGAAGGAAAGTGAACTCCTTGTCATTGTGACACCACAGTCCACTGGTGCGCCGGCCGTCAGTCCACATGAACACAAGTCTGTGGTACGACCCGGCAGATTTGTTCAAAGCCTGGAAACTGATTGTGGAGGCGGCTCCTGCTCTCATGTCCAGAGAAACCTTTCGATACGACCTTGTTGACGTGACTCGTCAGGCTCTACAAGTGCTGACCACGTCCTTAGCACCTGAGTGGTAACTGGCAGACTCAAACCTGAAGCTTTCCAGACTTAAGTCTGCTTCCTTAACCACTAAGTACTGGGTCTTTGAGTATTAGAGGATACATTTATGTGCGGGTACTTCTGAATTGAGCAGGAAACTTTAAGTCAATTTCTAATAGATTTTAAAACTCGATATCTTTAGTCTCTTTATAAGTCTTCTCCATGTCTTTCTATTGTGGTAGAACCTACTGGTGAGAATGGTCCGGCGTTTACACTGTTCCTCCACTCCTCCCTGCTTTCCGCCCGACGTTGTAAAAGGAGTCTCAAATACAAAGCGTCGGATGTTGTGGTTTTTCTCAAAGTCTGTCTTCCTGTCCTCTAGCTCCTTGTCCTCCAGGTAAGGTGAGACGTGAGTCACTTGGATGTAGGCATACTTGGAGTCCAGGTCCTTTGGGTTCACCTTTATAAAAGATTTTACAATATTTGAATCAGCAGTGTCAAACCCAATCACTGTCTATCTAATCAATGTCTAAGTTGCTCATCGTATACATGTTTTACACATACAGAATTTCACTAAACTGCATTTACCCTAATTACCATTTTATAGAGGTATATATACACTTTTATTTTAAGACCACCATAAGCAGATTAAGCTCTGAGGAGGCCACATAAAATGATGCAGCTGGCCAGATTGATCCCACAGGCCATGAGTTTGACATATGACTTCACACAACAAGAAACACCTTCATAGATTAGATAACCCCTGCTGTTGCTGCAGTGCAAAGTTCATGTCTTGGTTTTTTTTATACTACATTCTGGTCTTGGAAAGTTTAAATAGCTGTAAGAGTTTGTATCTTAGTTATAACCAGGTCTTAGCGCACCTTGGTTATCTTAATAGTCTGGTCTTGGTTCTGATCTGGTATGGGTAAATACCGGTTTGGGTCATAAGTTGGCTCATTGCACAAGTGTTTTCGTATTGATCTTGGTTTTTGGTTTACTCACTCCAATCACGGGGTCAAGACTGGGTCGTTAGTGAGCGATTATTGACACTAAACATACAGAATATTAAATAACTTGGGAGTTGTTTCTTGATACTGTCCCTGAAACATACATAGACCAAACCAGTAGGTCCCAAATTGGGGGTTATTGCAGAGTCAAATTAGTTGTTTTTATTTTTTCCTTTAATGCCACACTGGGGAAAATGTGCTGATTATTATTTTCATTTCCTATTCAGTCTTGATATCTGTTTTTCACATTGTTTTAAATGAGGTTGAGTGAAGTTTTAAAGCAGTCGCTAGGGACATGTCGTGATGGGAGGGGTTCATAACAGTTATCAATACAAAAAAGGGGTGGTGTTTATAAGGTGTGGGAAACACTGCTGTAAACAGTGGCCTAGTTGAACAAAGTTAACCCTTAGTTGTCATCCCACCCTGCCAGAGTCCTGAATGATCTTGACGTTCTCTTGGCCAAACTTATCAGAGTACAGCTTCAGCAGCCTCTGAGAGACCTCAGACAATGGCGTGAACTTTGGCTCTTTGTAGATGTATTCCTTTCCATCTTCATCCTCGAAAAAGCCCTGCACAAAACAATGAGTTAACACTTTTTTGTTTTGTTTTTTTAAAGTGAGTTAAAGTCATTTAAGGTGGGATTTTCTTAAATGGAGGAAAATAAAATACAAAATTCAATATGAGTTACAAGGACAGAAAACATCTTTAAATAAGTCAACTTTCCACCACAGAAGAAACTTTGGAACGGTCATGCTATCAGTTTATAGAAAGACCAGTGTGGAACCATCATGGTTCCTACTGCTCTGGCTCTTACCTGTCCAAAGAAGGCCACTCTGAAGTGTGTGCCCAGCAGCCTCTTGCCTGAGTGCATCACCTCTATCACTTTAGTGTAAGCCCGGTGCAGTGTGTCATACAGGTGTGACAGTTTCTGTTCAACAAAAAATATATATATATATATATCATTCAATTCTCTGTGTCCAGCAGTTTGATTAGTGCCCTTTCCTTACAGCAGGAAGATCATCTGCTGAAAGCCTTGTGCTACTGTTCTGTATCTGACAGTCTTTCTCTTTGGTGTTTCATGGCGTTGTCTTTTCCTGTGTGAGTGTGGATTTTCTCCCCTGGTGTAATTACTGCTTGATTTGGCTCCTAACCCTTGGTAACCCTTAAAAAGGTTATGTGTGAAAAAATGAAGGGATATGTTTATGTACTGAACTATCAAGGATAGGAGTTTTAGCTTCTATTGTAAGAAATATTGTGTTTTATTTTAAGGTTAAGACTTTACAGAAATCAAATTTACATCTAAACTTATACTTAGAGTATTTTCTGCATGTTAATAAAACAAAACACTAAGAGGCACATCCATGTTCTGCCCTAGAGGACCTTTTAACAATGCATTTGACCTTGGTGTTAAAATATGTGCATTTCTTATGTTTCTACGTGTCAGGAATTGTTTTCGCCATTTGATAAAATTCTTTATTCTTTTTTTTAACTAATCTGATTTGAATACATAATGTAATGCTGAAGCGCTGTTAGCTGTCAATTACCTCGAAGTCTCTCCTCTGCTCATAAATGGGGATGATGAGCCTGTACACATCAGCAATGAGCTCATATCGCTCCGCCTTCCAGAGGCCTTCAGCACACTCCTCCAGCAGCTCCATTAAAACCTCCTGAACAGAGACACGTCAGAGTTACTAATCCCTGTCTTCCTGTGGTTTAGGATGTCAAGCTGTTGCAGAGATGAGCATTTCTGCCTTTTCTTATTTGAGTTGGACACTAAAACGAACACAAATTGAGCAGACAGTTCCAATGAAGGCACCTGATGCGGTGGAAAATGGACACATTATCCTTTTGGTTTTTATTGTCAGACTCCACTGTGTCCTTCTCGTAAAGAGAAAAGCTTTTCAGGACAGATGAGACAGTAAAAGCACTTCCTAGACAACGGATGTGTTGACAAAACCATAAAACCCTCACATATTCACCGCATATTATTTTAACTACTTCGCACAACGAAATCAACCCATTATCAGATCCTCACTGTGCCAAGCCCAAGTCAAAGTCTACTGTGTTTTTATTTCACGCACAAAGAGCAACTGAAACTCTTTAACAAGATAAAAAAGAAAAACTTTCAGTCATTGATTATTTTGCACGTGAGCCACAATGATTGGTAATGATTGGTTACAAAGTAAGATTGGCAGACGCTCAAAGGACAATTGTGAGAGCCACAACAGCTCTACTAAACACCATAAAGTCTTAATTGACTTTATAGAAAATGACAGGTACTATCTGGTTTTACAAGGAAAAGAGTTGCATCATTGAGCCACATGATTGGACATTTTTGGTGATTTATAAAGTTTGTTTTTCTTTAAAACAAACTTTTTTTTTTTTTATAAAATGCCTTCAGGTAATACCATCAAAGTATGTTGTAATTTTATGTACTTTTGACATTTCCTACTGTAGAAATCATCCAAAGAGCTCCAAAACTGATCCGTGTATTTCAATAATTTGTGAATGACTAATGGAGTCAAAATTTCACATTTTAATCGTGTACCAGGAAACAGGAAGTTTCTGTTATTCAATGATGCAGAATCCCATCAAGTTATATTCTTTAAAAGTGTAGGAATAAACAGTTATTATAACAGTCATTAATTTACTGATCACTAAAAACACACAAACAAACAAAAAAAAACAAAAAAAAAAATCAAAGCAACATGGCCTCACCTCATTGAAGTGAACATCCTGCATTCCTACATCCTCCATCATGGCTGCCTCTTCATCAATATTTGGTGTAATAACACGGAATGCAGAGCATCCATGTCTAAACATTCCTGACAGAGAAGGATGAAGAAGTGACTTGGTGTTTGTTCTGTTATTGTTTATAAATCAATGCCAGGAATCAGTGAAGTACTGATGACAGGATCACAAGAAAATGTCCAGAGCATCAAATAATCCAGGAACTAGACACAGAACCACAAACTACGTGCATTTCCAATGCCAGGTTACAGACAAGACACTGTTGGCAGCTGCCTTGGTGTGTTACCAGTCAGCAGTCTGTTTGTTTTGTTTGTGTGTGTGATCTAATGTTGTTTTGTTTTTTTGAAGCACTCCACTGACCAACTATCTCCAGATTTCCCAGACATATTTATGCCCGCTAAGAATTACATCCAGAAGTCAAGTGTTTGTGTTGATAATGTTTTTATTGATTCACTATGAACAGTAACTGCTTAGAAGATCTTTATAAAACGGGGGTTATAAAGATGTTGGATTAAATTCCAGTGGTTAGCAGAAGGAAGTTTATCTTTATCAGCACACAAACACACACACAAATTTGAACTTGACTCACCTTTTCTCCACAAATACTCAGCCACTAGAGCAGCAACGTGCACATAACACATGGCAGCCTGAGGACAAAGAACAAACATGGAAATAATGAACTGGAAGAAAAGGAAGTTAAGAAGGACAATGATGAAATGCTTTTTTGAATACATTTTAATTACCGACAGAAAATATAAATAAAATGAGTTTTGATATATGCATATTACAGTTGAGTACCGTCAAAGCCAGCAAGGCCTTCTCTTTTGCCCTAAATAGTATGAGAATGTTACTTATTTTTTAATATATTTATTATAAATATTCATAACATAATACAGAGTAGTTTGTTCGTATTATTCTTTCTCCCTCTCAGCCTTTCTCTTTGGTTGTGCTGCTTCCAGTTGTGTTGCCAGGTTAAAATTAATCTGCCCTAAGGCCGTCAGAATCAGTAGTCCAAGCGCTGGGAGCAGATGGCAACTTTTGTCATGAATGACTAATTTTCTCTCTATAACGAAAGAATGACTTCTTACAGCACAGTTGTTTTCCTCACAGTTGCATGTTTGTTCATCTTTTGTTTAAAAGGCTGTGACCGTACTGCTGCACTAAAGAGACTTTTAGCTATTTGGATATAACCTTCATTTCAACTCAAGAAATAACCCAAATGCTTCTGGGTAAAAATCTACCTAGTGGAGAGGATTATTTTGATGAATGTTTAGCAATTCATGGCCTAGATTTCAGATTTTGTTTGACGATTACACACCTAACAGTAATTAAAGCTTGGTCAAGTGGCTGTTTTATTCTTCCTCTTCTGCTAGTTTTTATGTACAGTATAATGGGTTAAGCTTGGGGTTAATTGTGTTGACCCTACAACTATAAGGTAATAATGTAAAGTCAGAAAAACCTCAGAGAGATCTCTATTCTTGTTGTGGATGCGCGCCATGCTGTCCAGCCAGGTCTTGCGCAGCTCGGGGGTGCTGGTGTAGGACTTGGCCAAACTGTACTGTAGATCCACCAGCATCTCTGGGTCATTCTCATGCTCCTTCATCTGCTCTGTGGCCATCAACACCGTCCTGATGCGCTTTGTCAGGTCTTTTACATCAGATGGGAAGGCAGTATGCTAATAAAATAATTCAATAAAACAGAAAAAAAAATCCTAAGGTTTGTACCAGAACCAGATTTTGTCCCATTCCAACACCCAAGTGTTTCTTTTTATTCCTACCATCTAGAAACTCTAAAGATTCATAGGAGAATAACAGCTGATTGAAGTCCTTATTGGAGGCTCAACTCTAGCGCCTCATCTCAAACACTTGTTATCAGATCTTTCCTGAACATTAAAAAAATATTGTGTTCATCATCTTTGTGGCAGAATCCGTTCCTCACCTTCACATTCTTGTCACTGTTGGCACAATTGTTAATGATGGAGAGGGACTGCTGAAAACGGGTTCCTCCGATACCGATGACATCTGCAATCAGCTGACTGACTGCAATCACCACCTACACAATGGACAGGCACAGAGGACTTAGGGACAGGTCAGCAACTACAGTATGTGTCATTATGCCATATTTACATATGGTTTGCAAATCTAGAAAGGAAGGAAGGACACTTGCAGCATCAAAAATGACTTGTTGTTTAAAACCCTCC